CATTCGCTCCATATTTACGGAGTAATTATAATAATATTAATAAGAAGAAGAATAATAATTTATTTGTTTATTTATTTGCGCGTAATATGAGCGGGGCGGGAGGGAATCCGACCCGGATTGGATAGGTCCACGGCGGCAGGGCGTTTTTTTTTCATGGGGGCGTCACGGCCAGGAAGGGCAGAACGATGAGCAGAGCCCAGCGGGAGGAAGAAGACGAAGACGAGTGCTTCCAAGACTCCCTTGACCGCCTCCTCTCTTCCGCCGACACTTCGTGCTCCTCCACCTCCCCTTCCGGAGACGAGGAAGATCCGATTTCTCGATTGGCCTCCCCCGACCCGTTTTGTCAACCCGGGTTCGGTCCGCCTCACTGCGCCTACGATGTCTGGATCTCCCGCCCTTGTTCCGTCCGCGAGCGCCGCACCCGCCTCCTCCGCCTGCTCGGTCTCGACTGCGACTCGTCTCTTCTGCGCGACCGGACATCGCCTTCACCTGCCGTTGACTGCAATGCCGGCGAGGATACGGGGAGTACTGGTGGATCGCCGTCGTCTGATCATATGAAATGCCTGACTGGAGTCCGCGAAGAAGGTTTTTCTAATACTGTTGATAATTGTAATTCCGGAAGTACTAGTGAATTTAGTAGTGTATCAGGGATTGTCCGATCGAGATCTACTGGCTGTTGTAATTCTCCTAGTCATTCTACCTGTTCTTCATCACTTGTTCATCAAAATAGTGAAATTCTTTCTGTTGATTCCGTCTCCTTATCACCAGCACCCGGGTCAACCAATGATGGTGGAAGCATATCTGTAAATAATAGTCAATACCGCAGCAGGAGTGCCAGTAACATTGATCGATTGAAGAACTGCAATGGATCTCCCCATACCAATTCTGTTTCCCCAAATAAGCCCCCCATTGCCAAGTATAAGGGCGAGTCATTGCACAATGGGAGCTCCAATGGAGTTGTTCTTGGAGTTGAAGAAACTGTGTGTACAATAAAGGATCTTGATAATGGGAAGGAGTTTGTGGTGAATGAGGTGAGGGAGGATGGGATGTGGAACAAGCTCAAGGAAGTAGGTACTGGAAGGCAACTGACCATGGAAGAATTCGAGATGTGTGTTGGCACTTCCCCGATTGTTCAAGAACTGATGAGAAGGCAGAGTGTGGAAGACAGGAATAAGGATGGATTGGATTCCAATGCAAATGATAGTGGTGGTAGTGGTTCAAAATTGAAGAAGAAGGGGGGCTGGTTAAAGAGCATTAGGAATGTTGCGAACTCCGTGACTGGTCATAAGGATCGCAGGAGTAGTGATGAGAGGGATACATCATCCGAGAAGGGTGGAAGGAGGTCAAGCTCTGCAACTGATGATAGTCAAGATGCGTCTTTCCATGGGCCAGAGAGAGTTCGGGTCCGACAGTATGGGAAAACTTGTAAAGAATTCTCAGCCCTCTACAAAACGCAGGAAATTCAGGCACATAATGGTTCCATTTGGAGCATTAAGTTTAGTTTGGATGGGAATTATCTCGCCAGTGCTGGTGAAGACTGTGTCATACATGTCTGGCAGGTTACAGAAAATAAAGGTGACTTGCTTCTGGATAAACCTGATGATGGAAGCTTGAACATTCTCTTACATGCAAACGGGTCCTCCGAGCCAAATTCTGCATCACCAAATTTGGATGGCTACACCGAGAAGAAGAAAAGAGGCAAATCATACATGAGCAGAAAATCAGTGAGCTTTGATCATGTTTATGTGCCAAAGACTGTATTTGCTCTGTCAGAAAAAACCATATGTACCCTTCATGGACATGCAGATGCCGTGTTAGACCTCTCCTGGTCCAAATCTCAGGTTCGATGATATACTTCGTTTGTTTCCAACTTTGACTTTTCCATTTGGCATTGTGATGTTTAAATCATTGAATCAATGTCCTACATATATTATCATTTTTCATGTATTTATCGGCTTGGCAGTCGTGTGGAATGTAGTTGTTTATCTACTAGGATTGCTTATGTATAGATTTGCATTATCCCCTATCATCCAACCCTGTCTATCTAAAACAGTTTTCATAATCTTCTGAATATATTGGTAGTATATTTTGTTCTTTTTCAGTGCCCCCCAGCCGTATACGACCTCCTACGTGATGTGTGAACTGTAAAGGGTGCATTGCTAATATTTAGTAATTAGTACCCAACCTTTACGTTTCAGTAGTACCCAAGCTTCATCTGGGTGACACATCCGCTTCTCAAGGGAATTCGTTAGGACTTCGCCTTGAGGCGAGCCTCAATTAAAACCATGAGTATATACAATGTAAACCTTATTATATGCTGCCTTGGGGGTTAGTGCTTGAGCCTTGGTGATGAAGTTTCTAGTGTGTATCTTTATATGGAGTATTTATCTTGTTGTAGGGACTGTAGGTCAGTATGGTATTAGAATCTCTCCTTTGAACTGAGTATGGTCACATGAGATACATATGTCACTGTATACTACTATATGTGAAGGAATTATTTCATTGTATAAAGCTGTTTAGATATACTAAATGCTAAACAGTTTTAATTTTAATGTTAAGACACACTTTTTCTGTTTTGAACTCTTTGGCTGTTCTCTATTCTGAAACTATTTTCCTTATATATGTTCCAAATTTCTGCTCAATGGAGAAAAGTATGACATACACGGAGTATGATATAGTAGGAAAGCTATGCATATGTTGTTAGATTTTCCTTTTGAAAGAGATGTGGTTTCAATATATATGGTGCCATATATTCATTATTTTTCACGAATAGGCACGCAGCTGCTTTTTCTATTGTTTATGAATACTCTATATGAGCATATGACACTGTAACCTATTTTTGGTCTTGTACACACTAACATTTTAGATTTGCTTGGAATTAAATAAAAATTCCTGAATATGAAATTATGAATCTTTGGGAGTTGGGTTCACGTGTTGATTGAAGTAAACTTGATTCCTTTCTCGGAAAGTGTTTCTGTTCAGTATTTTCAAGACACACTCATTGATACTTTAAATATCCTAACTTGTTTTGCAGTGTTTGCTTTCATCTTCAATGGACAAAACAGTACGCCTCTGGGATTTGTCAAGCAAGTCTTGTTTGAAGATCTTCTCGCACAGTGACTACGGCAAGTGCCTGAACATGAAGTTCTATTTTGCTATATTTGATCTCTTGGTTTTCTTTCCTTAGGGTAGGCTGTGAGGGCTGCACTTTTTTATTTTCTTACAAGCAAGCTAAGTAATGGACTGATTGACTAAGCTGTGGATTTGCCTGACACAGTGACTTGCATCCAGTTTAACCCTGTTGATGATAGATTCTTCATCAGTGGGTCCCTGGATGCTAAGGTTCGCATTTGGAGCATTCCTGACCGGCAAGTTGTTGATTGGAGTGATCTGCATGAGATGGTTACTGCTGCATGTTATACACCTGATGGTCAGGTGAGGTGCCTGTTATCATAGTACATGTCATTATTACTGTACCTGGAAATCTTAAACAGAGGACATACTTTATGCATTTATCCATTTAGGGTATGATTTAAGAGTTATTCGGCTGATACATCTTAATGTGCAGAATTTATTACTTTGTATTCTGAAAGAAAAAGCATTTAGTAACATCAAACAACTAGAAACAAGTCAAAAGTTGTGTACGGTAGAATGAGCTTGATAAAGCTCTACCAAACAGAACCTTAATATTTATTTTCTTGTTTTATGAAGGGCGCACTGTGTTACTGTAACTGAAATCTGAAATAGAAGTCCATTTATATATTTCTGTTATTTCAGTGTTGTCCGTTTCCCTGCCACTGTTTTTGTAATTGGTTGAAAGCGATCAATTATTAATACATGTGATAAAAATTTCACTGTCAGCGTTTTGTTTTTCGTTTTATGAAGGGTGCACTAGTTGGTTCGTATAAGGGGAGTTGCCACATGTATGACACATCAGGTATCACTCAAAATTTAACCCAACTTGGGGGTTTGCATTCACCCTCACCCCTACCCCTCCTTTTTCTCTTGAGTTAGTAGTATAAAGTATCCACAACTTGATATATGATTTTTTTGATTTGTCATTCCACAATTTTCAGAAAATAAGTTGCAACAGAAAGGACAAATTCATCTACAGATTAAGAAGAAAAAATCTCATCAGAAGAAAATCACTGGTTTTGAGGTAATGAATGCCTTGTGCGTTGGAATGAGAATTTACAGTGATTTGTGCTTTGGAATGTCAGTTTTCTTACAAATCCGTATTTCGCGAACAGTTTGTCCCTGGAAGTACATCAAAAGTGCTTGTGACATCTGCAGATTCTCGAATTCGGGTTATTGAAGATGTCGATCTGGTTCAAAAGTTCAAAGGTACATTAAACTTCCAGATTCTGTGATCCGTGGACTGAATTTACATTACGGAAAATAGTTAGAAACATTTACCCAAAACATAGTACTCCGTATGATTTTGTGTACCAATGGTTAATTTGGTTGAAACAGGTTAAAGTATGGCTTAAAAATAAGATTGAGTGTATCTTTAAAATAAATCGAACAAGTACAGAGTATCTAAAAAGTAAAAACACTGGTACAAATGTAACTTCCTTTCAATTCAGCCCAAAAAGAAACTTCTCTTTCATTATTAACCAATTTAACCAACAGTCGAATAGTAGTGTGGCAGAAATTTGGCTTATGAAGCTGATAAACATACTGTAAAGCATACTGCCAAACTAGCACGAGGACTCATTAGGTGGTATTAATCGGCTTATTCTTCTGATATATAGAACAATAAGATTAAACAGAAAGTAGTCTTTGGTTTACCTTTTTTGGCTGAAATCGGCTTTACAAAATGTGTATCTGTTCTGAAAAGTGCATGTTCAACCATTTCACCTAAATAACTCATACCAGACACACACTAAATCTTGTAAAATGGCCCATTTGGGTTTTCCATGAAGGTTACTAATATGAATTTCCTAACAGTGTGTAATACAAATTGACAGGTTTTCACAATTCAAGTAGCCAAATCTCTGCGTCCATATCTGCTGACGGGAGGTATGTGGTCTGCGCCAGCGAGGACTCTTATGTGTATGTCTGGAAACACGAGGATGATTCTCAGCCAGGTCGGATCAAAGGGGTTACCCTCACACAGAGTTATGAACAGTTCCACTGTCAAGATGTTTCTGTTGCCATTCCTTGGCCTAGAACAGGTGAACCACTAAGATCTCAAGACAATATCTCTTCTGCAGAGCACAGTGGCCCACTTGATCTTACGGACGAGGTCTCCGCTGCAAATCACCACCCAACGTCACCCGTCGAAGAGACTTGTGGGAATCAACGGTCACGGTCACCGTCACATGGAACCATATCTAGTGCCACAGACAGCTACTTCCTTGACAAAATATCAGCAGCCTGGCCTGATGAAAAACACACTCCAATAACTGCAAGCATTGACTTGCCCAACGGGTTGTTGAATCAGACCAAGCCCGCGGGTCTGGGTTTGGTCATTGTGACCGCTGGTGCGCGAGGCGTAATCAGAACTTTCCAGAATTTTGGAATGCCAATACGGATTTAGTTTGGCGAAAGGAGCCGATTGAACAGCATTTGTACAGATCGATGAGATTTGTAATACTATTAGTCAGGTCTTTTTTTTAAAAAAAGATATCCTGTACCAGTTGGATATGGGAATTAGGTAAATCGCGCCTGCATTACGAGGTGCTTTCAAAGAGTAGCGATGATATATATAAATATATACTCCGTAATAAGTATATATACAGAAAAGAAAGAAGAAAACATGTGGTTTGATGTTTAAAAGGTGGGGGTGATTGTAAGTTGTACACTTGTTTAGAAAGTGATAATTTTCCTGTAATCCCCAGTTGTAGAGAGTGGATGATCATAAATTTTTTTGTTGAAACTAAACAAAATTCTTGCAGGATTTGGTGTGGTGCTTCTTTGGATTGGACTAATCATCTTTTACTTGGGTAAATTTTAGTCTGCTACTTTAAATGAGAAGTAAAGATCGGTCTAGGCAATTTGGGAAATGAATCTATGGTTGTGCTTTTGGGGACACCATCCAATGTTATGGGGTCATCAATGGTTGGGATAATGGGATTGTCTCATTTTGATCAAAGTTAAGCATTGAGGGATTTGACTCATTTAACGGGTCGCATTGAATTGTTATTGATAGTTGGTTTGATCACACAATTTTAATCGTGATTCAGACTCTAGAGTAGATAAAAACTCCTAAATCTCAAAATTTGAGTTTTGGTAATAGTCATGTGATGATCCGAATGAGTAAGTCAATTCTCTCAAAAAAATGGATCCTCAAAGTTGCTTAGGAAGTTTTTACAAAAATTTATACATATTTATCGGTTAATCTCATTAAAACATTAACATATTTATCAATTTAGAATATAAATATGTTTAATGCTTTTTAAGTTTTTAGGGCATGAAGACTAATTGAACCAAGACAAAATAGCAAAAGAATGAAAAAAATTCAAATAGGCAAAACCATATCCTTTAGTGGTTTTGCCATGCTACAGCCCATACCTGTGAAGAGGGTAGCCTAGGATATAGAGCCCTTTACCCCACTCAAAAGAAGAGCAAATCCATGGCTGCACCCTCATTGGTGGCTCACAATTGATGAAATTATCTTATCCACGCGCAAATGACAGTTTTGCCCCCAATCCCACCATTTTATCTCTTGTATATAATGGTCTGTTTGTCAATCAACAAAGGATTTGTGGCCAAGAAAGAACTCAAGACTTCATTTAACTTTCTTACCTATCATCAAAATATCCCAGAAATGCCCATGGCCCTCCAGGCTGCTACCCTTCTTCCTTCCACTTTTTTCATTCCCAGAGAGGTCTGATATATTTCAATTATGTGCTTTCTCCCACAGATCAATGATTCCATGGCAAAGCTCAACTTTTTAAAAAAAACTGTTTTCTTGCAGGGGAAAGCCATGGCTGCAACACTGAAGGATTCAACCCTGTTTGGGGTTTCACTGTTTGACCACTCCAAATCCGATTCCAGATTCTCATCACTCAAAATCAAGGTACGATTCTCACACAGGAAGTTCAAAGATTCAATCTTTGGAACAGATTTAGGGGAAAATTAGTAAGATTTCCTTGCAGGGAGAAAGAAAATTGTGGAATGGGGTTGTGAGAGCTAAGACAATGGTGGCGGATCCCGGGGTTACCAGCGGCCAAGTCTCCGGCAAGAAAACGCTGAGAAAGGGGACGGTGGTGATCACGGGCGCGTCTTCCGGCCTGGGGCTCACCACCGCCAAGGCTCTGGCGGAGACCGGGAAATGGCACGTGGTAATGGCCTGCAGAAACTTCTTGAAGGCGGAGAGAGCGGCGAAATCGGTGGGGATGAGGAGGGAGGATTTCTCCATAATGCATTTGGATCTCGCCTCCCTTGACAGCGTCCGGCAATTCGCGGAGAACTTCCGGCGGTCCGGCCGCCCCCTTGATGTTCTCGTCTGTAATGCGGCGGTTTACTTGCCGACGGCCAAAGAACCCACCTTTACGGCGGAGGGGTTTGAGCTGAGTGTGGGGACTAACCATTTGGGACACTTTCTGCTTTCAAGATTGCTCTTTGATCACTTGAAACAGTCCGATTACCCTTCCAAAAGGCTCATAATTGTTGGCTCAATCACAGGTTTCCGTCTATTCAACTAAAAATTCAAACTTGTAATATGGGTTTTTTTCTTTGATAGATTATTTGACGTATTAGAGTAAAAACTTTCTTGAACTTTATAGAATTTATGTTTATGTGTCTTCAGGAAATACAAACACATTGGCCGGAAATGTCCCTCCTAAGGCGAACTTAGGGGACCTGAGGGGTCTCGCCGGAGGGCTAAACGGACTGAACAGCTCGGCGATGATCGACGGAGGGGCATTCGATGGGGCAAAAGCCTACAAGGACAGCAAAGTGTGCAACATGCTGACAATGCAAGAGTTCCACCGGAGGTACCATCAGGACACCGGGATCACCTTCGCCTCCCTCTACCCAGGGTGCATCGCCACCACGGGGCTGTTCAGGGAACACATCCCGCTCTTCCGGGCCCTCTTCCCGGCCTTCCAGAAGTACGTCACCAAAGGGTATGTGTCCGAGGAGGAGGCCGGGAAGAGGCTGGCTCAGGTCGTGAGCGACCTGAGCTTGACCAAGTCCGGGGTGTATTGGAGCTGGAACAAGAACTCCGCTTCTTTCGAGAACCAGCTGTCTCAGGAAGCCAGTGATGCCGACAAGGCCCGCAAAATGTGGGAACTCAGCGAGAAACTCGTCGGCCTGGCGGCTTGATCGACTGCAGCAGCCATTCTCCCATTCCTTCGCCTGTTTCTTGGCTTGTCTTGCCCTGTTCTTGTCAATTCTTAACTGGCTAAACAAAACAAGAAATAATGTTCTTTTTTTTAATTTGCATTTGTAGAACTCAAGAGTTTTCAAATGAAATCACTCGTCTTGCAGGTTCAATGTTTCAATTTTGAAGAAAAAAGATGTGGTTCTAGTATTGAGATGTAAAAGTGACATGCATTGAAAATTTGAAAGGTTCTTAAGTACTAGGTAAACTTGTTTATGTGACTATTGATATTTCAGGGACATTGTTTAGTTGGCCAATAGGAGTGTAAAAAGGCATAACGATCGAATTTGATTTCTCACAATGGCAATGAATGACCACCAACAATATTTAGGTCATATTCTCTTCAATTTACTCTTAATACTTGTTAACTTTTTTCTTATTTAAATCAGACTAGATTAGATCAAAAATAGCTTTAAATATAATTACATTCAGATCAAATTAGAACTTATTCTAATCAGATTATAATCATTTAGATCAGGTGAAAAATAATGGCTATAATATGAGATTCTTATATGTACTAGAGAGTAGGGATATGTCACAACTCATTCTAAAGTCGAAGTGTTCAACTCAATCCAGATCACTTATATTTTTGTAACGTGAGAATATACGAGTAATTGTTATTGACATTTATAATATGATCATTTCATTCACTACTTGTATAATTGTTTTCACCATAATACTCCACAATATTGACTTTCAATGTCATATAATGGTCATATAATGTAATAGCCACAATTGAGTTATCTACAACGTCTGCTTTGTAAAATTGACAGTATTTACAACCTAAACCCCTGACAAACCTCCCCCATTCTGGCATGATTTGATCTCACTCGTAACCTCTTCAATGACACCCCTTTGTACATAATTCAATCACATACGGAGTAAGTCATTAAGTTTGTGTGATTACTAGTAAACTTTCACTGATGGTGTAAATTACCACTCGGGCAAACTACTCTAAACCGGGTCTAGGGTGGTTTGGTGAGTTTAGAGATTGACAGGCCAGAGTAGGCAAGAGTTGACCGGGGGGACCGTAGGTGGGAGCACTTATAGTCCTATTGTTATTAATTATGGGAAGAGCATAGGGAGATATTACACGATATGCTTTTAGACAGAGGGAATCCGATCTCTTTTATGGAGGGTTACAAACATATTTATAGTGAAGCTAGGGGACATGGTGGCAGGCATGTATGACTGGCCATGTGATGACTTGACATTTCCTTGTCTTGTAGTGTTTGTTCATTCCTATATGCTTTCCTCTATGAATGTCCTCTTTGGCGCGTAGTGCTTGGGTGGGTTTTTCGGCGAGCTGTCTTGCTCACTTGAAAATCCTCTGCGGCAAAAAGCTACATGACTGGTCGCCCAAGTAGTCACCCGGGTAGTTTTTTGAAGGAGGTTATGTGATCGTTCGAGGATCTAACTGTGTCGTGCCACTTGACCAGTCGCCCATGGGTCACTCGGGTGGTCAGGTTGGACCTGACTCGGGCCGTGGACAGATTCACCCAAACTGTCCTGGTGCGCATTGTTTGGGCCTTGCCCGATTTGTCTCATCTCTGCTCAATCATGCTAGGTCATTATCATGTTAGTACACCAAGCCTTGAAAATCCACCCGGGTGGTTTCCTAAAGGGGATATCATGGTCATTCGAGGATCTTCTCTACAGTGCCATACTACGTGATCGGTCGTCTCAAAGTCACCCGTGTGGTCTGCATCCAGGACTTGGTCAAGTACATATCCATCCAAGTTATCTGGTTGCTGTTGTTCGGGATTCACCCGGTTGCTCTTGGCTAGACCCGACCGAGGTCGTAGATTGGTGGAATTCACCCATCACCGGGTAAATACAACTGGATTATCGCGGTAGGTATATTGTCATTGTGCAAGGTTGGAATCCACCGTGGTAGGTTCTGGTCTAAAGCTACCCGGGCAATCTCTCAAAGGTATATTGTGTTTTCACCCAGTTATGTATGTTGCACTCGGGTAGTCTTCGAGACACTCAGACCAGGTCACTACACTTTGCTCTCTCTGCTACTGCTACGTCGAATAGGTGCCTGAGACCCAACCTAATAAGGTCACCGACCTCTCCACGACTAGGTCCAGGTAAACTCCGAAGGTCAGGCTAGCTGCCTCATGAATCGTCTCAAGTTTACCTGGTCACGGAGATTATACCCGAGTAGGCCTCTTGATACTTTGACCGGGTCGACTTTTCTTGTCTCCTTTACTTATCGTATCAATCCAGAAATCTACCGGTTAGATTTCTAGTAGACAAGAACTGGGTCACGGTTGGGTGTAAATAGACCCATCACTCACACTACCGTACTTGAGAGTATTTGTATGATTTGATGCTCCATATTTTCGAATCAAACTGGTCAAAAGTTGATACACCCATCATTCACACTACCATATTTGAGAGTGTTTTTACGATTTGATACTCCATGTTTTTGAATCAAACTGGTCAAAACTTGATCATCAATTTTATAAAAATAAATAAATATATTACATATTTGTACTCTTTTCGTCTCAAATTAATCTTATTTTGTTTTTGGGTTGTCACAAATTAATCTCCTTTATCCTTTTTATGAAAAATTGTTGTTACTCACTATTTTTCTCTCATTTGTATTATTTTCAACCGTGCAATTTTACTATTCTTAAAATTTGTTCAAAGTCAAACGAGGAATATTAAAATGGGATGAAAGTATTATAAAAATGCTTTTATTAGATTTATCTTTATGAAAACATTAAAAAAAATTAATAGCATTACAAAAGTATTATGCAATATAAATTTAAAATAATTGATGATAAAAATTATTTAAAAAGTTAAATTGGCTGAATATTCTAAATATTTTGGTACAAAAATATTTATGTAACAAAATGAATAATTAGAACGGACATAGTTCAACTGTAAAGACCTTGAGTGCTTTAAGTCTGCAACGGTCTACAAAGTTGCAAGTTCGAGTTCCAATGACACAGACATGAGGATGAGTTTGATAGAAAATATATCGAGTGTACCTCAATTTGTACATGGTTCACACTGGTGGAAAATACTATTCCCTCCGTCCCGTTTTAAATCGCTCGTTTTGACTTTTGGGCATATTTAAGAAAAATAAAAAATAGAGTTGATTTTCAGAAATTGTTAGTACTTGTTAGGAGGAATGATGAAGAATGAAAAGATAATGTGAAGAAGAGTGACTTATTTTAGAGTTAGTTTATGTATTTTATTCTTAAACGTTTAAGAAAATAACTAACATGCAACTTATTTTGAAAAAGTCAAACATGCAATACAAAGGTAGTAGTACAATTTAAACGTTTTCTACTCATATTTTATGTCAACCTGAATTATCAAAATCATGGGATAGACTTTTGGTTCTTAGACTCTTTTCCTTATTGGAGAAGAAACCCCAAGGCTAAAGCCAGAGGAAATGTAATGTCATCAGTCATCATCAAACCCCTGTAAAAACCCTTCAGCCATAAACAATGGCAGTATACCTTCTCTTTTCAAATGAATCGCAGCATAGCATCATAAATGCCAAAAGCCCGCCGTTCAGCATTGCTTTCAGTTTTCTTCTGTGCTGAGAGTGTGGACGCCATTGTTGCCGCTCGCTTTCCGACGCGGCAGAGCATATCGTAGAGCCGTTAGAAGAAGAAAGGAAGTCTTCTTGCTCGAGTATGAAATTTTCTCTCTTAGCTATCTGCCCATTTCGCTTCCTTTGTACCGATCGATTCCTGATGTTGCGTTTTAGCTTTTTTTTTTTGTTTTATCCCGGGAATAATGGTTTATCTCTGAGTTCTTATCGTCGATCATAGATAGATCGTGAAAATCGACCATAAAAACCCTTTCAAAATTCAAATTTCTGAAGTTGTTACTGGAGTTTTGGGGTTTAGTTTATGAAATGTAGATTAGGGAAAATGATTGATCAGAAATTGGTTTCCAGGAACCTATGGCGCATATAAATAGTATGGTACATTAGGATATGAAATATGAAATGTAAACAACAGGCTTTTCCTAATATTTGAAATTGAAATAGGCATTTATTTATGGGGAAAACCTTGAAGTGACAGCAAGTTATGGAGCATTTCAAAACGGAATTTGTTTGTGAATTGTGATGTTCTCTTTATGTAATTTGTGTCTATTTATGTAATTTGTGTCACTTTAAGAGTGTGGATTTAGATTACATTGACAAATGTTACACGTGTTTGAAGAAACTGCAAAAGCCGAACTATTTAGGCAATGTATCTTTAGTAGGAAATTGGGGTGTTTTTAGAACTTAGAATTCATATACCATTAACTCATTCTTTTCATTTTCCTGAAGGGTGAACATGGAAGGGCTTCCTTCAAGCTCTTCTGTTGGCGATGAGGATGACAAGAATCTTGAGCAGCTGTATCACACATTTGGTTCTGTTGTTTCGCTTGAAGATATAGCTGCAGCATATTGGGAAGCAGGTCGTAATCTTTCTATAGCTGGTGACACACTATGTAATCTACAAGATGCCAAATCTACTACTTCAAGATTTGAGTCACATTCTGAAGATGACAGCATGGAAACAACATCTACTGCATCGTTAGATTATTGTTTACAGAAAGACCGAATCAATTTATCCAAGCCAAAAAGGTGTGCAGCATCAACTGGAATAGTTCCCAATGTGACTCGCAGAGAATATGATGGGCCAAAATCACTAAAGGATGAAGCATCTAAGCCGACCAAGCCATTGAAGCTAAATTCAGATGACATTCCTTTCTCTGAGTTATGGAAGGACGAATCCAGTGTACAAGACACAGAAAAGACTGAGACCCTCGGTCTCGATATTGAGGAATTTTTGTTTAAAATGCTTGGAGATGGGTTCTCTCTCGATATTAGTACAATCCACGATGTTGTTGGTAAGCTTTAAGAGTATGGCCACGAGTATGATTTTTTGTTCATTGAATACTTAAGTACTGTTTCAAGTTGTTCGCTGGATTTCATATGAATGGGAGTATTTTTGGATTGTGGGAACGGATGCCAGTTCATGTTCACTGCGCTATTTGCTCAAAATATTATCCATTTTGCATATTTATTTACAGTTCAAAAAGATGCAAGAGCTTCTTAAAGTGATATGATATTTCTTCATGATGATGCTTTCTTATGTCCCTATTGCATTTTGGTCTTCTACGATTTTGAGTCCCATGCAAACTGTATATTTTTCTACTAGTGCATAATTTGTGGCTTGTTTATAACCAAGTAGAAAATGATACTACTTACTAGAAAATGGTTTACTTTATAACCAAGTAGAAAATGATACTACTTACTAGTATATTGTAGCACCCTTCAACCAAAAAAACACAAGATAGTCTGTTGGGGTTTGCCCTACAATCTTTTCAAAACCAATATAGTGTTATGACTTCATTTGTTGCATCTAATGTTCTGTTAGTTGGGGCTTTATTGTCTCAGTTACATTACCTAGTCCTTGTGTCACTTGTCTTGCCATTGTCACTTATCTAATCAAATAATTTGTTGATCTTTTTATAGGCCAATGTGGATATGATGTGAATAAGGTACGTGTAGATATGTAACAACTACATACGTAGTTTAAAAATTAATACAACAACCAATGAAACACAGTTCCGAGCTGATTAATGTAAATTCCTGATCCATTTAGTTGATCTTTAGATCTCGGTTGCCAGCATCGGTTTACTGATCTATTAAATTGTTATGAAGAGTTGATTTTGGCTTGTGGGTGCATGACATCTTCTTTGCTTTTGATGGCATACAGAGTATGGATAAACTCATGGATATGTCAGCAGCAACTTTGGGGAAATGTGATGATATTGTCAGCACAAATTCTGAAAAAGTAGGTTTGCCTTTGGGAAGTACTTTGTATGTTTTACTTGATGATATCTGGTGCTTGTAGTTGTACCAACTTTTAAAGAATGAAATTCTTTCATTGTGTCCTAGCTGCTAATGCTTATGAAGTTCCACATAAACTGAACCTTTAAATTTGTGTTACAATTTGGAAAAGAATTACTTCTACAGTTCTATTTTTCTTTTCCTTTAGCCTTCCCAAGTTTCTAGACTGAGATAGAGTATTTATATGTATGTTGTTTCCTGTGTGAGATATTATTTGCTATGTATGTTAGTGCAGTAACTCATGTAGTTTGACCTTTACTACCATCTCATCTGACTGAGCAGCTTCCAAATCTCAAATCAAAATCATCTCAATGTCCTGCTGGAAGGTATGCTGTTTTTATGGCTGGTAGTGTTTCACAGAAGAATCATTGTAACAGATTTTGTGGATATTGAATTGTTTATTGATGCATAGAAGGTCAAACATTTGTAACAGCAGCAATACAACTGGAAAGGGCTGCCAGTTAGCAAAGAAGGGGAGAAGTAAATACGAAGTTCAAAAAGAAATTTTAGGATCGTTGTTTGTTCTCCCTGGTAGATTTGAGGAGGCTGAAATAATTCCCCCTCCAAAAGTAGTTCGGGAAAATAGAAATGCTGTGGCCAAACCATTAAGATTGCCACCGATAGAACATCGCACTGTGTTTAAACGACCCTCTGAAATGAGTAAGCACTCCATACACTATATCAATGACTTTCCTGTTTTCAAATATGATTATTTAGTGACAATTGGAGCTGTAAACAAGTGTGAGACTTAACTGCTTATTGAAGAAACATCAGCTGAAAACAGTATGGCTAAGATGGCCCACTCAATCTCATCCAAGACTTCTGGTTTGGTTTTGCAACAAAACTATGTACTCTGTCCATCCTGAAATAAACTTCACACCTCTCTTTTTTGTCATTCCAAAATAAACTTCACAGTTCACAATCCAGCCATTTTCTCTTAAGGAATAGAACATGTGGCTCACAATCTTTATCATTTAAAAAAATTTCAGTTACACATATTCTACTTTTCATTACTTTTCTTAAACTCCATTTGGAAAGTTTAATATGGGACAGAGTGATTATTGGTCCTGTTTGGCTCACAACTTTGGCTGGAAACGTGTTTTTTCGGTGTTATGACTAGTCCAACAGCTATAAAAATTGTTTGGTGAGCGGTTTTTTAATATACCTTTTTGGGATTTAAAAAACTGGATTTCAAAAATGTTAATTGTCAAGTTTTTTGAAGACAACTTTTTCAATTCACCACTTTTTGCCTTCAAAATTTTCATCTTACCAAACAGTTCTTTCTTAAACAGCTACTCCAGTATAACAGACAGATGACACAAACATTTACCCAAGCAATTGACATAAACATCTAACTAACAATTGTATGCCAATTTCGGCCATAAGGCCATTATTTTCTTTGATCTGCTTCTCGGTTGGGTATTATATTCTTTTGTTAAATCTTTTTGGTGTGTTTTTTCTTACTGAAAAAATTATGTTTTCTTTTATCTTCTTCTGGTGTATTGTGTAATAAGATGATGATGAGGAAGATCAAACTTATGAAGTTCTTAGAAAAGCAGTGAAGGAATACTGGGCTATAATGAAGGAGTACTACAAGGCTGTAAGTTGCAATTTATTTTATGGAAAACAGATTCGTTGTCTGTTATTTGATTAAGACTTGAATGATTGATTTTTTGTATAAAAAAGTTTGATAATAAAAATATTGTTTAGGCCTTTGAGGCATATGTTAAAAAAGATCATGCAAGAGCATACACCCTTCTAGATGAGGTATGGTTTCTGGCTACTCAAAGTCTTCTGAACTATTCTCATTTTATAAATTCTTCAATGTGAGAATGACAATGGAGCAGTCCAACTTTCTACTGAGATGTTTGGATGATGGATAAGGTTTGATTTTTCTGTTTCTTTTTCTTTTTGGACTGGGGTTTTGTGGTGCAAGTTTAATCATATTTTGTTGCTTTGGTGATGTGAAAGGGGAATTTCTTTAGGATGAAGGCTCGAGAAGCAGATGAAAAGTCAGCAAAGAAGCTTATTGAACCCAGGTAGAACTAGAAAAAGAACTTTGGTACCTTCATTTAAGGTATGCCTGAAACCCGAAAATTGATAAAAGGGAAAAATTGCCAGGGGAAGTTGTCGTGCTACGTTTAGTTTTCGTAGTCTTCATATAATTGACACTAAAAAATAGTAAATTTATTTAGTTTTAGACTTCAAATTTTCTTCCATGATTCCTTGTGTGTTTTTCCCCTTGAATTTTCTGATTTCAAGAACTTCGTTTTTTTTCTGCTTCATCTGTGGGTGCAAACTGAAACGTTGTGTGTCAATTGCAGATCCATCAAGGATGAGGTAATCTTAGATATCCGTCATTTTGACCCAAAGGATGCGGTTCGCTTCCTGAAACTTCAATTAAATACCTATACGGGTATCCCATGTAAGTGATATCATTGTCGAATGTTATACCGAGCATCTTATTTGTGAGGGTTGCTTAGACCAGCTTCATGAAATCTCTGAGCTCTAATTTTTCATTTGTGCAATGACAGCTTTGCAGTATCTTAAGGTGATTGTTGGGGTCAACGAGGATGATCCCAAGGGTCGTCGAAAGCGTTTGGTATGCCTCTTCTTTTATTCCCATCCGTATTGGCTAGGATTTAGTTTGCTTAGTCATAAAAACCATGACAATTAAAAGGAACATGATAAATAAGGAATACAAGTCTTTCAAGTTTACTCCTTTTGTTCCTAAATAAAATTCATTCTTTGGCTTTACAGAGTTTAAACAAAAATATTGAAAAGTAAAAAATAATTGTTATTCCCTCCGTCCCAAATTATAATGCATGTTCACTGTTCACAGGGTCAAACTTCATTCACTTTTTTTCTCTATTTTCGTTAGCAATATGATAAAGTAAAATACTATTGTCACTACTAGTTTTGTAGATCTCTTGATGTAGTTTTTTAATATGTACTCCCTCCGTCTGGAAATAAACTTCTTACTTTGACTTTTCCTCATTTTTAGTGAAGGTTGATTTTAAGAGGGAAATGTCCAAAATACCCTTGTAGTCTCATGATCCTCACTGCCCTAGAACCCTTGGAGGCTGGAGCACCCACCCCCGCCTCAGTTCCCACCATCGCCCACCCACCGCCGCCCCACCCCCGACCGCCAACAGCCCCNTCATCACCACTGACACCCCCGACCGCCGACAGCCCTATCATCACCGCCTCCACCCCGACCACCGACAGCCCCATCATCACCGCCTCCACCCCGACCGCCGATAGCCCCCTCATCCCCATCAGTCACACAATCGTCCCCACCCACCACCATCACCATCTCTAGGAGAAAGAGAAAAAAGAAGGGGGAGAAAGATGAGAAGAAGATTAAGCACAGATCTAACACAGATCTACCGTAGATCCACCACGAACTCAGCTCCCACCACCGATGTTTAGTCTATCATCGCCATGTAGTCCATCCACTGTCACCTCAGCTTCATAGATCTAGCAGAGATATAAAAGAAAAAGAAGAAAAAGAGAGGGGAGAAAGAAAAGAAGGCGTATGAAAAGAAGAGGGGGTGGGGGAGAAAGAAGATGAGGATGAGAAAAAAAGAAAAAGAAGTGAAGAAGAAGAATCGGCAGAGGAGGAGGAGAAGAAGAAGAGGGGAGTTGGGAAAGTGAGATAGAGATATATGGGGGCTTTGGCCGAGAAAAAAGGGGAGAGAAAGCAAAAAAATAATTTGAGATTTAACAAGAGGGGTAGTTTAGGAAGAATTGGGATGAAAAGGTAGAGTAGGAAGATTTTTTTCAGACAGGGAAAAAGGTAGAGTAGGAAGATTATTCTTGGACGGAGGGAGTAGAATTCACTTAGAAGACAAATATTGCCTGGCAAAACTCCTTTTTCTTAAATGTGAGAAGTGTGGCTACAATTTTGGGTCGACTAAAGTGGAAAATATGATTTCAATTTGGTGACAGTAAAAATAGCTTGTGTAGTTCTCGGGATGGAGAGGTATGTATGTCTGGAATTGCATTTGTTTTGTTTATAATAGTCGAGGTTTTGACACGCAGATAATGAAGCTTTTGGAGGGGGAGTCGATAGCCTGGAGTGAGCAAGAGAACGGGAGGACTTTGGTCATAAAGGTCGACGAAATAAACCCGAAGATGCTCAGTTTCTTCAAAAGGCCTTCCACCACTGTTCTATGACCACATTCCTCTTTTGTCAAATTGCCAGACTTTCTCTTTTTCACTACATTCTTATTTCCTAGATGAAGTACTTTTGGGCAAATCATCTTCTTCAGCTATAATGGGGTCACACAAGAAAAAAAATGTACTTTCAGATCTTTTTATGAGGCTTCGAGACTCAAACTTTATGGGATTGAGTAAAAGATTGCAATGTAAGGTACAAGTTTTTTGGTAGCCATTTTTCAACTTTCCAAGCACTGCAACAGTTCCACCCTTAGGGGGTATTTGGGGTTTCAATTATGTGATGACCAATTTTGGAAGGTCATGACTTGAAGCTATATATACAGTTAAAGTACCCAAGTCAAAAGAAGAAGAATGGATGGATTGCAGACCAAAGTGAAATGCATACAATCTGTCTCCATGGTCTAATCTACAAGGGCCAAAACAGAACATGAGTAAGAATCACTTTCGCTCTAAACCGACACACATTTTGGGGGGTGTGGGGTTTTACAAGACGATCACTGTGTTAGTCTCTGAAACTCGTTCTGGCTATCAAAAGTCTCCATCAAAAGAGGTGGGGCGAATTGGGCGTTCCCTTGGTGCTCTTCCGAGTCTTGGCAAAAAGAAAGGATGATTGTGTCAATTGACATCTCAACCACCGAAAAGAAAAGGGTTGCGACAACATATCCAATGCCCCAACACACCTGTGGCGGATAAAAGAAACATCTTTGCTTCAAACATTCTGAGCACTATATCATTGAGGCATGAACAACGTACAAACATAGACAAAAAAAATGCAAACTGCGACTCTAAGAACTATAGACATAACGCACAAATTACAAAACACACTCAAGCACATGTTTCAAGCTAAGGCAAACCGCAAAAAACGCATTAATTACAAACTAAGACTCAAACATGTGTGCATGATCAAATACGAAAAGATGATGAATAATAGCAAGGTTAATGCAGAGTGAGTGTCGTTACCAGAACGGGAAAAAGTGGGGAGGAGATCTTCTCACTGGTGGACTTGTATTTGTGAGCATCCAACATGAGGAAGGCAAACAGAGCGCTTGCAAGGCTCACGAGTAGCTTCCCTAGGAAGAGAATTATGTCGCCGATGACATTCACTTTCCCTATCCTCAGAATGTTACTGATAATAAGTTCTGTTGCCATCTCCGATGCTTTGAAGAAGCTCTTCCCAGTAATAGCTATCTGCATCAATATCATTTGACCCACGATTGACACAAAGGATGACACTGTCGGTGAGTTAGTGAGTGTGTGTGTGTGTGTGTGAGAGAGAGAGAGAGAGAGAGCTGACCATAATATAAGCATTACGGTTCACGGATTTGATGGTCCAGCTAACACATCTCAAGCAACCCTTCGACACATGGAATGCCGTCCTCCCAATAAAGTTTTCTGGTGCAGAATCAGAGCCTTTAAGTTTTCGCCGAAGAGCTCCGAGAATGGAACGGACGGGCTCAATGAAGGACACTGCCAGAGATCCAATAGCAACTGACCCAAGGTTGTAACGTATCAGCCGTTTCATTGAGGCGAAAACCGGTAGAAATTGAATCTCCACCTGCATTGCAAAAGAAAATGAGATCATGGGCTAAGAAAGCCCAAGCCCAAGAAAGAGGTAAAAAGCTTCGACAACTCACCGAAGATTCACCTTCGCCTTGGGCCCAATAATAAGAAGCAATAGAGCCCGCGACGATAGTGGACGAGAACGCAACAAAGAACTGAGTGGCCCAATAGCAACCAAACAAGTGAAAAAGAACGGCAGCAGTTCTATGCGGCATCGGTTGGATGGTGTATCCACAACACCGGTCGCACGTAACCTTTTTGGCTTTGAGGTCATAAGCACAGCAATTGGTGTTGCAGTCGTTCTGGACAATTCGCCCGGAACTAAAGAGATGGAGAGCAGCTGAAAACCAGAGAATGTAAAAGATCCCAAGGATGGAATATGGGATTATGGGGAATATAATTAGGGCATGTACTTCTCCAATGACTTTAGCAGCAACCTGTTTAGTCATGTTTGGCAACCAAATGTTACAACTTTATACATTGCCAATGGGGCTAAAAGAATCATTATTAACAATGTTTTAGTTCCCGGCACATAATATATAGAGCTAGAAAAAAAATGTAGTGAAACTTGCCTTGAGAACAGATGAAGCCATTAAGATGCGTCTCACTATTGCTATAGACGATAACAGAGATATGGCCATAACAGCAGTCATAGTAACAGCAGCAATGTGGAGATGGCTTCGTTCCTACACAGTTAATCATGTGAGTTCATGGCATAAATAATCAATCAAAGTAAATGTAACAATTAAGAAATAATTACTCCCTCCATCCCCAAACTAAATTTACCCTTTCCTTAATTCACACCAAAATAAAGTTTAGACTTTTCCTTTTTTTTAAAGAAAAGATTTTCCTCATTTGAAAAAAAAAATCATACCGACAATTTTTCAACATTTTCTCAAATTCCATGAAGGCAAACTCTGAACCTAAATTAGGGACGGAGGGAGTATTTTTTAGATTTAAGAAGAAATAAAGTATACCCTTGCGGACACATGATAATATGGATCCGGTTCACCAATGACTGGAGAGATTGCATCATTTCCAATCCATCCAGCTGGAAACAGCAGAAAAATGAATAAGGGCTAATACAATATTCCATTAGAGTGATTAATGAGGAGAGAAGGAACTAATAACAAACCAAACAAGCTCTAGTATATCCCACATAACAGTAGAGTTTTTGAAGGGGTACGGAGATCTTACCTCTACTCCAAAAAAGATGCGTACAAAGAAGAAACAAATAATAATTTGTGTGGGATTTTACTAGGTTTGTTGTTGTTGTTTGGCGTTAAATAGAATAGCATCGTTACCTTTTAAATAGAAGAACATTGTTACAGTTATAATGATGGCATTAAACAAGAAAACTGTTATCCACGCCATGGCGGTGACAAAGTGCCGAATCATCAAAAGCCAGACGACAGATAGGAATACTGGCAAAAGGCCTCCACAAACAATCAAGACAAGCCATGACTTCCCAATATCAGCAACATATCTCTGCAAACATATGTCAAATACTCAAATCATGAAAAGAAAAAAAAGACAGTTGCTATAACAATTACTCCTTCCATCTGGATTTAATCGCCCATTTTTTTCTTCATGCGACGCCAAAAACTATGTATATTGGTTTCTTGGCAAGTGAATTTATAACAATACTTATGTCAATATTACTCTCTGCACAAACCTTAAAGACGGATGATCGGGAGTTGATGAACCTATGAATTGCTTTATCTATTGCAATGTCCTCAAAAATCTCAACCCCGCCCATCTCCTTCCAATGCCTCAAAGACACGTTCGATGCACGGGCAATATATTGACAGCTCCAATAAACTGGAAAGATATAAAGTGAAACACATTGTCACATTGAACACTCAAACATTTCTTCAACAACATTATATTCCATACAGAATAAAGTATAATAACAAACATATTCAATCAGAATCCAAACATACCCTTAGAATAAGCATAAACAAAAACTCAAAAATCCAAGCTTGTGGTTGTAGGTCCGGAAAAGGTTTTATACTCTAAGCAGAATGTTTAACCAATAACTCACCATTAATGCTAGGAAATATGACAGGGTAACAAGGACCCTGAAGCTGAAGGGAAGTGTTCCTTAGTTCAGGAGTGAGGTCAGCAAAATAGTCATAATTTCTATCAACCCAATCATCAACCGAGAGACGAAGGTCGCCCTCCGGATAGTCACATACCCAATTCAGTGAATCATCTGAAGGGGTAGGACAGTCCAACAAGCAAATGCTTCGGGCATTTGCAAGCTTGGCATCACTGTCCTTTGAACTAGTTTGATAAACCTCATTCGGGTTTAACCAATATTTGAGATCCAACTCGTGAAGGTTTGGGTCTGCGTGTTTATCGCCACAAATGTTGCCTTTATAGTCCAGACCGTAACTTAACCTGCAAACCCCAACAAACATAAATGCCTCCAAAACTTACTAAAGGGTTCATTCATTCATATTCATATTCATCATCAGTTAATGTCACACATCATTAGAGAACAAAACATTAACAACAACAACAGACCCAGTAAATTCACATAGGGTGAGGTCTATAGAGAGCATTTGTACTTCTTCTCAGTAAATTTGGTGAATATTTTGAAACAAAAGATGTTATTTAACATCCATTTCAACCAAATAAAGCTCTGTTTGGTATAACTATTTGGCTTTCCACTTCAGCCTCCGTTTGGTAGAAATGGTCCGCTTATACGGTTCATTCGAAAAATCCATTTTACTTGTTCACTGAAATTAATTTCACCAAAAAAATCCATTCACAAAATTCATTGAGCAAACAAGCCTTACTAAACTGGCTCTAAGCAAGTAAAGAATCTACTTTTCCTTCATATCCTCCTTGTTCTGCTAATGAGAAACTTAAGGCTACCAAACGGAGCCATACAAAGGGCACATAAACCCCAAGTCACATATACAAAAACAGCTAACTAAACCTTCTTATGGTAATAAAATCAACCCAAATTCCCAAACTAGATCAAGATGAAAATTTTAAAAAATAATAAAAATAAAAAGGTGTAAACAACAAGAAAGAGTAAATAAGAAGGAAAATACCCAANGGTTGTTACTGTTCATAATACCTCAAAGGGTTTCCCTGGTTAAATCCGAAGCTTGAATTGACAATCATGGAGACCCAGAAAGCAATGAAGATGACCAAAAAAATCACATCTCTGCACTTTCTGTTGTGTTTTATAATTCCGCCTTCCCTCCCGTTCACCTCCCCATTCCCTTCACTGGAAGGGTATTTCCCTGTAGCATCTCCCACCTGTCCTCTCATGGCCTTCATCTGAGCAGAGATGTGAGGAAGAAGATGGCTTTCATTAGATGTGTGCGGCAGGGGAATGAAGAAGAAGAAGAAGAGTTGAAAGAAGACTGAAAAAAGAAAGAAAAAGTGTGAAAGGGGAGGAAAGCCTTATGGGAATTATTCTTTGATGATAACAAGATGGAGTAGTAAATAGTAATGCTAACTTTAATTCACTCCTTTCCCAAAACAATTTTTGTGTTACTTTCTTTTTTAGTCTGTTTTTTTCAATCCTTCATTTTTCAAAATAAATTTTGTACTTTGAAATTTGCATTTTGATTTTTTTAGAAAATAAAATAACTATGTCATCTAAAATATTTAATTTGACCAATTAAACATATTTATCACGTTATTTTGTTTAATGCACAAATTTTAACTTTTCTTAAAAAATTATTCATTCTTCCAAAAGAAAAGTAGTTCAATATGACCAAAATGGTAAACTTATACCAAAATAATTTTTTTATGTTTGTCCGTAAATAAAAGTGTTTACGGTAGTATATAATGTCTGTCTTTGGCATAACTACACGTATCTTTGAATATTTGTTTAATTTTGAGTTTTTGCAATCAAAATTGATAATTTTTTGCTATTAACTAAATAAAATTTATACTAGAGTATTAGATATTAATATAAGAATAGTTTTTTTATATCTATGCTGTAAAATATTTTTAAAATATTATTTTTCTAATTGATAAATTGTGTAATTTCTATTTAACTAAAAAGCCAAAACCAAACAAATACTGGGTGGTAACACTCTTTGACATCATATATTTTATTATTTTATGAATTATAAATACGCAATTTTATTTGGAATAAAAGGAATATTATTCTATGAATGAATAACTCCTTTCGCCCCAAACTAATTTTTCCAGATACTATTACAATCTCTCGATAACATATACTAGTATTTGTAAGCATGTTGATCATTTGATATAATAAAATATTTTTATTACGAACTCTTTCAATCCATAAAATACATTCACATAAATATAATCACTTTTTTTATCTATTTTTGATAAAATAATCATGTTACCACTTATTTTGTTGCTCATCTAATGTAGTTTTCAAATATATGATTTTTAAATTAACTTTCTACACTGGTTTTGGGATAAATTAAATTCAAAATGATTTGAATCAAACATCGTAAATTACAATGAAAACATAATCTTCAGATGGAGGAGTATTCTTTTGAAGAATTTTTGAATTAGTTTTGAATAATATAATTGTACATTTTATTTTAACATAAATTACTCTAATTTGGAAATAACTTAATTACAAAGTATGAAGAAAAATACGGAGTATGAAAGAACAAAAACCAACTTGTTGAAACTACTTTGGCGTTATTTTTAAGGTTAGTGTGGGAAACTCTCTTTCTCTCTCTCTCCTCTACCCGTTGTTAATAACGTGATACTATGGGACCCATCTGCTCTCTCTCTACCCATTTCTCTATTCACGGAGCTTTCCTTTGTTCTCTCTCTCTACTGTTTATTCCATTTACTCATATCGTGCTGGGTGAGGACATGGCATTGAATCATTGGTGGCAAGAAAACTAAACTAATGTTTTCTTTCACTTGATTAGTTCTGATCTGATTGAGATGAGTGCTGATCTAGTCTAATTGAATCTGATTTAGTTTTATCTGAATTTAATGTAGTTATATTTAAAGCTATTTCTGATCTGTTATAATTCGAATAAGAATAAGAGTAATAAGTAAAAAAAATAAGTTGGGAGAAGATGACCGATGACCATACGGTGTGGGGCGGCGTAGTGCACCGTGATGGTCACCTAGCGCCACCTCACCCCATCACCCCGTGAAACACTACCCCCATGTGAGACCGTGATATGGTGATGGCCATTACGGTCACAGGTCACCATAATCATTTTTTCTTTTTTATTCTTCGGCCTTGTTTGAGAACAGTATTTTTTTATTAGCATTAGCGTTTTAAATAAAATTTTAGTGGTGTAGATTAATCTTTAAAACTTTAACGTTAAAGACTATCGTCAAATAGTTTTTTAAGATGTTAACACTAATATCTAATCCTCATAATCATACCAACGAGAGCCTTCCACTCCTTTCTCTCTCTTCCTTTTTTCATCCTTATCTTCTTTTATCTTCTTCTCCTTGTTTAATTACTTTCTATTCTCACTTTTTTTTAGTTTTTTTTGTTTGTTTTTAATATAAGTTTTTAGGTTTTTGTTTAATTAAATTTTAAAAAACGTAAATTAATTTTATTTGGTTTTTCTTTTTTTTGTTTTATGTCAATGTAATTCTAGACTTAAATTTAATGAAATATGTATTTAATGTTTTTTTTGAAGTTATTTTCATTTAAATATATTTCAAAAAATAAAAAAGAAGGACGTGATGGGCGTGATCCACACCCATGCGGTGTGATGATGGTGTGACGGGTTATGACGGAAAAGAGAAAAAAATGACATGGCGCTCAGTGACACAGAATAGGATGGCGGGATGGGGGTGAGGGATCACACAAGACCAAATAGCCTAATGAAAAATACTTAACTTCACAAGCAAAATACCCAAAATTATTCTTGGATTCCTTTGATTTTCTGTTAATAAGTCTTCGATTTCACATTATCTGAAATATACACTTTGGTATCTTTGATTTTTTAGTAAGAATAATCATATCTCATATTATTTGAAATATACTGTAACGCCCCAAAATATACCTTCAAATTATTATTGAATTACTATTCAAGTAAACAAATTTGTTTTTAATATAATATATTATTATTGGGCTTTGGATCGAGATAGAATGTATTTTGATATCCAATATCAGAAACTTGACAAATCTTGTGGATATAAATCCAAATGTGTTCTCCATAAAAACAAATGATCAAGACAACAAAAGTGGACTTTTTAAATAGAAATGATAAATATTGTTGGAATGGATAAAAAAGAGAAAGATTTTGCAGGATCGAGAGAATACAACTTAACGTGCTTCTAAGCCATAAAAAATAACTAGGTCATATATACTTAACTTTAAGTCAGTTGTTTCGTTTTTCTATTTTTATTAGATTATTTATAAAATCATCTCTCACTATTTAAAATATTTTCAAATGACTTATCTATTATGTAAGTTTTCTTACTTCTATGAAAGAATATTTGATTTATAGCTAATGTGGCAACGTATAAGTTAAAAACTACTAGTATTTATTAACCGCAATAATTGTACTGTGTTTCTTCAATACTCATTTACGAATAATTGAATACATGATTTTCTGAAATGGGGTGGTATGTTGATTCCTTAATTGTAATAATCCTCTGTATAAGCAAAAGAAAGACGGCAAAGGGTTTACGATTTTACATTAGCAGAAAATCCAAAAGAAGAGAAGAAAGCATCCCAACACCGCAATCTGAATCTTTGTGATGCAGTGATTAATCAATCATTGCTCGTCAATCTTCTCTGTTGAAATCCTTCAATGTCATGCTGTAACGCCTGAAGATTTCTTCTTTTTCGGTGTTCTCCCGGAGAGAGGAAGATGCCGAGCGTCGGCGTGAAGCTTTACAGTGTTTTCTTCAAATTCATGCTGAAGCATCGCTTGCAGAACCGGATTCAGAGCCAGAATGTGGGCGGACACGACGCTGCCGCGTTTGGAGTCACTTCGCGGCCGGAGGAGGAGTCCATCGCCGCCGCGAATCCGGTGTTCACCGACGGAGTCGCCACCAAGGACATTCACATTGATCCGTTAACTTCTCTGTCCATTCGAGTTTTCCTTCCCCAAACATGCCTTGATTCCCCCGATTCCGATTCCAGGCTCCAAGCTAAATCTAAGGTTAGGGCTACTGTGCGGAAGTCCGATTCGGTTCCCGGATCCGATCCGAGTCAGGCAGTTCATCGCAGGAGCAGCTACGGTTCTCCTGCCACTAACAATGGAGCGATTTCTCGAACGGAGAATGGTGACCAGAGTTTTTTTAATCACAATAATCATAGGAGAAATAGCTACGGGTGCACTGCGGATGATCTCAGTTTGGCATCCAATAACGGGGTTTACAGAGGATACTCACCTGCCAGCAAAAACTGCCGGAAGTTGCCCGTGATGCTACAATTTCATGGTGGCGGTTTTGTGACCGGGAGCAAGGATTCGGTGGCGAACGATATCTTCTGCAGAAGGATTGCGAAGCTCTGTGATGTGATTGTATTGGCTGTTGGGTACAGGTTAGCTCCCGAGAATAGATTTCCGGCAGCATTTGAAGATGGGTTGAAGGTGCTGCAGTGGGTGGCTAAGCAAGCTAATTTGGCTGAATGTTGCAAGTCCTCTTTGGGGAGCAAACAAATTGCAGATGCCTTTGGAGCATCAATGGTGGAACCTTGGGTGGCTGCTCATGGTGATCCATCAAGGTTAGCTTTCAAACTAGTTAGGAAATGGGTTTTGTTTCTCACTTGAACAGAAGAGTGAAAACTGCTGCGTTTTAAAATTCATCTTATAAATCTTAACACGGAGAAATGGTGATCGTTGAATATTTCCTTCTGTATCTGTTACACTTTTCCACAACATAGTTTTATGATATTGTTCACATGGTAGTTTCAAGGGCAGTGGATAGTTAAGCTCTTAAATATATGGAACTTAATTAGGAACATGGTATAGTATAAAACCTGAGCTCCATTCACCCTTGTTTGAAAAATTTTATTCCTTTGTTTTGAAGTATCCACGAAAAACTATGGCTTTTGTCTGAAACTCTGAGTCACATGAAGAGTTATGTATTAAATATTGAACTAGCAAAGAACACTTACAATTTTCACCAAATTTCTAGGTTTTAGATATAACATGGTATGCAAATCTACACAGTAATGCGGTACATTAGGTAATGAACAATATGATGCATGTCATTGATGAAGAAACCTACCACATAGATATTCAATGCTTCATTTTGGGTACTAAGTATTGAGCATAGTATGTATGATACAACGACTAAACTTATGTCCCTAGTAACATGGGGTAGGCTGTATGAAGTATGAACCAAAAGGGAGAATCATGTTCCGTCGTTCAAAGAGAATAGTATGGATGGTGACATGGATTAAACAAAGAACCAAATTGAAATTCCTATGACTTTAGTTTTGTTTGAGGTTTCTTGGCTCATTGAGAGTCAGCCAATTTACCTCAATGATTTTTGTTTTCTTAAATTGTTATTTGTTCGGATAGTACTCACTACTCAGTATTCCCTCGTCTCAAGAAAAATTCCTGCTCGGGCGAGGTTCACGTTTTTATGCTTAGTCAACTCAATCAAGTTAAAAGCTTTTGCATATGAATTGTCAGTTATAAGTTATAACCCCATTCTTGAATGTTACTTGAAAACTAACAATTAAAGTTTTCTTTACTAGAAGTTAGTTATCTGGTCAAAAAGTTTTTGAAAACATCTGTTGTTTTTTTGGGACAAAGAAAGTTCCCCCCCCCCCCAAAAAAAAAAAAAAAACTTGAAGCATATTTTTTAATCATTTTACTTCGTCTTTACTCCTTGCCTGCTCCATGAATGTTATGTTCCTCTGCTTGAATCATATGCAGTTTAATCTATTCCAGTACTTTATATTTGAGTTAACAATATAATGTCAATTACTGTTTTAAAAATCATGTTGAATTAGTTGTTAACATAGCATAAGGCATAAAGCTGAATGCTTCTACAACTCCACAACTATCTCATGTCAGCATGTTATTATAAACATTGTTTGGCGCGTTATGCAGATGTGTTCTCCTTGGAGTGAGCTGTGGGGGGAATATTGCTGATTACGTGGCTCGGAAAGCCATAGAGGCAGGCAAGCGTTTAAACCCGGTGAAGGTGGTGGCACAAGTTCTAATGTACCCTTTTTTCATTGGAAGCATTCCCACTCACTCTGAGATAAAGCTTGCAAACTCCTACTTCTATGACAAGGCCACATGTATACTCGCATGGAAATTATTACTACCCGAGGATCAATTTAGTCTGGACCACCCAGCCTCCAACCCGCTAGTCCTGGGTAAGGGCCCCGCTCTGAAACGGATGCCACCAACTTTGACAATAGTGGCGGAGCATGACTGGATGAGGGATAGGGCCATTGCTTACTCAGAGGAGCTGAGGAAGGTAAATGTTGACGCACCGGTGTTAGATTATAAGGACGCAGTTCATGATTTTGCCACACTAGACATCCTTCTCAAGACCCCTCAAGCTCAAGCCTGTGCCGAGGACATTGCAATATGGGTCAAGAAGCACATCTCACTTCGAGGTCACGAGTTCTCGTACTGAGCCTAGACTCAGGGACAGACATATGGACAATCATGGGCCAAACTTCTTAAAACTGCACCATTTGAACTTTGCAGTCTGCAGTATAATGGACCAAGATGGGACCCCGAGGTTGCCTGGGCCCGAAGCGTGCCGCTTCAGTGTGATCGCCCCCTCCTGGACCAAGAATGGAACTACTCTGTATGTATTACATATTTACGTTACCGTGGATATGTTTGTGTCTGTTGATGCTTTGGGTTAAGTAGAGGACTAGCCCGAGCGAGTGTAGAAATTAATAGGGTTTTTTTATATATATATTTTTTTAAAAAAACAACAAATCCCGTACGTTTTCGGTGTTATGGACACGATTCCATTCATTCAATTTGTTATTGAGTTGTACAATCCCCGGCGAATATACTACCCGTATATTTTATTACGCGTACTCTTTTATCGTCCTTTCTTATTCGGTTTTTTTAGTGCACGCCTTGCTCCCGGATTTTGAATCTTTGATGAAAACTAAAAGGGGTTGTTGAAGTGTTGTTGTTAGAACAGATTTTGGCTTTCACAAAAAAAAAATGGTTTGTTACAAGACTGTCTCTCATTATAGACATTGTAACCACCGTATTTATTTGGTTGTGCAGATTTCTTCAGTTTGTGTAAATCTGTATTGATTTATAGAGCTATTTGGTTGGTTGGTTACTTTTATCGATCAAATTTTCTACCAAACACAAAACTTATTTTACTCCAAAAGCTGAATCATGTGATTATTAAAAGGAAAAATTATCTCAAATAATCTCATCTTTTCGCGTTCTTTCAAAAATAATCTCACTTTTCACTGTCACCGGAAATAATCCCACCTTTTCGCATGTGTGCGAGTTTTGGGTCATTGTTAAAACTAACGGCCACTTAACGGAAGTTTTTGAAAATGCCTCTTTTTTGCAAATAAATGAAAGGTGGGATTATTTTAGAAAAATTTACTTTTTACTTTTTTAGTTTTGAATTTAAAATTAATATTTTTAAAAATATAACAATACACTCTTGTTAGAGATTTGTCTAACNGTGATTTATAAAATTTATGGGTTCCGTTTCGGAGAAAAAAATATTGTGTCATTTTCACAACTTTTGAATTACTATTTTGGGGAAAAATTTGTATTGAATTATTAAAAAAATCACAAATTGGGTAGTTCCATTTTAGAAAGAAAATTTTATTGCAATATAAGATTATCAATAAAAATTTCAGAGTGTTCATGGAAAAATTGCAATACATCAGAAAATGTAGTGAGTTATAAAAATAAAAGTTCTATTTTAGAGAAAAAAATTGTTGTGTTATTTTCACAACTATTGTAATGTTGTTTCACAAAAAATATTTATATAGAACTATCGAAAAATATTCATAAGTTTTGTAGTGCCATTTTTTTAAAAAAATAATAATAATGTAGTATCAAAAAATAATTTGAAGTGCAGCTCAAGAAAAATACAGTAAATGCAACTTACAAAACGGAGGGAGTAGTTAGTTATGAAGTTAATAAATTAGCTCTATTGTGTGGAATAATTTATTTTCTAATTATTACCATATTATTGGTTATTGAAAAAAAACAATTAGTTTCACTCTAAAAACACTTAAATTTGGTATTTTTTCCAAAAAAATAAAATAAAAATACATTTAAAGAAATTAAAAAACGAAAAAGGGAGAATTTACCTAAAATAATCCCACCTTTCATTTATTTGCGAAAAACGGACATTTTTCAAAATTTCCGTTAAGTGACCGTTAGTTTTTTAACGGGGACCCAAAACTCGCACACATGCGGGAAGGTGGGATTATTTCTGATGAAAGTGAAAAGTATGATTATTTTTTAAAGAGCACTAAAAAGTGGAATTATTTGAGATAATTTTTCCTTATTAAAAATAGTGGAGAGAAGGTACTATTTTGTTTAAATGAATATAAATGGTCCTTTTAAAATGTGTTTGTAGTCTATCTTATCTTACTCTGTTCTACACAGTGTCTGTAACCGGTAAAACATGTCTATATTGTTTATATTTTTGGGTGTGATTTAAGTGTCATGTATATTCACTCTCTCTATTTCGTTTTGCCGAAACTATTGAGATCTATAATGGTTGAGTACAATTATTTTTTAATTTAATTTATCCAGAAAATGGTGAAATTTTAAAAATAAATTGTAGACGGAAACAAATGAAATACTCCAATGTTTTATCATTGTATAGTCAAACAAGTTAAAACAAATGAAATGGTCCAATTAAACTTACATATATAAAAAATATGTTAAAAATTTTATAAAATAAGAGATATTAGAAATACTTTATTTTATCAGAGGGAAAAAGATTAAAATATGAGTAAAAAAATAAAAATATACTAAAATATGAGTTTCATGTTTTTATTTTTGAAATAGGAGTTAAAAAGTATTTACATTACCAATCATGACCATGTACAATATAAAAGAGTATAATAAAATACTCACAGTGAAAAGTACTATTCAGGGAATAAACACATGGAACTCTTGGTACTTTCTCTATGTCTTAGAGAAAAAGATTAAATTAGGATTAAAACTTTGAAAATATACTAAAATAGAAGTTAAAATGCATTTATTTTACCAAACATGGTCATGTACATTACTAAAAAGTGTAGTAATGTGCACATGTACAATGCCACATTATAATCACATTACCACAGTACAAAGTCTTATTTCGAGAATAAAAAAACATGAAACTTCTATTTTGATACTTTTTTTTATGTTTTAGTCTTATTTAATGTGATTCCTATATATTTTACTCTTATTTGATTTTTTTAGCAAAATAATTAATCAAAATACACCTTATTTGGACTTTGGAATCCAAACTCCAAAGTGTAGTTATTTTTTAGAGGGAGGAGTACCTAACTTTGAAGCGAAAAAAAAAACTCAAAGAAATATTTGACTTTTCGAGGCTGAAATTAAACACAGTAAAAAATGTCAAAAGCATGAAATTCTGATCGTCGGAGCTATTCCCATTTCTGCGTGCGTAATGGCGAGATTCGCCGCATTGGCGGCGGTAGTGTCAGCGGCGGTGCTGATCAGTAGTTTAGGGTTGGCGGAACCCCAAACGCCGGCGGCGCCATGGAGGATCCACACCCTGTTCTCGGTGGAGTGCCAGAACTACTTCGATTGGCAGACGGTGGGCCTCATGCACAGCTTCAGGAAATCCCGGCAACCCGGCCCGATTACCCGCCTCCTCAGCTGCACCGACGAGGAGAAGAAGTCTTACAGAGGCATGAAATTGGCTCCCACTTTTGAGGTCCCATCAATGAGCAGACACCCCAAGACCGGTGATTGGTAGCTTAATCCCTTTCTTCACTATTTATGCTTCTTTAATTTCTTGAATTCATTTTGAAATTTTACTTTTTTAACCTCACTCACACGAACCCTTTTTCTCTTTATGTAATATACATTGGATCTTATTGTGATTATGGTTTCTTGATGGAATCAGAGAAGATGAATTTTTAGGGCTTTTTTGTGTCTCCAGGTATCCTGCAATCAACAAACCTGCTGGTGTGGTGCACTGGCTTAAGCACAGTAAAGAGGCAGAAAATGTGGATTGGGTTGTGATTCTAGATGCAGACATGATTATCCGAGGCCCAATCGTGCCATGGGAGCTCGGTGCCGAGAAAGGAAGACCCATTGCTGCATATTATGGGTAAGACTGGTTAGGTTTTATATTGTAATTTGTTGGATGTGTGAATTATTCTCCTCTTTGCATGATGTTACCAAATGATTTGTTTTTCAGGAAAAAAAATGAAGATCTGATCGTTTTAGCCGGATAACTCTCACAAAACTGTCCTTAAAAATGATGCTATGCAGCAAATTGATTACTTTTATAACATTTTCTGTTCATCTTCTCTGTTTTTCCCAACATGAGATCAGAAAAAGATCACAACGGGTGACATGGCATGGAATGCAGACCGTCTTGCATTTTGCATACTAGATGCCTTGCATTAGAGAATATCTGTAATGCAATCCACAGTACTTAAGTCTTCTAGTTGCTTTTTAGTTGTTAAGTCACTTCTTGTGTTTTTCACTTGTTTTCTGTTTCTATTTTTGGTAGGTGCTATCTTTTTCTCTAACTGCAAACTGAATCTTTTTCAACTTTCAGGTACTTGGTTGGTTGTGACAATGTTCTTGCCAAACTGCACACGAAGCATCCGGAACTGTGTGACAAGGTTGGTGGGCTTCTAGCCATGCATATTGATGATCTTCGGGCTTTAGCGCCCAAGTGGCTTTCAAAAACTGAGGAAGTACGAGAAGATAAAGCCCATTGGGCCACCAACTATACTGGTGATATATATAATTCCGGGTGGATCAGTGAAATGTATGGGTATTCTTTTGGTGCTGCAGAAGTAAGTTTTTCCTCTGTTTCTGGTTCTTAATCATGCCTGTGTAGGGTGTACTCTCTCGTTTTAGTTTCTACCTTTTCTTAAATGTCTCAGGTGGGACTCCGACACAAGATCAATGATAATTTGATGATTTACCCCGGCTACATTCCACGAGAGGGCATTGAACCTATTCTTTTGCACTATGGGTTGCCTTTCAGTGTCGGTAACTGGACATTCAATAAACTTAAGCATCATCAAGACAACATTGTTTATGATTGTGGCCGCCTCTTTCCAGAGCCACCTTATCCTAGAGAGGTAAAACATTAACACTATGTTTAGTTCGAGGAATTAGGAAGGAAATTGTTAAGGAAAGGAAAAGAAATTAAATCCTATTTTTTTGGTTATTAGTGAAATTGGTGAGGAAAATATTTTTCTTTCATGTGTTATGGAAAGAAGATCTGGAAACTGCCGCTCTATGTTTAACTTAGGGGTCAGGCTGCGTACATCCGACCACCCCTTATCCAGCAATGGGCGGGATCCTTTGAGGCACTGGGGTAATGTTGTAGTTGTTGTTTTGGCGAGAAGACACGGCTGAGAAGAGGGAGAAGTTTAGCGAGAGGGATTGAAGGGAGAGAAGCGAGAGGAGTTGAGCAATGGATTGGTTGCACTTGACTAGGTTTCTCTCCTTTTCCTCACCAAATTGGAAGTAAAAATGTTTTTCCCTTTTTAGTTTATTTTTTACTCATTTTTCTTTTCCTTCCACTTTTCTTTTCTTCTCTAACCAAACAAGAAAAATATTTTCCATACCATTTTCTTTTCTTTTCCCTATCATTTTCCTTGAACCAGACATAGTATAAGGAAATGTTTGGTAAGCCATAATGATATATGAAATGTAATGGAACCAATTCACAGTAGAAATATGTACTAAATATTGGTCCGATTACATTGGAATAAAGATGCTTAACGTAAGTAAATGAGTTTCAACTTGTGGATGGTTGTTGTCACCACTTGTATTACAAGGATTATCATGCTCAAGGATCCACTTTCTCGCATAAATGCTCAATGGTGTTGTTTGGAACCCAGAAAATGATAGGGAAAGAAAATAGGAAGGAAAATAAACAGGGACTTTGGAAGGAAAGATAAATCGGTGAAGAATATTTTTTTTTTGTCTTTAGACCTTTGTCCTAATATTTATATATTTCAGTTATATAAAGACTGAAATATAAATAAAGTTAACACATGCAAAATTCCAATCATGTTTGATTTTCCTCCGTGTTTTCTAAAAATGTTTTCTTAGCATTTTTTCCCTAAAATTTTTTGTATTCAAAAGATAGCCTACAGCTAATTAAATGAACTCTTTTGCATTTTGCAGATAAAAGAAATGGAAGTTGATCCTCTCAAAAGGAGAGCACTGATGCTGAATATAGAATGCATGAACACGTTGAATGAAGGCCTGTTATTGCAACATGCTGCTTTCGGATGTCCCAAACCAAAGTGGTCAAAGTATTTAAGTTTCTTGAAGAGTAAATCATTTGCCGACCTCACTCGACCAAAACTTTTGACTCCCAAAAGCCGGCAAACAATGGAAGTCACACATCAAACTGATGTTTCTCAAGCCACTGATGAGCCCGAAAAGCCACATCCCAAAATCCACACCATCTTTTCTACGGAATGTTCACCGTACTTTGATTGGCAAACTGTGGGACTCGTCCACAGTTTCCACCAGAGTGGTCAGCCTGGAAATATCACAAGACTTCTGAGCTGTACAGAAGAGGAGTTGAAGCAATATAAAGGCCATGATTTGGCTCCAACCCACTATGTTCCGTCCATGAGTCGACACCCTTTGACTGGGGATTGGTAATGTTTTTTGGCTGGTCATAACAAGCTCTCTTCAAATATTATTATACTATATTATCTGTAAAATAAATACAAAATGATACATGCCCCAAAAAGAGTCATGTCTGATCAAGGTATAATTTTTAGGTAAATTTTCATGTGTGACTTGCCTTTAGCTTTTTTTTTAAATTATCATGAAAAATAAGCTCCATATGATCAAACATCACTCTTTTGGGGACAAAAAAGTGATTGAAATATGACTCTTTACGGACTGCTTGGAGTAAAATGATATTAGACACCAAAGTTAGGACACAGTTTTTCACAATCAATTACAGAGTACAATTTATCATGTTCTTTATATCTAAACATTGCCTCTCTTCTCTGATCCACATATGTTTTGTAGATTAAAGGCACTTTTCATGCCAATACTCCAAATAGGCTATAATTATCATTTACTCCGTAACACCAATTCTTGTATACTCAAATCATTTTTATGTTAATTATATGCCAAATTTTCTCTGCTTCGGCAAACATTTGGTGTGCTAGTTTGAAGCACCGTAAAATGGAAATCGATTTTAAACACATTTGGTTCATGGAATGTCAGGTATCCTGCAATTAATAAACCGGCTGCAGTGCTTCATTGGCTTAATCATGTCAAGATTGATGCAGAGTTCATTGTTATCTTAGATGCAGATATGATCATGAGAGGACCAATAACTCCATGGGAGTTAAATGCAGCCCGTCACCGACCAGTCTCAACTCCCTACGAGTAAGAAAATTTGTAATACCATCTTCCCTTTCAGTTAAGAGATAATAAGGGTTGCATTAGATGGAATTCAGTGAATTCACTCGATTAGCCAGTCTATCCCCAAAACCTTGTGATTATCTCATATGTCTATTATTGCCGAGTTATCAAGTTGTTGGTTTTTCTTGAAATGGTTCAGCTATCTGATTGGTTGCGACAATGTTCTTGCAAAGCTGCATACGCGCCACCCTGAAGCCTGCAACAAGGTTGGAGGTGTGATTATCATGCACGTCGATGATCTCAGGAGGTTTGCTTTGTTGTGGCTGCATAAAACAGAGGAAGTCCGGGCCGATAGATCCCATTGGTCTAAAAACATAACTGGAGATATATATGAAGCTGGATGGATCAGTGAGATGTATGGCTACTCCTTTGGTGCAGCAGAGGTAGTTTTCACATAATTTGCTTTTGTAGAAAAAAAATTATACTCCGTTGCGCTAAATTTATTGGCATTTTCTCCTTTCCTATCTAAGGTTCTGTTTGGTTGTCCAGAAAATAATATGTGTTCGCATTTCTTATATCGCATTTCTTATATTTTACAGTTGAATTTGCGGCATGTCATAAGCCACGAGATTCTTATATATCCCGGATACATTCCTTACCCTGGTGTCAAGTACAGAGTATTCCACTATGGGCTGGAATTCAGGGTAGGAAATTGGAGCTTTGATAAAGCACAATGGAGGCACGTTGACTTGGTCAACAAATGCTGGGCTACGTTTCCGGACCCACCGGATCCAACCTCCCTTTCCCAAACCGATAATGACTCACTGCAACGCGACTTGCTTAGCATAGAGTGCGCAAGCAAGTTGAACGAAGCTCTACGGCTACACCATGAGAAAATGAATTGTCCGGACCCTAATTCTCCACCCGTTAAAGAGACAGAAACGGTTCATGAATCAACGGATGAGGTTGCATCTGGGAAAACAGACGAGGTTTCGGACGAGATTCAGTCTGTGCAGCATGATTCTGTTCCCAAGAATAGTTCTCAAGAATCGTCGCCCCCTGAGGTGACGAATGGGACATTGAGTTCCATGAGGTTTTGGATTATTGTTCTATGGGTCATTTCAGTTGTTGGGTTTTTGGCTGTTATGGGAATGGCTCTTTCGGGCCGTAATAAGGGCGCGAAAAGAAGAGGAAAGAGTCACAAGGCCAAGCGAAGGGCTTCTCATTCGGGTTTTTGGGATGTAAATGGCAACGAAAGGCATCTTCGCAGCAGCGAAACCGCATAAGAGCTACTACAATGTGAGTGAAAGGTACACAAATACCATCAGGTTACGGTGGGTGTCTTGAGTTGCCCTTATTCCAAGGGTAGTTCCGACATTTCTTGAACCTGTAATTTATTTTTATTTTTTTTGTTTGCTCATTGAATCATTATTCTTTTAGAATATAGACTTTGTGTATGATCTGTACATTTGAAAATAATAAAAAAAACATATAGAAAAAAGAAGTGTATCTATAACTAAATGTAATGCTTGTTGCCAAGTTTTTTTGCTTGGCTTCCCCTGAAGATATGCTTCCAATTCATGCTTTGGAATTGATTTCTTAATCCAAAAAAAATGCGTATTTCATAAGGGATATTTTTTTTTGGAATTTCAGGTGAATTATAAGAATTTAACAAGACTCATTCAACATGGATAAAGTATGCCAAAACCATACCAAAAATGGTTCTTTTTTATCAGAACCAAAATAAAGTATTGGTTTCATAAATCTTGTGCAAGTAAAATTGAGGAATTCAAACATTAAATTAGCTTCCATTCGTATAAACAAAATTTTAGATATATACTCACTTTAATTTTTTCTAAAAAAAATATGTATAAAATCATATTTAAAAACACATTTTGGGAGAGTGATAAAATTTGTGGAGTATTATTTTCTTTTCTAATTGCTCCAAACATCAACTTTCACTAAAAAGTAACATGAGCTTATATTAAATTAGAAGTACTCAATTAGTGCAAGTCAATTTGTATTCAAATGTAACAATTCAAATGCTTGAATATAAATTCAAACATGAATTTTTTTTATTCAACTTTTAAGCTAGAAGTACAAGAGTGTCCAACTTGGACAATGTACGAAATGAATACAAAAATGTATGCTTACATTAAAAAGGAATGAGTCTATTCTTTTTTTCTTACATTTGTATCAATATCTTTTACCAAAGGGTAAAGTTTTAATTATGGAGGGAGGGAGTTATCATACCAAACACACAAATGAATTAATGGAGAACCCAAGTAAGTTCATATCAAGAATGATAATGAGCTAAGCCCAGTTTACAAGCTGCAAGAACACACCCTATAGAGTATAGAGAAATTATTATGATAAAAAAAACTTAGGAGAAAAAGGGCAGTAGACCTTTTTTTTAATGTAAAGGCCAAAAGAACATTCTTTGTTTCTCTGAAAGATCTGCACATTGGAATGGCATTATTATTATTTTTGCAAATCGTTTTATCGTTGGGGGGGGGGGGGGTCGATACTTCTTCTAGAACCCACGAACATCATGAAAACTAGCATAATCACAAGCTCAGGCGAAGCGCTTGTTGACCTCTAAAGCCTTGATGTTCTGGATTTGCTTGCCGGGATTCAACCCTTTCGGGCAAGCTTTGGCACAGTTCAATATCGTGTGGCAACGGTACAGCTTGTATTCATCGTCAACCGCCTCCAAGCGCTCCTTTGTGTACTCATCTCGGCTGTCCATTATCCATCTGAAATTTCACACGCAAAGAGAAGAAGAATTATACAGAGTACAACAATAACAACAACCCCAATAGAATCCCACACAAGCTAGGGTGGTCTCAGGAGGGTAAGTGTCCTACACAGACCTTACTCCTACATGGCTACATGGAAATAGAGAGGTTGGGTTCCAAGAGACCCTGTCGCAAATACACAACTACGAGCACAAACCACAATAGCAATAACAAAGTACGAGTAAAGAGAGAGAAAACAAATGTACGAACTCAGACAACTACATCCAAAGCACACAAACACACGTACAAACTAGGGCATAAAAACCAAACCAGCAAAAAAACTACAAGCTAAGGCTTACAAATCTACCCAACTATTCTAATCTTATACAGAGCATATCCAGGCATTCATATCTAAGGTCATAACCTTGGAGAAGAATTATGTCAATTGAATTATGCTTAATGGTTCCGCTTAGAGCTAGGAAATCAATACGGAAAGAAAAAAGGAGAAAAATATACTTCGCATGTCGGATATAAAACATTTGGTTCAAGCACAATAAATATATTGTCGGTTTTTGCCCGTTCTCATTTCTTGAGCGGAAAGCCATTCACAATCAGCATCTCGGCCTTTTCACTTAGGTGTATGTAAAGTATGCATACATGCATCCTCCCTCATAAGACAATTTGTGAGGCCGTATTGGGTTGTTCCTCCTCCCACTCATCTTATATCGATTATATGAAAGAGTAAAAAATTAAAACATCTCACAAATTAAAAAAATATAACTCGTATTTCCTTCCCTCTCCACTACCTAGTTAGGTCTGCATACACAACTCCTCGGATCCTACTTTTTGTGGGCTTATATTGTGTCTGTTGTTAGTAGCGTATTTCTGAAAACGGCGGCCCTAAAAACCAAACCAGAAAAAAACTACAAGCTAAGGCTTACAGATCTACCCACTTACTCTAATCTTATACAGGGTATATCCAGGCATTCCTATCTAAGAACATAACCTTGGAGAAGAACTGTGCCAATTGAATTAGCCTTAATGGTTCTGCTTAGAACTTGGAAATCGATAGGGACAGAAAAAAGGAGAAAAATATACTCCGTATGTTGGATATAAAACATTTGGTTCAAGCACGATAAATTTATTGTTGGTGTTTGCTCATTCTCATTTCTTGATCCCAACACACCTTTCACAATCGGCATCTCGGCCTTTTCACTTAGGTGTATGTAAAGTAAGCATGCACGCATCTTCCCTCCTAAGACAAAATTCGTGAGGCCGTATTGGGTTATATGAAAGAGTAAAAGATCAAAACATATCACGACTTTAAAAAAACATAACTCGTATTTTGTTCCCTCTCCACTGCCTAGTAAGGTCTGCATATACAACTCCTCGGATCCTACTTTTTGTGGGTTTATATTGTGTCTGTTGTTTGTACTTTGTAGGTATTTCATTCTTCTTTGTATTATCCAATGTAAAACCAAGGGTAAAAATAACTGTACTCAACCTAAATTGTTTCTTTTCCCTAGTATTTTTCTAGGTTCCAAACATACCCTAAAATTCTGGTTCCCAGATTGCATTTCTGGTTATCACAGGTCCATAAAATTCACATAGCTTGCATCCCTAAGCAAATTTAGGGCCTGTTAGACAATTCATAAGAGTCATTTTCTGGAAGATAATAAAGGCTACCGAACGAAACCCTAATCAAGCTCATGTCCATTTCAACTAAGAATCCAGAGACAGTAATAAATTGCCAGAAAAAGTAAAGAGGAGGAAGAATTGTAATACCGGTTGGCATGGAGGAGGGCGGCGGGGCCGAGATAAGACTCGGGATTCCACCAGTAACTGGGGCAGGATGTGCTACAGCAGGCGCACAGGATGCACTCATACATCCCATCGAGCTTAGATCTATCTGCCTTGGTCTGGGGAATCTCCTTCCCTGGGGTAGGAGGCGGGTTCTTCCTCTTCAGCCACGGCTCGATCGACTTGTACTGGTTGTAGAAATTCGTCATGTCCACCACCAGATCCTTGATCACGAACATGTGCGGAAGCGGCGTGATCATGGAATCCGGCCCGGCGGAGATCTTCGTCAGGCAGGCCAGCCCGTTCTGGCCGTCGATGTTCATCGCGCAGGACCCGCAGATTCCCTCCCGGCACGACCTCCGGAAAGTCAGGGACGGATCGATCTCGTTTTTTATCTTGATCAGGGCGTCCAGCACCATGGGCCCGCAATCCTTCAGATCAATCTGGTACTCCTGAAGCTCCGGCTTCTTCGGGTTGTCGGGATTCCACCGGTAAATTTGGAACTTCTTCAGGTCGGAGGTGGCCGTCGCCTTGGGGTCCACCGTCTGGGCATGCGCCTCGGAAGCGTGAGCTCTTGCCAGAACAAGCTTCGCCGCTGCCGCCGGTGACGACGGAACCCTAGATATCGCTCGTCGGACCAAACCAGACGCCATCGCCGCAGATTGAAGGAATCGTTTGGGTGTTAACAGGGGGGCAGATGTTTTGGAATTGACGAATTGGGATATGTGTAGGCGGCGAAGTTGGGGAGGATTTATATGTAATTATGAGATTTCTACGTGGGCAAAATGGGGATACAGAATAAACCGCCATTTGCCGCCGTGGAGATGAGCTGACGTGGCAATTTGTGATCTGTCCAAGGATTTCAAGGTAGCGTGGCTGCCTCGTGCGCAATTCGACTTTTCTTTTTCTCCATATATTATCTATTTTGAAATTAAAAATCATCTTGACTAGGACTAAAATATAGAGAAAAGTATTAAAATAGAACTTTCATGTTTTTTTCGAAATAGGACTTTACATTGTGGTAATGTGACTTTGCATCGTGGTAATGCAGCAGTGTACATGTGCAGATTACTATATTTTTTTGGTAATGTATATGATCATGTTTGGTAATGTAAGTCCTATTTCGGGAATAAAAGCATGGAAGTCCTATTTTGGTATGTTTTCAATGTTTTAGTCCTACTTTGGTCTTTCTCCCTTTTGAAATCTGAGATGAATAACTTGAATTTCGAAAATTCAAATGAAATTATTTTAAGAGATCTAAAATCATAATTTAATTAGTAATCAGTGAGTCGGTAGTGGAGGCAATTGGAAGTGACAGTAGTAACCGATGACAAGGGATGTTTGACAATTCATTGATAGAAATATCAAATCTCTATTTGGAGGATTTCTGATATATGGAGATACTGAATTTGAATTCTTTATATGTCGTACCAAACACCGAAAGAGAAATATGATATCGAGAGATATGAAAATCTATATCACCTAAGCTTATTGAGAATGCCATAAATATCCTTTGAATCAATTTGTTCATTGTACTAGACTCGTGCCCGTACGTTGCACGGTCTAACTATAAACTATATAATTAGGGAAATCATTGATGAAAGAAAATAATAAAATTAAATTATAATAATAACATATAATCAAATAGTAAAGAAATTGTAAACACTATACGTATTCATCATGAAAGATCATTTCCATTGAATATCCCCCTCTTGCCCAAGCAGGAACAAAGTAGACCCGAACAGCTTGTAGGATAAGCATCCAAATGGTTCGATAATTGTCAATTTCGTCAAGCGCATTCCACATACTCTTTGAATCTTTTGAGATATTTTTTTAAAGTGGGCTGGATTGGGATGAGAGGTATGAAATGTTTGGAGTATAGGTAATATATATAATTGGACAATCAATCTATTCATTAAATATCTTGATTTAGTGAGTCTATTTCTTTAATATGATTTGACATAAAGTATGTATAAAATCACACACCATCTTTACTACGTACGTGGTTCCATATCAATAAAATATCCATTTATTTATTTTGATTTGACATAAAGTTTGAATCGATCGAGCCACGCACCAATATTACTACGCGCGCGATTCCATACCAATACACTACACATTTATTTATTTTAATTTGACATAAAGTTTGCATTGAGTCACACAGTACTTTTACTATACACGCGGTTCTATAGCAATACACTACTCATTTATTTATTTTGATTTGACATAAAGTTTGCATCGAACCACGCATCAACATTACTACGCACGTGGTTCCATATCAATATACTACATATTTATTTACTTCCTCCGTCCCAGAGTATTTGTCCAGTTTGACTTTTCCGAGTCAAACTGGACAAACTTTGAGCTTCAATTAAATAAAAACCGTAAAGTATTTTAATATAAAAATGACTTTATTGGATTTATCGTATTGAGAACTTTCAAAATTGTATTTCATTAATTATGCTAATATTTAATACAAATTGAGAGTAATTGCAGTTCAAAGTTTGACCAGTTTGACTCGAAAAAGTCAAACTGGACAAATACTCTGGGACGGAGGTAGTATATTGATTTGACATAAAGTTTGCATCAAGCCACACACTAACATAACTACGTACACGATTCCATATCAATACACTACTCATTTATTTATTTTGATTTGACATAAAGTTTTAAAAACGAAGTTATTAATCCATCCATTAAATGCTTGGAAAAAGGAAAAGTATAAATCAAATGGATTTGACATAAAGTACATTGAGCAATGAGATATACTCCGTATATATTTAACACTACTTTGTCTTTATGGAGAAATCCACTCATGATTTGACCTAGAGATGTACAAGCTATCAATCGCGTCAATCAGCCCACTTGGCCCAGTCCTTTCCCGAACTCACTACCTGTCACTCTACCCACTTGGCCTGGTCCATACCCGAACTCACTATCCGATGGTTTTGGCGGGAACACTATTTTCAAAACCATCCTAACATTGTATATAGTAGGATAAGATATTGCATTGAGTCCATCAATCTTTGTAACTAAAAAATGAATTAAATTAGTCAATCAATCTTATTCTATTATTATTTTTGAAACACTTAGTTCAGTCAGTTGGTCATTTAACATGCTAATTTCACTTTTAGTAACGAGATTAAGATAAAATTTATTTAATAATCTAACTCGATTTTTTTATCATAGCATTCTTAAAATGAATCGGTACGTTATTATTATTATATCATATCATTATCAAATCATTCAAAATGCTATAAGGGTCTGTTTGGTATACGGAATTGGGATTGGGATTTCATGAGATTCAATTCCATGGAATTGAATTCACCAACTTCAATTCATTTTTTGTACTATCAATTCCAAATCCACATAATATCTGTGCTACCAAACACCAGAATTGGAATTATAATCCTCAATTCCAATTCCATAATTTGAATTCCTTGTACCAAACGGGGCCTAAGCAATTTTTTTTTGGAATTCTTCAAAATGCTAAAATTATTCAAATGACTAACATTAAATATAAAGAAATTATTATGGATTATATCGCCATACCGAGTCTCGTTTTTGTTTGGTCAATCCACGTAGTATCCGAGAGATAATATTTAAGAGCAACTTGGAGTGCTGCTCTATATCAATTTGGCAATGTTAAACATTATTTAATTTCCTACATAAATCTCAACTAAATAAAACAAAAATATATACTACCTCCGTCCCACTGTCTTTGTCCACATTTGACTTTTGGAACTGTTCATCAAAGCACTTTGACTCATCAAATTCTCTCAATGTGTAAGCCTAAAAATAGTCATGTGTGATTTTGTTTGATTTGTCTTAACATATAGATTATTAATATATAATTTCTATATTTTTTTAATATACAAATTACAAGATAAAATGGATTAAAGAAGTGCATTGGATGGTGTGCTAAAAGGTAAGTGGACAAAGACAGTGGGACGGAGGGAGTAACTAGAACAAAAACATACTCCCTTCGTCCCACTCTCTTTGTCCACTTACCTTTTAGCACACCATCCAATGCACTTCTTTAATTCATTTTATCTTGTAATTTGTATATTAAAAAATTATAGAAATTATATATTAATAATATACTCCCTCCGTTTGGAAAAACACTTCCCATTTGATTTGGGGGCAAAAATAAGGAAGTGTTAAATTATAGTTGATTTCCAATTTTGCCCCTGATGTGATGGGTAAAAGTAAAATGTGATGGATAAATTATTAGAGAAAAAGTATGATGTGATAGGTAGGGTATGAAAAAGTAAGGCTAAAAGTGGTTTTTTAATAGAAAGGGGAAGTGTTTTGTTGAAAGTAGAAAAAATGAAAGAGGAAGTGTTTTTTGAGAACGGAGGGAGTATATGTTAAGACAAATCAAACAAGATCACACATGACTATATTTAAGCTTACACATTGAGAGAATTTGATGAGTCAAAGTGCTTAGATGAACAGTTCCAAAAGTCAAAAGTGGACAAAGAGAGTGGGACGGAGGTAGTAGTTCATATATCAAAATGCTACCTTCTCATTATTTTCTTTACAAACCAAACAAGAGAAAATCTCCAAAAAAAGCGCGTTCTCTCACTCATAATTTTCTTCATCTCCATTTTCTTACCATCTGATGGATATCGGGCCCAATGCAAATCGTGAGATAGGCCCAACGTGTTTATAATTAACTAGCCCTTTGTATTCAGAGGCTTTAGGCCGCCGAGAGGAGGTCCGCCATAAAATGATCTTTCCAGTTATTGTTCGCATGGTCAATACTCGTCATAAAATAATCTTCTCTTTGTAGACCTTTTGATGTAGTTTTAAAATACTCGTATATAATTTTTATTTTTAAATTTTAAATCTAAAATCGAATGAAATGAATAAAAAATAATTTCTCTCAAATGTCGTAAAACGAATTGAGAAGATCATTTTAGGACGTGAGAGTAATATGGTATGGTAAGGTTTTAAAATTGCATCAAACTTGTGAGGAATCCAATTGAATAACTTGTATCATACCTAACGTGATTAATAGGTCCATATCCATTACAAAATTAATCACATCTCGATGAATCTATTGGATTATATTTAGATATTCCGTACAACTAGCTACGTGCATTTATATAATTTAAAAAACATACGTACTCGTAAATGAGAACTGGTACGACTCCACATTTGAATAATGTGTATAATTTAGTTAGATATATATATATATATATATATATATATATATATATATATATATATATATCATGAATATTAATTACTCTCTTCGTTCCAAATTAAGTTGCATGTTTACTAAGGTAAAATTTTATTCACCTTCTTTTCTTATTTTCATTAGTCATTTAATTTGATAAAATAATATAGTCATGTCACCATTAGTTTTGAAAATCTTTTGATGTACTTTTTAAATATGTAATTTTTATTTTTCTAATTACACACCATTTTTTATATAAAATAATTTAAAAATAAATTCAGTCAAATATTGTAAACTGAAACAAGCAATTTTAATTAGGACGAAGGAAGTAAATTTTTTTTGAAACTGGGTGTCGGTGAGATTCTAATAAACGCATGATCTCTTAGTCATCAAAATATTGTTATCATGTCGAGAAAATCTCTCACCCAAATGCTCAAGTATGCCATTGTAGCCTACATAGAAGGTTTTATACTCTAACACTCATTCAAATACGTAGGAACACAAGTGATTATTACCATCAAATTGTAAAATTGAGGATTCCTACTCTCTTACTCTCCTCATAAATCCTCACATGGTACCTGTTCACGTCTGACCAGGGTTGTAAACGAGCGTACCGAATCAAATATTAATTGATGAATACTGTTCGTGTTTCTTAGTTTTGAGTGGTGTTCAATTCGTATTTGGTTTGAATATTTTATAGAGATTGGTATTTAAGTCTGGATGACGACCTTTTGTGTCAAATTAAAGTTATTAGTCAAATGGATGTTCTTATTAACTTGTCACATTAATGGAGAAATTATGAAAACGAATATGCACCGATTTCTTTAGTTAATTATTGATTTTAAGTACGTTTACCAGCATAGAAACATTTTGTTTTTTGGTAGATTCAATGGCACGAAACAAAGGAGAAATAAGAGGGCGCCAAATACATCCTCACCCACATCATTTACTCATTCAATTCATTCTTCCCCTTCTGCCTAGCTAGAAACATTAAATAATCACAACACTATTAATTATGTATTTAATAATTAAATATCTAGCTAACTAATGCAATTAATTAATCAATTAATAATAATAGTAATAATAATAATTTTTGTTTATTTATAAAGGCTCTTCGTTTATATATGTTCATCTCCCTTAAAACTCGCTCGATCTCATTCTCTCTCTCTTCTTTCTTTTATTGATTATTATAATTATTATTTCCTTTTCTTCTTACCGCCTCCGGCCTGAAACCAATCTTTAATGACGTCTGTAAGTCCCTCTTCTTTCTCATTTCAATTTGATATTTTCTTCTTTGTCATGATTCATGAATTTAAGTTTTTTTCTTTCCGAATTTGTCTCGATAATAATAATGATCGATTGTTTATGCATATAATCATGTCTTCGAATTGTTATTCTGCTCGATCGATCCTTTATAATTTTGATTTCGTTTCCATTTTTAACGTTTCTCGAATCGCAATCTTCCGATATAATGTATTTAAGAATCATTGAGCTACATGAGGATGCAATGCTGAGGAGGAGGGTGTGCTCGTGTTGGGACGGGGCGTTTCTCGAATCCCAATCTTCAAATGTAATGTAAATAACTATTCCTGCGGGGTGTGCCCGTCCTTGATGAGCTGCATGGTGATGCAATGCTGAAAAGATTAATCTCGATGGTGCAATTGAGGGGGGTAGGGTGTGTGTTTGGATCGCGGCGGGATGAGAGTGTTACCAGAGGGCCGGGTTAGGGGTAGGAACGGTCATTGTCATTGGAAGAGTTTCGATAATACATGTATATACTCCATGGTTGCCAAGGAACCAACTCAACCAAAAGCTCAAGCTTGTGGTAGTGGCCCAGGAACAGTTATTTATATTCTAACACGCCTCCTCACGTGTAGGCGTGGTCTTTTTCGAGCCTTGGACGTGAAACCTTAATTTTTTTAAACTGGGTGGCGCTGAGTTTCGAACTCGTGACCTTTTAGTCAACGAGACTCCGATACCATGTCAAGGAACCAACTCAACCAAAAGCTCAAGCTTGTGGTTGTGGCCCAGAAATGATTGTTATATTCCCTAACAGTGGTTAATACTTAGTACGAAAAATATCAAATTGAAGAGGTAATGTTTTTCGCATGGTCAAATTTAATTTAAACCACAATCTTAATGAATGACTTGATTATATTATGTGATATATTGTGCCATTTGTACGTGTGTGTGTGCACACAGCAGGAGAAAGGCCGGCCGCTGCCGAAATTTGGTGAGTGGGACGTGAACAATCCGGCCTCCGCCGATGGTTTTACGGTCATTTTCGCAAAGGCCAGAGATGAGAAAAAAGGCGCCGGAGCCGCCGCGACCGCCGCCTCTCAGGCAGCGAAACCCATCAACGACAGACGGAACGAGTCTTACAAAGAACCCCCGGTACGTACTTTTTTTTTGTTTTTTTAATGAAATATTTGTACTAAATAGTACTAAGACTTAAGTCATTTCTCTAAATAGCACTTAGATTGTTTTTTTCTCTAAATAGCACCCTATAATGTCCATAATGACCAGTGATGGCAAACATTCACTTGAATAATGACTAATAGATAATGACTAAAAGTGCTACATTGAGGAAAAAAACATATGTAGTGCTATTTAGGGAAAGTCATTATGTTTTAGTGCTATTTAGGTAAATTCCCCTTTTTTAATCTCCTCCATTCCCTACATTTTTATCCTCGCGTATACGCCTAATTTAATTTTGACTAATTTATTCATATATAGTTCTAAAATATAATGAATTTCTAATATAGTATCATATTAATAATCTAGATATCACATCTTACTTTTACACATCACATCAAGGGTATTTTTGGAAAGTCAACACAAAAATATCACTCTTTTAAATCAAAAAGGGAAGTTTATTTAGGGACGGAGAAAGTATATTTTAATGGGTTAAGAAGCAAAATAGGAGTAAAACATTGATTAAAATCCAAAATAGGAGTGAAAACATAAAACCCCCAAAATAGGAGTTGTTGACTCACTGTTTGCCGCCACCAAGATCTGCCACTTTCATCACCCCTTGCTCCTGTTATCGTCGCATGTTGTCAGCATCGCTAACCCCCACAGGTGTAGTGCCATGGTGTTACATGGAGAAAAAATAATACACTGTCAATCGAAAATACAATGCTAAAAATGACAACATACAGTGACAAACATGACATTGTAAGATGCAAAAATACAAAACTTTAGGTCAATCGAAAACAAAATGCCAAAGATGTCAATGCACAGTGACAAACGTGGTTCTGCGAAATGCCAAAAGTTCAATTGTACTCGGTGATACATGTGCATGCATCGAGCCTACGAAGTCATTAATTATGAGAAGAAGACAATTAAAATAAACACACAATCTCTCCATTGTTAGCTCTATGCCAAAAAACAAAAAAAAATCCACCCGCACCAATAATAATAAAAAAGAATCCCAAAAAAAGAAAAAAGAAAACGAGTTTGGATTGAAAAGTTAGCCATATATTAGCATCTATGCATGCATGATGGTTATCATTAGTTAAACATTGTCAGCAATAGTGATGTTCATTTAATTTCCGCGAAGTCAGTGAATGATCGAGTGGCTCCTGGCGGCTAAGCTTTTGTAAAACAAAAATATTTAATTACTCCTAGTAAGAGGAGTTTAAGTTTGAACTCCTATTTTAAAGATATAACACATGTTTTACTACTATTTAGGTGGTTTTCTTTATTTTAATTTGAATAAATTTCCAAAATGGTCCTTTATAATAAGGTGTTTTCCCAATTCAAACATCAATAAGTTTTAATTACTTACATAGTCCTCTATAATTGATACTGTATTTATTCTTAAGACAGTCATTCGTAAATAATGTTATTCAAATGATGATTAATTGGAAGATATTTTGGTATTTTAATCATCCAAATTTAAAGTATATTCTAGAAATAGTAATTTCTGTACCACTAAATGTAAAATTTTAAAAAAATACATTGATTATAAATAATTCTTGAATCATTTAAAACTTAGAAAAAATCTTTTAAAATTCAAATTGAATACACATCTTTAGTTAGAAAAACCATTTTGGAAAAGTACTTCATTATAAATGATCATTTTAAGAATTAATTCTAAATTTGGCGGATAAAAAATATCCAAATATCCTCAATTAATCCTCATTTAAGTAACATTATTTACGAAGGACCATCTTGGAAATAAATCTCAATTATAGAAGACCACCTAGGTCATTAAAACTTATTGAGGACTGATTTGAGAAAACATTTTATTACAAAGGACTATTTTGGAAATTTACTCTTTTAATTTTTCAATACAATATCACTATTCCGACTAGACATTGTTCAATAAATATCCACCACTACAGGACATTATTTGAGTAAATATTTACCGTAACTCGACATTTTTTGTCTTTGGAGATTGTTTAAATACTAGTTATGTAATAAAAAGTTTTAGATATTACATTGGGAAAAGGCAGAGTCTTTCTATTTTTAAAAAGGATTTTTATTTTGACTAATGTGTGAAATAAGAAGTGCATATTTGTACTTATTTTTTAATTTTAACCTTAATGTGATAGGTAGATTATTAATGAAAAGTATGACGTAACATATAAGATAAGAAAAAGTAGAGTTAAAAATTATTTTTTATAGAAAGTGGAGTACTTTGGGGAAAACAGAAAAAAAAGAAAGAGGAAATATTTTTAAAAGCGGAAAAAGTGTGTTTTAGTATTATTTAGTACAAACTCGACAAATATACTCAGACATAGGTATTAGAACATTTTGATGCGTATAGAGCGCCCGTTAATCAAGAAAACCATGTCTCGACCTCATGCTAATCCCGCATTCATTGTTTAATGCAGAAAAGATGGTTTTGTTGCTTCTGAAATGGAGAAATGAGAAGAAAGATATAGGCCATCGGTGGTCGATACTCTAGAGATGATGATATATATATATANTGGGGGGATGTGTTCGGGTCGGGGCCGGGGTGGGGGGTTTACCGGGGGGGTTAGGGGGGATAGGAACCGTCAATTTTACGAACGGGGCACCGGAGCACCCCCGGGTCATCCCATGACACTAGTTCTCAATGTCATTTGAACCGGCCTCATCTAAATAAGGATCTTCTTTTCCATGCCAACTCTTCTCTCCGTCGTGAAATTAATTTCTCATTTAATTTTTTATGTTCTCTAAGGTAAGACTTTGATTATTAATATCTGTATTTATATATAAATATATATTCTGTATTATAAGAATAAAATATTTTAAAAATTATGTTTCATAATGAATATATTGATATTAAATTTATATGAAATTCAATGTTTTTTCTATAATATGCAGTCAAAGTTTAAAAAGTTTGACCACAAAAGTCAAATTAAAAAGTTAATTTTAAGACAAATGGATTATTAATATTGGAGACAGAAATTGTTGTTGTTTTCTATGTGAATATATATAAGGTCTTGAAAAAGAAAGGAGAGAGAATCTCAGAAAATAGGAAAACTAATAGGGTCAAAAATAAAAGGGAGAAAGATCAAAGTAATACTAAAACATTGAAAATGTATTAAAATAGGACTTCCATATTTGTATTTCCGAAATAGGACTTAAAATTCATTTACATTACTAAACATGGTCATGTACGTTATTAAAAAGTATAGTAATGTATACATGTATAGTGCTACATTACCACAATTCGAAGTTTATTTCAAGAAAAATATCATGAAAGTCCTATTTTGGTACTTTTCTTTATGTTTTAGTCTTATTTAGGATGATTTTTAAAAATAAAAATTAAACAGTACTCCGTATAAAATTAGAACTATGTCTGAAGTAAAATGACTGTAAACCAAAAACTGACTTCATAAACTATTGTAAAATTACTTCCTAAGTTTAGATATTTTTTTGAATGAAAATAAAATTTAAGTACGAAAATGATACGTAGTATATCATTGAGAAGAAAAATATTGGAATTATTTCTAAATTGGGGAATGCTAAATGTGCTTAATTTCTATGTGGATATATAGGGTCTTGAAAAAGAAAAGAGAGAGAATATGAGAAAATAGGAAAAACAATAGGGTCAAAAATAAAAATTATATAGTACTTCGTATAGAATAACAACTAAGTAAACTGACTGTAAATTGGAAACTGAGTTCAGATACTTTTATGAAATTTTTTCAAAGTTTAGATATTTTTTAAATGAAAATAAAATTTAAGTACCAAGATGATACTCCATATATCGATATTTTTTGTGTTAATTCAAGGCCTGTGTTCTTTTATTTTGACTTTTGAGATGTCCTGAAAGGGACAACCTTAGGCGCGTTGAGGGAGTATAATTGTATATAAAAGCCAAAGCGACGTACCTACCAAATTCCACTACTTCGCCAGCCAAGCATTATGTTCCAACATCGGCCCCATTTTGCATACACTCGTACTAAGACTGATTGTGCTTTCCATATGTATATTTGTTAGTTCCATGGCGTTGACTAATGTTTTGACAAAACAGAATCTCATGTTTGTTAGGTCTTTTACTAGGTAGAAACCTATATTTCTTAGGAGAGGTTTATTTTATTTAGACTTCTAAAGTTGGTGTAGTTTTCGAGGTTGACACAGATGCTACAGCACGATGCTGCAACACACTATTCAAGATTAGAAGTCTGAGCACGGGATTTTAAGCTGCAATCCAAATTAGAGATCTATTGGGATTGTGACTACATGATAATAACTCCAGTTGTTCGTGTTAAGAAATCTCATCTCTTTAAGCTACTTGTGGATCAAGATTAAGGAAGTTGTATTCAAGCCAACTTGTACTAATCTATCCCTACTAGGATTGGGTTTTTATTGGCCTATAACAATGCAGTGGGCCCTTAGGAATGACTGGGAGAGATTGAGAGGAAAAAACACAGAATATACATTGATGTAGAGCGTTCATGTCGCGTCCCGAAGTTTCCCTTATGTGAAGAAGGTTATGATTTACATATAGAAAGAGATATTCAACGCCAAAACAGATCGTGACATCCAGGAGTTGAGCCGGAGCTAAACGAGTGGGTTGCAAACACGTTTTGTTGGTGATTTTAGTGTCATTAATTTATTGTGTAATTGGATTTACTTCGATCAGACAAGAATTTAAATAGACGTTGTCAAACGAGTTAGGAGGCGCGGAGTGCACGCTCGTTCAACGATGTTATAAATTCACTGCGGGGTCCGGGGGCGGCAGCCCCCGGGTAGCGGGGTCTAAGGGGCGGCAGCCCCTGGCGGGGTCCAAGGGAGCCCCTGGCCGGGGTCGAGCCGGGACAGCTTAGAAATTTTTTATTTTGGACGTTGTTTCTTTAAGAAAATCGTTAAGATTTTCGTGACCGGAGTCCAAAACGGTAAAGGACTCATACACAATGGATAAACGACGAAATTGAGCCTTAAACCGCATAAGACCTTTCGTTCAAACTCGCACCTCTCTTCTTCCTCGCGCGAACGTATGCGTACATCTACGCGAACGTTCATGTCCGATCACAAGGATTTTCGACTCTATAAAATAGAGTCTCGTGGTATGGGTTGAGAATCGGATTCTTGAGTGCTCGTTCTTGATTAACGTCTTATCCGATTGAAGTATTTCGTATACTCCGAAATAACTTTGATCTGATAGCGTTTCGTACGCGATTCGTTATATATACTATCGAGTTCTTCTTTAAACACTGCTTCGCAGTGTTCTTCCTTATAAAAATCCAACACGTTTGTCCTCTTGATCTCGGTGGAGATGTGATAGCCGAAGCAGATCTGTACATGATACCAGTTAAAAATTCTAGATTAGAAGTTTTGTCATAATATTTTGGAAAAGTGTGTCTCATAGTCATATTATTATGTACTAGTGTAAATTGCATATAGTGATTTAGTGAAGGATTATTACACGGACATGGGCCCCGTAGATGTAAGAGAGTTCTCCAAATTGCGTTAACATTTCTGATGTTATTTTTTACGTATTTTATAGTTACAGCATTCTGCCCAGTAGGCGTTGTAACACTCTGTGCATCATCTGCTTTTGTGTGTGCTTGTGACGGATAAAGTGTTATAGCACATTGTCTGCTTTACATAAATAAATATTCTGTGGACCGACCAAGTGGTAGGGCCTCCATTTCGAACTAAGTCTTTAACCATTAAAATTAATTAAAATTAATCAGATGTTTAAACACTTTAACCATGATTTTTTTTCATTTGAATACTAATAGATTTTACTTAGTTAATTTGAATAATAGTCCAAACTAATCATTATTTTTATTGAATAATAATTAGAATTTAAAAATAAAACTTACATATGTAATTTCCAATAATGCAATGTTTATTTTTAAATATTTTAAATCAAAACATCAATCTTCGATTACATTCTTATAATTACGATTTGAGGTATCATTTTGTTACAAATTTTAAAGATGAGGTATGTCTTTATTAAAAATCTTCGATGAGGCAATCTTTCGTTCAAAATTGGTTTACTTGTCGCATAAAAAAGTCTAAACTTATTGTTAGATTTTTAGATGCCCACAGATTCATCACCAGAATTTGATATATGTGGACATGTATAACAAAATTATTGTTCGATTTTCAGTCTCATAACTGCTCTAGATTGCTTTGGCTCAATAACTTCATTCTCACCCTTTCAAGTAAATCATTATTATTTTCTTTTTGGATTGCCCCAATCTTTCATTTTTGCGGCTCCATTTTATTTTTCAATGTCAAAATCCAAAAAAAAGGGCATTCTTATTTTCTTTTTGGATTGCCCCAATCTTTCATTTTTGTGAAAAGCTTTTTATGACTCCATTTCATTTTTCAATGTCAAAATCCAAAATCCAAAAAAAAGGGACTATTTCTTTGGCGTTCGACAATGTGCCGTTGGCATTATATGTCAAAGAGGAAAAACGGTAGATCCATAAGACGGTGTGGGACAAAGTTTAATTTAATTTCTTTTACTCCGTTGCGAAGGCCCAATTTCACTTCGTTCTTATTTTGCCAGGCCCAATTTTACTTCGTTGTTGGCACGCTATGCCAAGAGGGCCCCCAACATCAAATTCCGGATGAAAATTGTGATTCATTGATGGAAGATTTTGAAACAATACGGAGTAGAACTTGAGAGCGGCCGGTTTATGTTTGTGGCCCAATTTATATTCTTGAGCCATATTTATTTTAAAGAATGATAAAAGACGTATTCCATCATTTTGAGAATAAGATTAAATATGGAGAAAGTACTAGAATAAGACTTCTATATTTTTTTAAAAAAAATATGAATAACAATGAAAATAATGTGAATATATAGTACTAAAAAATATAATGAGATGTCGCTATACAACCCCATGATATCAAAATGCAAACTCATATTTTAATGATAAAAACATCGAACTATATTTTGAGGAAAATTGTCATATTCACTTAAATTTTGCTTAAAGCTATCGTGACATTAAGAGATCGTATTGGAAAATTGTCATATTTACTTAAAACAGTTAAAGCTTAAAGCTATCGTGACATTAAGAAATCATGTTGGAAAATTTGTATTTGTGAGTTTTTCTGAGATTAGGTTGTAGAGGTTGTGAATGAGAAGTTCTACCCCAGCCGAAAGAGAGGCTAGGGGATCAGTTGCTATAATTTGGTTGACCGTGGAGCGAGAAGGATAACAACGTTGTGTCGATGAAAAAGAGGCTAAGTTTTTGAGAACCTTAGATCCGATATCATGATACAATTTGGTAATAATTAGTTTTATTGAGTAATGAAGGATAAATATATACGGAGTATATATTAGGATTACATGAGAAAGTTCTAATCATATTAGAAGAACAACGAAGTATCACAATAATACAATAAAGAAATACTCCCTCCGTCCTAAAACTTTCTTCCCACTTCTCCTTTTTCTTTGTCCTAAAACTACCTTCCCATTGGAAAAAAAAGATGACAAATGACTTTAATACCCTCACCTATTTACACCAATTATCTTCTAACTCTTTATTTTGAATGATTACAAAAAAATTTCAAAAAATCGTTTTTAAGGAGGGTAAAATTTGAAGTCAAAGCCAAAAATTTAAAATGGGAAAAAGTCAAACTGGGAAGAAAGAATTAGGACGGAGGGAGTAATAAAATAAGAAAACTAATAAATAAAGATATTTGTTTCTTACTACACATTAATACTCCCAGAATTGTACGAGTTTACAAAAATACTGTGAGATTGAATAAGTGACACTAATTCAGTATTCTTCTGCAAATATAGTTTATAAAATAATTTTAGAAATAGGGAGCATCATAAACTGCAAATATACAAGGTAATTTTTTTTTGTTAAAGAGGTCCCCTCATAGCTCAAATATGAACCCATGTGATGTCCCATAGCAATAATAAATGGCTCTGATAGCAAACATTCAAAGCTCATGCCTTACAAACTGCCATCCTTCAGTAATTCATTAACCTACCCTCCTCTTCATGTACCTAACTTAATTACCTCTCCATACTCTTTCTACCCCAGCACACCATTCATGATGGTGAAATAACTTCAAAAAAAAAGTTTCATCCTCGAGTACCCCAGATCGATCACTGAAAAAGATAAATTAAATTTTAATCGCGGATTGATGATAAATGGTGAAACATAAACTCATACTTGCAGAGACGCTATGTTTAACATAATTGTTTTCCAGCGCAGTTAATAAGAATTAAATTTAGGATTAACCTTCTTGGCACTATTTACATTTGATAATTGTGCAACACCAACTGACGGTGAAAGAAATTCAAACTTGTAGCTCAACTAGTCGAAAGAAGACAATAAAGGAATAATATTAAATAAATACTTTCTATGTATTAGAAAATTTTATATTTTTTGCAGTAAATAAAAATCAATCTTTAACTTATAATAACATAAAATTTATATGCAATGGTATATTAAGTACAGTACAAAGAACTATTTTTTTTATTTTAAATATTACAAAATAAATCTAATAAAATCATTCTTATATCAGTTTTTAATATGAATTTCATTTAGTTAATGGTCACTTTTGTTATTTTTAATTATAAAAAATTAAGAGTGAACATATATAGTGGGATAGTATATTAATATTGAGTAATAGTCAATTTTATTTTCTCATTTTACACCAAAAATTGAGTACTATTGCCGTTCTTGATTATTTGTCTACCTTTGATTATTTTGCAATAAATCACTTTCAAAATTTGACTCATGATTAAATAAAAATTTATAGCATATTAATTAGATGAAAAACTATTTTGAAAATATTTTATAAAAAATATAATAAAAGTATTTTTATATTAATATCTAATATTCCCAAAAAAAATTAATTAGTAGTTAAAGTTTTTTTTTTTCAATTTTGACTGCAAAAAAAACCAAAACTAGACTGGTTGTGCTATGTGTATTAAACTACTCGCATTAATTTTCAAATAAAATAACTTCTCTCCCACTTTGGATGGATAATTCATAGAGGCCAAGCTAAACTCCGGAATTTGCTGTTGTATTTAGTTTCCGCCATGGAAACCAGTCAAGCCACCGTCTGTTCCTCCGATCACCCATGGCTTCTTCTACTATTGTTCATCGTCGGATTCGCCGAGCTCATCTCCGTCTCTACGACCATTCTCAAATGGGTCCTCGCCCATTTCCTCCGACCCGCAAAGAATCTCAAGAAATACGGGTCGTGGGCTCTGGTCACGGGACCCACCGACGGCATCGGAGAGGCGTTCGCCTTCCGGCTAGCCCGCGAGGGGCTCAATTTGGTTCTGGTGGGTCGGAACCCGGAGAAGCTGAGAACCGTTTCTGACCGCATCCGGGTGAAGTTCAACGGGTCGACCCGCATTAAGACGGTGGCGGTCGATTTCTCCGGCGACTTGGACGACGGGGTCCGGAGAATCAGGGAGGCGATCGACGGGTTGGATGTCGGGGTTCTGATTAACAACGTCGGGGCGACTTATCCGTACGCCAGATTCTTCCACGAGGTGGATGAGGAGCTTATGGAGGCGGTGATTAAGGTGAACGTGGAGGGGACGACTAGGGTTACGCTGCAGGCGGTGTTGCCGGGGATGGTCGAACGGCGGAGCGGGGCGATTGTGAATATCGGGTCGGGTACCGCCGGAGCCATCCCTTCCGCTCCGCTCCACACTCTTTATTCCGCCACCAAAGCGTAAGACAGTTCTTCTTTCTTAGAGTGCGACAGCGCGCCAAAAAAACGGGCCTAACATTTTAAGCCAAAAATAAACGGGCCTATTATTTGGAAGCCCATGTGATAACGGGCCAAACATTTTAAGCCTAAATTATCCACACAACTTAGTTTTTGTTTCAATTTGTTCCGTAATACTCCTTTTGACTTTTTTGGTTAAAATGTGGAACGTTTTGAATACTCGGGTATGAAGAAGTATATTTACTTGTAATCTAAATTTAGTAAAATTAGATATATTTTAAAATATGCTCTGTAGTTTTGAAATATAAGGTTTTTATAATATTTCATTATTTTAAATTATATTAAATTTTTTATCAAAAAATGTCACATTCTGACAAAAAAATCAAATTGTGACAATCTTTTATGAACGAAGAGAGTATATTTGATTGAATTTATTTTTAACTTCATAAGTTTAAAAACTAAAATAGAATTGAAGAGTAAAAGTTATGGAGCACTATATCTAAATATCACACCAAGACTTTTACAAAACAAATGAAGCCCAAGTCATGACGGGCCAAACATTTGAAGCCCGAATAATCAATACAACTTAGTTTTTGTTTTGATTTATTTCTTAGTATTGTATATGTTTGATTGCATTTATTTTCAACTTCATAAGATTAAAAATTAAAATAGAATTAAAGAGTAAAAGTTAGTAGATTTAAAAATCACACCAAGACTTTTACAAAACAAATGATAGTTAACTATTTTATTTGATAAAAAATTAGAATTTCAAGGAGTACCTTTTTTTAATAGCAGAGATTTAAAAAGAAATAAACTCTATGGAGAATTTAAATGTGCTTAAATGCGTGTTTTCATTTCATAATTTTTTTAAATAGGTATATTGATCAATTTTCAAGAAGTCTTCACAGGGAGTACAAAACACGTGGGATTCATGTCCAATGTCAGGTTTGCCCTCCTTGCTTAATTCTATGACTACTATAATTTTTTTTGGTATTTATTTAGATAATTAAGGGTGCAAATTCCTTTCAAAAAAATGATGCAAATTGATCATTATATCAAAAAAAATTAATCAATAAGAACATAATAGTGACTTAATAATCCCCATTAATTACCTAATTTCCTAAAAAGGCTATTTAGCATTCCGTTTTCCTAAAATTCTCATAAAATATAGTAGTATTGTTCCTGAGTATTCGTCCATATTTTACTTTTAAAGTTAAAATTAACAAACTTTGACCAGTAATATACTATGATACAAATGATTGACTGTAGAAAATCAAAACTGCACAAATATTACGGGACAAAGATAATAATTATTTCTGTGCTGGTTCATATATATATACTACAGGTTCCCTTGTATGTGGCAACCAAAATGATATCAATCCAAAAGCCTTCATTCTTCATCCCATCAGCAGAAGATTACGCAGGGGCAGCAATGGGTTGGATAGGGCATGGAGATGAGAGGTGCACCCCATATTGGCCCCATTCTCTCCAATGGGCTCTCCTCTCCTTCTTGCCACACTCCATTGTCGACGCCTGCCGCTTCAACGCCTGCCTCCGGATCCGAGCCGAGGGACGACGCAAGGAGACGGAATTGCAACTCATGACACGGCTCAAACCCGAAACGCACCACTTAGGAAAATGCTTCGGGAAGGCGAGGTCGGATGACGATATATATGGTTGACATCGGCACGGATAAGAATTCTATTTTCTGAACAAAAACAGTCGCGGTGTCAACTTTGATGTTATTCGCGGTCGGGGTTGTGCCCAAAATATATGTTGGATCATGTATGATAGAATTGACGCTAGAATTTGTGATCCTTTAATGTAGGTGCATTTGTCACAAAATTGACATGATCATCTAATTGCACCATATTAAATGTGATTATTAATTAACATCGAAATATTCGCACTAAATAACACTAAAACTTAATCATTTCCCTAAATAACACTTAAACTCAGTGACGGATCCAAAATTATAAATGGCTGGGGGCAGGATACTAAGACGGGGGTTCGGGATCAGCGCCCCTAGATTTTTTTAAAGATGCTTTTAAATTATGATGATTTTCATTTAATTTTATATAAAACAATTTAAAATAAATAAAACAAAGTATTTTAGAAGTAGCAAAATGTTATACAGAGAACTAAATGAATTACATTTAACGAAGTATATTTAATATCACTAGAGTAACTAAATAAACTTTTTTACTAAATCCATAACCAAAAATTGCTATAGATTAAAAAGGAAGTAATATTTGCCTATTTGGTCTACTTTTGGGATTGGGCTTTAGACAATTAACTAGACATTTTATTTACTATACTGGTCCACTGGGGATAGTCTTTATTTTTTTACTAGGGACAATATACTTAAAACTAAAAGAATAAATAAAATTAAAAAAAAATTGACTGGGGCATCTTCCCCCATATTCAAGAAGGTGGATCCACACCTTCTTAAACTGTTTTATTTTCTAAATAACATTTAATAATGTCCATAATGTCTAGTGATGACAAATATTTACTTGAATAATGACTAATGCATAATGACTACAAGTGTTACATTGAGAAAAAAACACATGTGATGCTATTTAGGGAAAGTCATTATATTTTACTACGGAGTACTATTTAAGTAAATTCCCCATTAACATCACACTCATCTTCTAGATTTATTTGAGTATTACTCATAACATTTTATTTTTTTCAAGAATTTCGAACTCCTACTTGTTTCCAACTTGTAACTATGATTTTACAATTTAAACAAACAGAACTTAAGCGTTCATGCTCGTGGTTGTAGATCCATAACAAGTTTTTATATTCTAACACGTCTTCTCATGTAGTCACGTGTAGGACTTTTTAGAGTCTTGCACATGAAATCTTTTCTTTTGAACTGAGTGTCAGTAAATTTCAAACTCATGACTTCTTGATCAACATGTCTTTGATATTATGTCAAGGTATGAACTAAACTAAAAGCTCAAGCTTTGTAATTGTAGGTCTAGAAAACATTTTTATATTCTAACAATTGAAGATGGCCGTTTGAATACAAAATCAAATTGAAACTCGAACTTATTTCGAAAGAAAGTAATCCATTAATTTAAAGAAGAGGTACAATAAAATTAAAGTTGGAGGTGAGCGAACCCACTCTATAACGCTCTCCATAGAATGAGTAGCTCGTGCCAACATATGAGCTGCCTCATTGAAGGAGGGATGAACAAAATGAAAACTGGAGCTTAAACAAATTGAAAACTAGAACTCTAAAGCTAGAAAACTAATCTTTCCCTTTGGGAAAATCATTTTTGTTTTGATTATTGAGATGAATGATGTCTATATATTCTATGGTTTAGTTTTCAATTTTGCTTTTGATGTAATGAATAAATATAGAACGTGAGATGGTAAATTTATACTCCATCCGTCTGAAAATGTTCTTCTCATTTGACTTTTCACGATCTCCAATATTGTGCTTTGACCATAAATATCTATATTTATACATAAATATATTTTATAGAAATTTGATAATTGAAAACTACATTTCATTATGAATATCTATATTTATACATAAATATATTTGATAGAAATTTGATAATTGAAAATTACTTATTGAGAACAAATTTCACAGCTGCACGACCTCCACAAAAGGCTCAAAGCTGCCTCGCCATTAAGGCGTTTTTTTGGTTTGTTTGGTTTTTGTTTTTTTTGCCTTCAACTTTTTAAACTCGGTGACTTCCGTTCCAAACCTCCTAATTTGTGCATTTTAGTATTAAAGTTCCAACGTGTAATTCAAATGTGAAATTTGCACTAAATAGGATTAAAACATAATGACTTTCCTAATGTAGGACTTAAACTATTTATTCCTTAAATGAGAATTAATAATGACCTAGTGGAAGGAATAATGTCCAGTAATGATGGACATTTAGTTGAATAATGACTACTTGATAATGACCAAAGGTCCTACATTGGGAAATAAAAACATATGGTCTTATATTGAGAAAGTCATTATGTTTTAGTCTTATTTAAGTAAATTTCTCAATTTAAATTACTAGTGTATTCATACTCACAAACTCACGTATATATGCTTAAACTCTAACCATAAAATTTATGGTCAAGCAAAGTATTCTCTCGAAGAATATATAACATTCAAATGGAGTTTTAAAAAATTAAGTTATTTATAATGCGGAGTACTTTATTTTAAAATTTTAATTAAGTTTTAGATATATATATTCACAATGTTATAAATAAAATAAAATTTTGAAAGTAATAAAAATTCATAGAAAATAAGATGGAAATTATTATATAATTAAAACTGCTTAGAAAAGACAATGATAGATACCCTAAAATCCTAAATGGAGTTTTTACATGACCTTTCTCATGAGGACAAAGAAACATTGAATATCTATGCAAAGATGGGTCACTCATAGCAATGCTAAGAGCAAAGGAAGTACATGTAACGCCGGGGGCGCAATGCGGCGTTTAACGCTGCCTGGGCATATTCGTGTTATATATTTGTGTTAAAAAAAATTCGTGTTATATATTTATGTTCTTATTTATATATTCTTGTTATATATTTATGTTAAAAAAATTTCGTGTTATGCTTTTTAAAGGTTCGGAGCAAACGAAGAATGCGATATAGGATTGTATCGAGAAGAAGTTCTTTACGGCGATGAACAAGGACGCCTCGTACCGTACCCGGGACCAACTCACTTCCAAATGGCCGGGGCCACATCAACCGTAAAGTCCGAAAGTTTATCGGAGTTTACGAAGAGTGCACTCGGTCATGGAGGAGCCGGATGAACGACGCCGATGTTCTCCGGCTTGCCACGGCCCGATATCAAGACGACGGGCACCAAGGCAAGGTACCTATCGACCTTTGGAGACTTTTAACCCGTTCACCAAAATGGCAACAACTCAACAATCACGACGCCGAATCCTCTAAGAAAAGATCCTCTGTCGACGCCGAGATTGAGGTCGATGACACTATCGGTCCGTCTGAACAAAGGCCTCCCTTCAACGTTGACGATTTCGACGACGAGGACCCCATTCCACGGCCAATCAGAAGAAAGAAGGCAAAATCCATTGTCTCGGGTTTTGGAAGGCCCGACTCTGTTTCCGTTTCTTCTCACGACGATATCGGTCGGAAAAGGGTTGAACAACTTCGGATGTTCAATATTCGAGAAGAAGATAGGGCGAGAAGAAAGCAAGAGAAAAAAGAGATCGAAATAATGGAAACCAACCTTGATACGTTATCGGGCTTCAAAAGTATGATTTTCGAGAGAAGACAAAAAGAGATCAGGGGCTAAATATAATTTACCTTAGTTTTTTTATTAATGTATTTTTTTAATTATTGTAGCTTTATTTTTTTTAAATTTAATGAATGTAAATTTTTTTGGTAATTGTCGCTTTAATTTCTTTTAATTTAATGAATGTAATTTTTTGTGAATTATTCTCATTTCAATATAATTAAATTTTATTAATTTAGTTTTAGAAGATGTTTATTTAAAAATATAAAAAATGAAGGTTTGAAGCCCCAGCTTGAAGGCCCGAGGTTTCAAACCCATTTCCAGTGAATCCGTGAGGTACGTTAAAACTGACGTGACAGAAAAAGATAGTTTGAAACCCCTAGTAAAAATCCAATTGTGACATTACTTTTGACATTAAAAGTAAACACAGACTCTTGCATTAATATTAGACTAGTGGAAATGGGGCTAACGCCCCACAACGTCAACTGCCTTTTGACGCCCAAAGGGCGTTAAACACCGCCCCCCATAGGACATTAGTTTTGAATTAATGATTCTTATTGTCCTAAACCTCACCTGCCTCCTAGCTCCCTTCTTTTCGTCAATTGATTATAATGGTCACTGTAGCCAATCAACGAACGAGGGAGACGGTCATAGGTGTAAGAGATTAGGTGAAGTATGAACCATCATTTTTAATTACAGAGCCCCATAGACATCTCATGTCGTCATATGACATTAATCTCAATGTCACGTGAACAAGGGCTTCCCATTTTGGTGTCAAAATAGAATTCCCCAAAACTATTTCACCATTGCACTTCCGTATGTAACTGCAGTCACAACTATGTTGTGTGTAGCAAAATTCAGCCTTTAATTTAGCCACTAAGCTCATTTGTCAGGGAGCTTTCTGTTCGTGACAATGGAGACCAATTTCTATGAACAATACCTCAAATCCCAGCCCCCATGGCTTCTTCTTCTCCTCGCTATCGGCTTCTTCAAACTTTTCGCCACTTCTGCAACTATTCTCAACTGGGTCCGGGTCAATTTCCTCCGACCCGCCAAAGATCTCAAGAAATACGGTTCATGGGCTCTGGTCACGGGCCCCACCGACGGCATCGGAAAGGCCATCGCCTTCCGCCTGGCCGACAAGGGGCTCAATTTGGTCCTGGTGGGCCGGAACCCGGAGAAGCTGAGAGGGGTTTCCGATTGGATCCGGGCCGAATTCGGACGGACCCAGATTAAGACGGTGGTGGTGGACTTCGCCGGCGATTTGGACGACGGGGTTCGCCGGATCCGGGCGGCAATCGAGGGGCTGGACGTGGGGGTGTTGGTCAACAACGTCGGCGTTTGTTATCCGTACCCGAAATTCTTCCACGAGGTAGATGAGAAGCTTATGGCGGAGCTGATTCGGGTGAACGTGGAAGGGACAACGAAGGTGACCCAGGCGGTGGTTCCCGGGATGCTACGGCGGAAGACTGGCGCCATAGTCAACATCGGCTCCGGCACCGCCCTTGTTATCCCCTCTGCTCCGCTTCATGCTGTTTATGCAGCCACTAAAGCGTAAGTCAAAGTGCACCAAAGAAGCACTCAATAAAAAACATTTACTATGTAGCAAAACTTAGGCGTTCTTTGGGAAGCACTCCCTCCGTCCACAAATAAACTTTACGTTGCGCGTTACGATGTTTGACTGAAGTTATTTTTAAATCATTTTATATGAAAAATGGTGTGAAATTTTAAAATAAAAATCACATATTAAAAAACTATATCAAAAGATCTACAAAACTAGAGGTGACATGACTATATTATTTTATCAAATGGGTAACAAAAATAGGCCAACAAAGTGAATAAAGTTTGACTCTGTGAATAGTGAACGTAAAGTTTATTTGTGGACGGAGGGAGTAAAATTTTCATGCTGTTGATTAATCTCAAAAACACTAATGATAACCTTTAGATAATTTTTTCAAAAACGTTAATGATAACCTCTAACGTTGATACCAAAAGGGGCCTTAAACTTCTGTGTTCCAAATTCATTTTTCATTAAAATGAAATGCTAATTGCCAAACACTACCTAAAATAATCTAAGTTTGAGGTGGGTTCATGAAATTGGAGAAGATGACTAAATTTTCTTGGTTTGGGTGGTGGCACCAACAACAGATACATAGACCAATTCACACGGTGCCTTTATGTGGAGTACAAGAGACACGGGATTGATGTTCAATGTCAGGTATTACGAACGTTACATTGGTGTGTACCACATTGCTATTTACTACCAATAGGTCCCCTTGCCTTTAATTATTTTCATCTCCCTACCCTGTTTTTATTTATTTATTATCGCGGAGTATTAGGATGACAGTTCTACCTGAATTTGACTTTTACCGATTTGATCGGAGCTTATAATGAACACAATTTCACAACTTGCTTCGATCACTAGAAATTTCTCCCTGTACTAATAATACAATCTTCGTTCACTCTCAATAACAACTCATCAACATCGTCATCATTAAGAATGATATAATAAGAAAGGTTCATCAATAAATTCTACAATTCCCCATATACATTTATACACAAACTACTCTTTTTATCATGGTGCAAGTGTGCAACCCGATACAAGAATAGTTACTCGAACATCGTTTCTGTTAGAGTACATCCCACATCGGAAATCCATTAGTAAAAAATCGGTATATAAGCTTTAGAGTTGAACTAACTAATCGATTGGATTCAATCTTTTAATGTGGTTCAACCCAAGTGTACGTCTTATTACCCAATCCAGTTATCCGTACCCATCCTAAATTCTATCATGGTATCGGAGCCAGTTTTAGCCCACCTCGTTTGTCAAGGTGTCCGTCTAGACGTTCATTCATAGCGGCTCGTTAGTCTTTAGCCTAGTTGTTCGTATGGAGGTTGTACCCAACGGCCTATGGCCTGTTTAGCACGATTGCTCGTTTGGAAGTCCATACCCAGCGGCTCGTGGTCCTTTAGGTGTTGGCGCTCATAAAAAAAAGTCAAGGGAATGGGAGTTCATTTGCAAGTGGTCAACCGGTTAGATTCAAAATGACCCGGTTGTCCACTTGAGGGGGAGTGTTAGAGTACATCCCACATCGGAAATCCAAGAGTAAAATAATCGGTATATAAGCTCTAGAGTTGAACTAACTAATCGATTGGATTCAATCTTTTAATCTGGTTCAACCCAAGTGTACGTCTTATTACCCAATCCAGTTATCCGTACTCATCCTAAATTCTATCAGTTTCTAAAAGCCACCCATTATTTCTACTCCAACTCGAGTTTTTTTTTCTATTGAACAACATTGTTCTTGCTCTGTCATAACTCATTACCCCAACTCCCTCAAACCCATCACTTTTGTAAATATCGTCACAAAGACAACCACCATACCTGCATTCCAAGAATCCAGCAGATTAGTTCTCAAAGTGAATATTTACAAGGACTCAAATCACACATAGAGCCATAAAACCCTACAATTATACACAATCCACAAACACTACACGTGTTATCAAATTTTAACTAGAAAATGTTTTAGTGCTCACTCTAGAGAGACCAAGTAGATTGTTAAGCTACCTGGATTTGTAATCAGTGTGCAATCTTGGAGTATTACTATAAGAAATATTGAATTTTGGATAGTACTCCCTCTGTTCCACAACACCTTTTTCCTTTCGTTTTTTTTGAATTCCCTAAAACACTTCCACTTTCTATTAAAAAACCACTTATACCCTTACTTTTTCATACCCTATCTATCACATCATACTTTTTCTCTAATAATCAATCCATCACATCTTACTTTTACCCATCACATCAGGGACAAAATTGGAAAGTCAACCAAAATTATACTTTTCTTATTTTTGCCCAAAGTCAAAAGTGAGAGGGTTTAAAGGAACGGAGGAGGGAGTACTAATCTTTTCTGAAAGTATTTCATGAGTTCATGTAAAAAAACCATGTCTCTTGATGCATGCATGCAGGTGCCCTTGTATGTGGCGACGAAGATGATATCGATGAGAAAATCGTCGTTCCTCATTCCATCCCCAGATGGTTACGCTAAGGCGGCGTTGCGTTGGATAGGGTACGACGGGAACTGCACCCCGTACTGGCCCCACACGCTTCAGTTGGCTTTCATCCATTGCTTGCCCGACTCTTTTGTGGATGCTTGGCGCTTCAATGCCATGCTCCAGTATCGGAAGAGAGCTCAGCTCAAAGAATCCCTTAAGAAGAGAGATTCTTAATTGACACCCCACACACACATACATCTCAAAAGATGTAATATATATTTGTGCGCAATTAGACTTATTGTTGTTACAATATATATATGTATGTATATATATATATATATATATATATAATGCTACTCAGTGTAATAATTAAATGACATAATAATTAATCTCTGTATTGAACTTCGAATGCTTTTGCTTCATTCCCTAGGCCTTGTAACATGTAATAATGAAAGATCTGAAAATGTTTAAAGATCTGAGATTTTGAGGCCTATTTGGATGCATGGTTGAAAGTGTTTTTCTTGACTCAATGATCTCCCACTCCAGATCATCTTTTACTTCAGCAACTCTTATATTTCTTTCGAGGAGTAATACTAATTGGAAAATTTGAATTGGATCGGACTAGATAATATTTTCCATCAATTATTATGCAAGATGCACATAAACAATGTTTAAATCACTATCAAGAGAATCGGAATCGAACTAGTAACACTTTAAAGAAACTTGAATTTGGAATAATTAAATTGAAAGAAACTAGAAAGAATTGTTCTATATAATAAAAACTAAAAGCAGTTGGAAAGAAATCTAAGAAATTGGAGTAGAAAAATTAAGGTTTGATTCAAAACCAACCAAATCATCATTTTCTCCTAATTTAGATAATACTTTTCCTAAAAATAATTTATGTAACTTAGGTAACCGAACATAAGAAAGTAAATTTAAAAGTAAGAACTAAACCCTAAACTTTAAACCAGTAACCTTCATGAATGAGTTTAAATATGTAAAACGACATATAACTGAGAACTTTTTATGTAAAAAGAAGTGGCATTTTTTACAAAAAAAACAAGAGTCTCGTGAAATTTGTTAAAAATTGTCTGTGTTTTAACAGGTAATTAAAAGGGATAGGAGGACAAAGCAGACAAAGCAGTTGGATAGAAATATAAGAAGTTGGAAACTTTTGGAAGTTGATGTATGGTACATTTGGTTGTGGGGAAATATGTTTCTAGAATAATATTTTCTATGGGCATACAATTTCTAAAAAACTGCTGCCGGGTACCTCATGTTTTGTTGTAAGAACCGCCAGGTACCTCTATTTTTCAAAATATACTCTCACGTACCCTAAATTTTTAAAAAATATACCAAGGAGAGATTTTCCATCCATTCTCCGCCTATCCCCTTTATCCGTTAATGCACCATCATCATCATGCATCATCCATCATCATCACATCACCACTATCCCCATTTCTTCGTTCTTCCTCTTCTTTTTTTTTTCTTCTTCTTCTTCTTCTTTCTTCTTCTTCTCATCCTCCTCGCCCTCTTTCCACACCGATCTTCTAGACCCCCCACCACTCACCCTTATTTCTCCTTCTATTATTATTATTATTATTATTATTCAATTCTTATTAGTATTATTATTATTCTTATTACCATTACTATTATTATTGTTATTCTTATTCTTCTAGACCCCCACCACTCACCCATATTTCTCCTTCTTCTCCTTCTATTATTATTATTATTATTATTGTTGTTGTTGTTGTTGTTGTTGTTGTTGTTGTTATTATTATTATTATTATTCTTATTGTTATTATTATTATTATTCTTATTACCATTATTATTATTATTCTTATTATTATTTAGTTGTTTTACTACTATATTTTTAACAAAAATACTAAAACTCCCACCAAAAAATTGGATACTCCATTAATCTTTCACAATCTCTATTAATGTAAAAAAAACAAAAAAAATATTGTTTGGTACCCTTAATTTTGTGCTTAGAACTGTCGGGCACCTTCAATTTTATAGTGAAACTATTAATTAATTTTTAATAATAATAATAATAATAATAATAATGAATAATAATAATAATAGAAGAAGAAGAAAATATTTGAAAGTTTTGTGCAGAAAATATGTTTACTGCCTCACCCTTTTGATTCCATTCGGCTACCACATATATAGCCACTAATTACAAAGGAAACCTATTAATTGTATACATCTACCATACATAGAATAGCTATAAAATAGGTAACAAGTATTAACAAGGAATGAGCACAAAAATCTCCGTGAGGTGCGCCATGCATGCATACGGCTCTTCTCCACAAATCATGCTTAACCATAAATAATACTCCCTCCGTCCCAAAAATAATTAAGGGAGAGATAATTTTGTGTTGACTTTCCAAAAATACCCTTGATGTGATGGGTAAAAGTAGGATGTGATGTGTAGATTATTAAGAAAAAAGTATGATGTGATAGGTAGGGTTTGAAAAAGTAAGGGGTAAAAGTGGTTTTTTAATAAAAATGGGTAAAGGATTGTGGGACACAGTTTTTTTGAAACGTGTAAATCTTTTTGGGACGGAGGGAGTATTTAACATATTATTATTCTCTAACAATATTACTTCAAAATATTAACAATAATAATTTAGAAGAAGAAAATAATACTTTGTAATAAATAATAATAATAATAATATGTAGTAATAATAATAATGAATAATAATAGAAGAAGAAGAAAATATTACTTCATAATATTAACAACAATAATTTAGAAGAAGAAAATAATACTTTATAACATCAAGCATTCAATTTAATTACATGTGGTTCAAGAGATTCAGAAGATTCCTCGGGCTCATCCATTGTTTGTCTCAAGTAAGAAGCAACGAGTAGCTACCATAAATACACATGAAATGAAATTGCACCATGAGCATCTCACATTTTAGCTATACTAGTATCACACCCGTGCGTTGCACGGCTCATATTTACGTTATAAATTTATATTGATATCATATTTATTATCGTCCAAGTATGAAGTTATCCCCCATCATATGTGCATATAAAAATATACCATCTATAAATAGTATGTATTTTCCATATATACGGAGTATTATTTTTTTCTAAAATAATTATCATTATATAATATATGCACCGAGATTACCATATGTAATAATAATGTTTTCCATAATAATATATGCACATAAGATTTATTTGAATCTCTAGTGTATTATTCTTCATAGAATTATCTCCTTATTTCTTTTTTTAAAACTTTTACCATTTTTTACAATTATTTACTCCTTTCATTATATTCGCAAATATGTAAATAAAAAATCTTTAAAAACGTTTTTTATATAGTAGTCAGTATTATTTTGTATATACAATAATGTACCGAGTACTATTTTATATCCTTATTTTATTTCCTTATTTATAACAATTTTTATATTTAATACTAATAAGTATTATTTTTTAGAGAAATTTACTTAAATAGCACTAAAACATAATGACTTTACCAAAATAGCACCACATGTGTTTTTCTTCCCAATGTAGCACTTTTAGTCATTATGCATTAGTCATTATTCAAGTAAATATTCGTCATCACTGGACATTATGGACATTATTTAGTGTTATTTAGAGAATAAAACAATTTAAGTGTTATTTAGGAAAATGACTTAAGTTTTAGTGCTATTTAGTGCAAATATTTCTATTTTTTATATATAGTAATGTAGTATTGTATATACATAGTATATTAGATTTTTATCGGATCATGTTACAAATCTTTTAAGACAATACCATTAATATATTAATTTTTTTAGTACTTTCGTCTCAAAATTAAAATGAAATGAAATTAAATTAAATCTGTACATAAAAAATGAAGACATATCTCCACAATAATTTATTTCCAAATGTGGAAATAAAAAAACAAAACAATATAATGCAAATATGGAAAAAACAAAACAATATAACAAAACCTTTGCTTCCGATTTCTCTTTTTAATTCTCACCATATTTTATTTATTTCCTACTTTCATTACTTTATTACTTTTTTTCACAAATATAGAAATATTTATTAATTAAGTGCATTTTTTTCTATATTAAATAGGGTCGTTATTTTATTACTTTATAACTTTTATTCACAAATATGCATATGAAAAAATCCAAACAATATAATGCACGGCTTGCTTCTGATTTCGTTTTTTAATCTTTACCATTTTTTACAATTATTTCCTCCTTTCATTACTCTATTAATTTTATTTGCAAATATGTAAATAAAAAAACAAAACTCTTTAAAACTCTTTATATATAATATTAATCAATAATATTTTATTATATACAACAATGTAGTATTTTATATCCTGATTTTTATTTCCTTAATTAAAATAGATTTTATATTTAATAATAATTAGTATTATTATTTTTATATATAGTAATGTATACGTACAAATTTTTAAATGTAATATATTAGATTTTTTATTGAGTCATGTTACAAAACTTTAAACACATTACGATTAATATATTTATTTTTTATTATTTCCGTTTGAAAAAAATTGCTTTTCATTTCCTATTTAATTCTTGCCATTTTGTATTTATTTCCTCATTTTGTGGTATCAAGGTAATAATATAGTAGGAAATTGTTACCTTGTTTAGAGTACCGTAATATTTCCTCCTTTAATGGTAACAAAGTAATAACATAGCATTAAATTCTTACATTTTTTTAGATTAATGAAATATTTTATATCAATGGTAGATGATCAAATCCTCAAAGATCAACGGCTCACAAAGGTGTGAGTTTGGGTGGGAACCGTATAAAGTAAATTTCTTTTTTTATAATACTTTAAAACCTAAATATGTATATGCACAAATAGCACAATGCTTTCCTTTTTCGAGTAATGAATGCACGATATTAATTTTGGGCATTAAATACACGCGGTATTAATTTTAGTAATTAATACCAATAGTAATAGATACACAATGCACACAGTATTTTCCTAATAGATTAAAATACACACGGTATTAATTTTGGTAATAATCGAGAATACACACAGAAATAATGCTGTAAATACACACGGTATTAATTTTGGTAATTAATAAAAATGCATTAAATACACACGGTATTTCCCTTTTTATCTCGAGTAATACACATGGATTAATAATAACCGTAGATTAAATGTAATAGATTAAAATCAATGGTCCATAGATGATAGTCATTGGGCGGGAAAAAGCATGGGGCATAATTCCCCTGCTTTTAAGAATAGGATGATGCTATGTTTCCTTATGCTTTGTTAATTAAGATTCATGTTTAGCCGTACAAATCATGTCAACACGTATCTGTATTAGTTAATCCATTGTTTTAACCAGTACCTTAATGCTCCTTAACAAAAATTATACATACAAATGTATATATGCTCAGTATATTAGGTTAATGCCAAGTTGCCTTCACTCCGTAGATATAATTAATCTTCTTTTAGTTTAAGATTTGAAATTTTTTGAGGACTGAGTGTTGACCAATCACAAATGTATTATTCTCACTCTTTATTATTTTTTCCTTCTTATGCAACAGAAAATTCTGGAGAAAGCACAAACACTATGTTTGGTTCACGGAATTTGAGACGGAAAGGAAAAGAAAATGAGAATTTTGGTTAGAGAGGAAAAGAAAAGAACGTGGGAAGGAAAAGAAAAAGAGAAGACAAAATGTACTAAGAGGAAGGAAAATCAAATTCATCTCATTTTGGTGAGGAAGATGATGGAAAACCATTTTCTTTTTTTTTCTGCCAAATTCCTTGAACCAAATATAGTGTAAAAGTACAGGGGAATTTCAACAAGAATGAGAGGCTTTGTTTGTTGAGGCAAGATGATATGCTATGATATGTTTAAACTTAATAATAGTACAAACAATGAAAGTAATTTTCAAGAAGTGGGGGGTCCAACCATTAGGACAACCATTAGATCATAACCCCACCGTTTTAATGCAAATCTTTATGTATCAATTATTATAACACACTGACAGCATTCTTGCGCTAATTCCTAGATATAATAATGAGAAATTTACCTAGACTAAAACATAATAACTTTCCCAATATAGGACCATATGTTTTTATTTCTCAATGTAAGACTTTTGGTCATTATTCATGTAGTCATTACTGGACATTATTCTTCCCACTAGGTCATTATTGAGTTCTATTTAGGGAATAAAAAAGTTTAAGTCCTACATTGGGAAAGACATTATTTTTTAGTCCTATTTAGTGCAAATTTTACTATAATAATATGTACATACTCAATGTCGCAAACAAAAAAAACGTGCATGCATCCCCAGCCCGTGCGAAGCACGAGGTTGAATACTACGGAGTAGTTAGAATACTGATAATTGAGTATGTAGAAAAAATTAAGTTTTGATTCAAAACCAACCAAAGTCATTTTCTCCTAATCTAGTAAATTTAAAAGTTTTTGAAAAAAAAAATATTTTCTGCCAAAAAAAAGAGTCTCGTGACATTTGTAAAAGGGCAAAGTTCATATGACATTGGCGGATGACCCAGGGCCGCTCCGATGCCCCGTTCGTAAAATTGACGGTTCCTACCACCCTAACCCCCCAGTAAACCTCTACCCCGTCCCGACTCCCGACCCGAACACACCCCCCACCCTCTCCCAATTTAGATAATACTTTTCCTAAAAATAATTTATGTTGCTTAGGTAACCGAACATAAGAAAATAAATTTAAAAGTTTTTGAAAAAATATGTTTTCTGCCAAACAAACAAGTTGATATATAAGAGTTAGGATTCAAAAAAACATAGCCTTAAAAAACAGAAGAATAATTATAGAATTGAATAAAACAAAGTATTGTTTAACAAAATAAAAAAAAAACTAATGGTTGACATTTTTAAAATAAAAAAAAGGAGAGACATTTTTGACAAAAAAAACAAAGAGGTTAGTGACATTTGTTAAAAACTGGTTTTGTTTTAACAGGTAAATAGAAGGGAGGAGATTAGGACGACAATAATTATACCGCAGGAATAACGATTTATAATTACCCCCATGAACCAGCATCAACATTGCACCGATAACGATAATGGAGACCGAACTCTCATGGCTTCTTCTTCTTCTTCTTCCTCTCTCTATCGGCTGCATCAAGCTTCTCGCAGCCGCTGCAACTGCTCTCAACTGGGTTTGGGTCAATTTCTTCCGACCCGCCAAAGATCTCACGAAATACGGGTCGTGGGCTCTCGTCACCGGCCCCACCGAGGGCATCGGGAAGGCTTTCGCCTTCCGGCTGGCCGAGAAGGGCCTCAATTTGGTTCTGGTCGGCCGGAACCCTGAGAAGCTGAGAGGGGTTTCCGACTGGATCCGGGCCGAGTTCGGGCGGACCCAGATTCAGACGGTGGTGGTTGACTTCGCCGGCGATCTGGACGACGGGGTTCGCCGGATCCGGGCGGCGATTGAGGGGCTGGACGTCGGGGTGTTGATTAACAACGTCGGCGTTTGTTATCCCTACCCGAGGTTCTTCCACGAGGTTGATGAGAAGCTGCTGGCGGAGCTGATCCGGGTGAACGTGGAGGGGACGACAAAGGTGACGCACGCGGTGTTGCCCGGAATGCTGCGGCGGAAGACCGGCGCCGTCGTCAACATCGGCTCCGGCATCGCCCTCATTTACCCTTCTGCTCCCCTTCATGCTGTTTACGCGGCCACCAAAGAGTAAGCTTTTTTCCGAAAAATTGCCCTCTCTTCTCCGGGTCAAACAATTCTTTATTGTTTAAATTTTTAGTCAAAATACTACACATTTCGACTACCCTAAATATACCCTCGGTATATGAATAAAAATTTAAATGTGTTTTCTTTGATGAGTCAACCTTATAAAATTATTTTCATTAGAAATTGGTCCTAAACGTAGTTAGCATTTCTAATATGTTGAAATAAGATTTTTGTTTTGTTTTCATTATCTTAAATCTTAAATCTCTAATTACCTGACATAATTCTCATGTCATTGAATGTGTCCTTCACGGAATTAGATCCTTAATTCCCAAACTTTATTATTCTATAAATTCTCAAAAATTTAGGAATTGGAGAGGTATATAATACGATTAAAGATACAATTAAAGGCATGAGAATGGTGTAAGATGCATTAGATAAGCAAGATTAGGACACGGAGTAGGAAATAAATGCATTATCACAAGTGATTAGAAGTGCTAACTTCCTTTTAAGAACTATTTTTTAAAATAAAAATAATTTGCAGGTATGACATAACATTTTGATGTCCCAAATAATCTTTATACCTAATTACTTTATTTCTTATTTAGGTACTCTCATAAATATGCATGTGACAACAATAATCATTTTTTCTATAAACAAAATTTATTGGAAACAAATTTCTTAAACTTTATGAAGTCAAAGTGTCAAGGGAGCAGAAAAAGTTTATCAAACAACATTATATTTTACATGGAAGATGTCCATTTATATGCTAATCCTTAAGATTATCTATCTTTAAGGTGGTTCATGATGATATTCTTCGAAAAATCTGCATAACCTTTTTTTTCTTGGTTTGGGCAATATCAGGTACATAAATCAATTCACAAAAAGCCTTAACGTGGAGTACAAGGAATTTGGGATTGATGTACAGTGTCAGGTACGTATAGGCCCCTTGCTCTTTAAACAAATTTCACACACACACATACTTTTTCCTTCATGAAAATTGGTAAAGTCAACCAAACAATGGAGCTCTTTTTAGGGCATAGAAAATACCCCGGAGTGCTTGATTTTGACCATCTCTCATTTATCCTACTGTTATTTTAATATACCTGATTCGTTTCTTCCTAGAAGGTACTACCTACGCCTAGAGTATTTGTCTACTTTTATTTTTACACATCATCTAATATACTTCTTTAATCCATTTTATCTTGTAATTTGTAAATTAAAAAATTATAGAAATTATATATTAATAATATATATATTAAGACAAGTCAAACAAGATCATACATGACTATATTTTGGCTTACACATTGAGAGAATTTGATGAGTCAAAGTGCTTAGATGAACAGTTCCAAAAGTCAAAACTGGATGAATACTCCGGGACGGAGGGAGTACTTTAATTTTTGGACAAAATACATAAACTTACCATTTGTGTATTTAAATGTTTACTTTCTAATTATTCAACATCATTTTATTCATTTAATGAGGTGCACAAATGGCAAGGCTGTTTATTTTGTGATCAAAGTGTTGGTGACTCTAGCATTTCTCTTTTTTTAGAGCATGCGCAGTGGCGAGGCATTTCCTCGCTCACTGCGCCACATCAGCTGATTTGGAGAAATTGCCTCGCGTGGCTTAGCCTTCCTCCACGCCAAGCGTGTGAGGCGCGAGGCAGTCCAGGTATTTTTTTTATACGGGTGGGCATGGGCCAGTCCAAGCCAAGGTTTATATAAACCGGACTCGGTTTGTTTTTATTAAAACAGTCTAGGCTGGAACGGGTTTTTAAAATTTTAAAATTGAAAATGGACCTAACCCGGCTTGTTTGAAACGAGCCGATTCCACAGATAAACAATCTGAACCTATCATGATACTAATATTCAAAAGAGTAAATTCCATAAAAGGTTTCCAATTATAGGTCGTTTTACGAATTTAGTCCATACATATCAAATATTACTAATTTAGTCCCCAATTATTATATCATTTTTCACGAATGGTCTTTTGCTAACGTTTTTGTTAAGAATATGGATAAAATTGTATATTCATACTTCTCTCTCTCTTCAGTTAAGCTTCCTTCCTTCTCTCGTACTCTTTCCCAAACTCGTCGCTGAGTTTGAAGCTTTAAACCCAAAACTGAAATGTACATTCCTCTTTCAATTACAAGTATTAGTCTTCCCGGTGGAACTTAAAATCAAAACCAATAAACTTTATGGATGAGTTTTATCGGTTAGTCTCAAGAAATTGTAAAGAAAATAAACATTAAAACTCATCCATGAAGGTTACTAGTTTTGAATTTGGGTTCCACCAATTAGACAAACAATTGAAAGAAGAGTCATGATTTTGGTTTTGGGTTCAAAGCTTCAAACTCAGCAATGGGTTTGGGAAAGGAGCGCGTGGGAAGGGAGGAAGCTTAATTGAGGAGAGAAAGGAATGTTAATTTATAATTTTATCCATGTTTTAATGGAAAAGTTAACAAATGATCATTCGTGGAAATGAATATAATAATTGGTGACTACATTAGTAATACTACCTCCGTCCCACTCTCTCTGTCCACTTTTGACTTTTGAAATTGTTCATTTAAGCAAATTTGACTCATCAAATTTTCTCAATGTGTAAGCCTAAATATAGTTATGTGTGATCTTGTTTGATTTGTCTTAACATATAGATTATTAATATATAATTTCTATAATTTTTTAATATACAAATTACAAGATAAAATGGATTAAAGAAGTGCATTGGATGGCGTGCCAAAAGGTAAGTGGACAAAGAGAGTGGACGGAGGGAGTATTTGATATGTAAGGACTAAATATGTAAAACGACCTATAACTAAGGACCTTTTATGAAATTGACTCTCTTAAAAAATAAAGTAATACTCCCTCCGTCCCATAAAACATTTCTTGTTTCAAAAAAGGCGCGCCCTTAAAATGAGTAATTTTGGTGTTATTTTCTAATTTTGCCCTTACTTTATAAAAGAGTAGGATGAGATGTGTAGAATAGATTAGTCATAATTAAAAAATAACACCAAAATTACTCATTTTAAGGGCGCGCCTTTTTTGAAACAGGAAATGTTTTATGGGACGGAGGGAGTAATAAATTAATAATATAGACATGGTCATTCACCATTAGTCCAAAACAATGTACTACCCCCATAGTCAATTTTAAGTCATACACTCATACAACACAAAAAAAGACCTAAATGAAGACAAAACAATGACAAAGAGGGGTAAGGCGTAACTCGTAAGGGCGTTGTTCCCGGTGTAATTACTAATAATAATACGAAGTATTAAAAAGCGGTCTGGTCCGGGTCCTGGACTGGCCGACCCCAAAACCTATAAGGACTGGACTGACCCAGCCTGTTATAAATATTTGAAAAGAGGACCCGCCCCCCACTCAGACCAAACCTGTCGATTGTCGATTCGGTTCCGACTCCCGGTTCCTTGACCCGTTTGTCCACCCCTACTTTATTATATTCTCTCTATCCCACAAAACCTTTCTCATTTCTTTTTCAATCCGTACTAAAAAAACCTTTGTCATTTTTATTAAAAAGACACTTTTACTCAGTCTAATTATTAACGTGCCTATCACATCACATTTTTACACTATTAATCTATGCATCACATCCTAGTTCATTTTTAGAAAATCAATACCAAAATACACTTCTTTTAAATCCTTTAAAAGTCAAAACCATAATCGTTTTGTGGGAGAGAGAGAGAGTAGTTTTTATTATAATATGGTTTCATTCCTTGTTTTTCACCCAAGTGAACCCTCACCTTCCAAAATTTGTGAACCAAATTAGCCTTGAGGACATTCTCTCTCCCTTTCCAACTAAACGCATTCTCAAGGAAAATCACTTACAAATTCATAACAAAATTTTTCATGAAGTTAAAGAGTAACTTCCCTACTTTGGGAATACTTAATCTGCTATCAAATTATGTTCTCAATAAAAAAAAAGTATTAAAAAGTTGAATGTGATTGAAATTTGTTCCAAAAGATTCGGAGAATTATAAATGGAGAATTTTACTTTAATTTGAGATGAATAAAAAAAGAAAATGTGAATTTAGTTTTAGGATGTAAAGAGTATGATGATTCATCAAATTAAAAGAGTATAAAAGGGTATAGATGAAAATGGCTAGTGTGTAGGATTCATTGAGCTTAAAGTAATACTATGATGTAGCTATGCACGAGCCCTATTGTACAATAATCTTAAACAATTTCTTGTAAAATCTCAAATTTATGGAACCATTTGCGCAAATTTTTCCAAACCAAAAACATGTGTGACGATGCATGCCGCAGGTGCCCTTAAACGTGGCGTCGAACATGACATGGATGAGCAAAAAGTCAATCCTCAAGCCATCCGCGGATGTTTATGCTCGGGCGGGGCTGCGCTGGATAGGGTACAACGAGACCTGCTGCCCGTACTGGCCCCACCAGCTTGAGCTGGCATTCATGCACTGTTGGCCAGACTCTTTCGTGGATGCTCGGCGCTTCAAGAGCATGCTTGAGTACCGAAAGAAAGCCCAGCTCATAATTAAAATCCATAAAAAAATAAAAATAAATAGAGATGTTGATCGATGACACTCCAACTAACACATCCCAAAACATTTGATTGCCTGTGTATAATTATTAGTAACATTTAAATGTTGCATGCCACTCAGTTTTGGTTATAAAATGCTTTGATGATGTGCCAACTGTTCAAGACCCATATTAGAGAAATCCCCACCTTACACACCACATTTTTGACCCTATTGCATTCAGGCAGAGAACATTGTTTGGCATAGGTTATGTTTATGATCGATGATTTAAAATCAGACAAAAATGATGATTTAAAAAAAAAAGAGGTAAAATTGAGTTATTTAGAGTTAGGAAATGATGATTTCAAATCAGACAAGTCATATAGTGATATAGGGTATGTTCTTTTCAACTTTATATTTCAATTATTCAAAGTTTACTTTTCTTTCTGTGAGATTATATTGGGTTTAATATGTTAGTTGTTTACTTCTAGCAAGCAACAAATGATACAGAGTAAGTCAATAACTTAAAGTAGTGTTTGGGAACTAGAATTCATTTGAAATCTTGAATTTTAATTCCAATATTTGAAATTTTATAATTTCAAATTTCAAATGTTGTTTGGGAAGTCATAGAATTTCAATTCTAACATTTGAATTTGAAATCGACAAAGGCGATAAGAGAAGCGGGTGATATGTATGAAATTGTTGTTGCATAAGGGGGGCTTGAATTAAAGAAAAATAAAAATTAAAGAAAAATCGAGCTTAAATTTGTAAATGACATGGGAAAAAGTCTAGGTTTGTAGTTGGGTTAATTTTGAATTAGAAGAATTTGGTCGAAATCCAAATTCTTTGATATCCCAAACAAGTAATTTGGATCAAATCCATATTTGAAACCCAAATTCAAGTTCTCAAATACACCATAAAATGGTTTGAATTTATTGTTTGACAGGGACAAAAAAGGCATACATTGCTACCAAACAATATACCTTACGCAGGAGATACTATAACTGATGTTTGTCTTCATAGTTCATATCATGGGACTGCACCATTTTCTTTTCCCAGCATAAAAATGTTGCCCTTTCATTTGCCCTCATTAGGCTTAGGAATTCTCTTGTATTCATAATTGTCTATATCAATCTTTTCTTTCAAAGCCTGGATTACATGAAAGGAAATTAGAGGGGAAAAAAACCCAACATGTAATTCAAAAGGAAGTTCAAATTAAGACTCTTTTTGTACCTTCAATTCATCCTCCAAGTTAATCTTTTTGGGGTTATAAGCGGTGACCTGTCCGTCTCTCGAAAGTGCTTTCCTTGACTCAATAATCTCCCACTCTAGATCATCTTTTACTTTAGCAATATCCTTGCTGAGCTACACAACATTCCCCGGCAATCAATCTTTATATAAATAAACGAAAGAGAGGAAAAAAAATAAGAAAACACAAGAGCGGCGGTGTGAAAAAAAGGGGTAAAATGGTAAATTGACAACAACATAAATAACAACCCTAGGTCATTCCCACAAGAAAGGAAGATCTTGGAAGGGTGTGTGTATGTAGACTTTACTTTCCTTATACTTGGAAGTAGAGAGGTTGTTTCCAAGAACCCCCGGCTCAAAAAACAGAAAAACAAAACATAGAAAGGAAACACGGTAAAGCATCAAGTCATAGCATAGGGAACTATAATAATCAAGCAACGAAACAACTTTTACGATGAAAGACAAGAACCAACCTGCCTTGAAGAAGGTGGCCAAGGCCAAAAGAACCGAGCACCATGAGTGAGATCATAGGGAGACCATATCTAGTGAATGGTGATTTCCTACCCAACCTTTTGAATGATGAAGCTGGAATTTTAGATTTTGAAGCAACTTTATCATCCATTTTTTTGTTTGATTTATCGTTACGTGAGTCTGACCCAAACTTTGGATTGCCTGCATCAGAATCTCAAAGAAATCGTTAAATATAACAAACAAACTCGTTGCACACAACATTTGACACCAAAGAAGTAATTCACAGACAACATTTACATGTGAACTGTTCACAGACATCGAAGACAAAGGTTGTCGGTAAATCCCTTCTTGGTGTCAAAAATGTTGCAAAAAATGGTGTCCAACATGAATGGACCAAAAAATAATGGACCATGCTATGGGCACCCCATCTCACACTCGCCTTCTCAGAGACATCATTGTTCAACGTCTGTGGATAAAGACTTAACCATTTTTGAAATATTAATTGCTTTTGCAACAAAAGAAATACTTTGTACCACTAATTGATAAAGCACCTGACAAATGTTTAAAATTTGCTTCCAATTTTATGTTATGTTTTTTCCAAAATTTATGTTATGTTTTTTTTCCAAATTAAAGAAAAAAGGAGCAGAAGGAAGCTGTGGATAGAATTATTAGCAGAACACAAACTTTGTAAAAATTTAGACCCAACTAAAGAATGGACCAGCTTGTGCTCTTGCTCTACAACTTGAACTACAAATGTTGGCATTTTTCACAAAATTAAAAGCTGACAAAAAAAATAAACAATTCTTAATGTAATACTCCGGGATAATATTCAAGATAAAAATACATATACATTTTAGGGAAATCGATACCACTACTAAAAAAACTGACAAATGTGAAAATGAGATCTGTGGGTTGAAGCGGATGCATGATTTTGGAAAAAAATTAAGCCATTTTAAGCCGTGGCTTTATACAAGCTAAAACAACTCAACAACTCTGTGTTAAGCACATCAAATGGACTATCAAACTCTTCTACAAACCTATCTATAATCTCAAATAAGCAATCTCTTATGCGGCATTCTCCGCTATGTTATACTCCAACCAAAGATATTGATCAACCCAAGAAACGAATGTACGCTTCTTTCCTCCAATTAGTTTGAAATAAAATTCATGGTATCAAAGTTTTTAGGGAAAGGTCAAAAAGGTCATTTTTGAAAATAATTACAATGTATATCATCTTGAATGTTCGGATGTAATTCAAAAGTTTTCTTTCTTAATCCAGGATCAATTATAATGTTTCAAAACCAACATTCTCTTCGTATCCCTTTTCAATAAGGATGGTGTAGATTCAAATGTTGGGTTGGACAGTTGAGCACTTATGTTAAATTTTTTATCACTTCCACTAAATTTGGGTTCTTCACATCTTGGTTGTTGGTTAAAATATCTTTGCATTGTCAATCCTAATTTTTGAAAAATAAATATTAATTACAGATTTTAGATTTACAATTTAGCAAAATACGAATTATAGATTACTGAGTAAGTCAATTTAAAGTGAATAAAATAACAATACAAAAATTGAATTCACGACAATTAAAAAAATATTCAAATTAAATAGAAAATAACAAACATTAATAACTACTCTGTAATATCCAATATTAATTTCTAATATAATCTTACTTACCTTATAAATTGGGGATTTCGAGATTCGCAGAATTGGAGCGTAGAGATGGGAGAATGAAGCACTTGAGCTTCCGCGGCGGCGGTGGCGGAGGTCTGAGTCCGGCGGAAGCGATCAGGATGAGATTTCCCGATTTTAGACAAGGGTTTCGCACTTTCGCCCCTCTCGTCGTGTGGTTAAGTCCTTCGTTACTCAGTCATTTCCATTCTAACTAGAGTATTTATTTTTATTAAACTAGATTAGATTATTTTACAAAAAAAAATAGATTAGATTAAATTAAAACGAATTTTAAATATAGTTACAATTATAACAAATTAAACTTAAATTTTCATATTAATCAATAAGATTCCTATTTAATAATTTAATAAATACAAAATTTGAAAATAGCACCAACTTTACACATTACCCCCTTCATTCTAAAATGTTCTCCATGTTATTATTAACATGGTCAAACATTAATCACTTTATTTACCTATTTTCATCAGTTATTTGATAAAATTAAATAGTCTTGTATCTTCTTATTTTGTATAACTTTTGATGTATTTATTAAATGTATAAATTTTATTTTTAAATTTTACACCTACAATTAAATAAATTAGATTGAAAATAAAACCGGTCAAATCTCGTAAACAACAATGAGAAGAACATTTTATGAGGGAGGGAGTAAAAATTTATGTATCGAACTTGGATAATTGCACAGTAATTAATTGTATTTATATAGGGAGTACTAAATAATAAATATTCCGTAACAAAATATCCGTGAATGTATAAATTCATATTAATAAAGTTTTTTTTTTGGTAAAAACTATAGGAAATATATTTTATTATAATAATAAAGAATTGGGTTTTTCTCTCATGCCTTTGCAATTCAAGGGGCATTGATGCCCCTCTATTAGATGAGTGCCACATGGATATACAATGCCACGCAAGTCTACTGGCTCAATATGCCTCACTTCATTTATTTTTTTAAATTTGCAAAATGGCCCGCTATCCATTTCTTTCCTTTTTCTTTATAGAAAAACAACAAAATTAACCTTTAACTTATCTTTTGTAATGTAGATTACTTATTTTATTTTTTCTTGTTATTTATAACATTTTTTATGTTCATTATATTTAATTATATTATAACACTTTAAAAATAATATCGAGTATTATACATTGTTTTATAAATTTTATAAATATTTTATATTAACCACTTAGATAATAACACTTTTGTAAATGTCTATTTTGATATTTTAAAAGTTTACTTAATCATTTGTATTTATTTAAAGTATGGATAAATTCTAAAATACGTATAATCTTTTGAATACCTCCTAAAATTCTATAATAAATCTTACAAATTTCATATCATTAATTAACACATATTATTTGACAAAATCAACTTTCATTACCGCTATTTGTTTTCTTTAACTTTTTCATTTTCATTTCGTGTATTATTCCTTAGATTTAAATATATGATTTTATTCACAACAAATTTTGAATTAAATTCATGTTTAAAAAATCTCAATGATTTAAATTACGAGTGTAAATAAGAAAATTTTTTAATATTTGTTTCAATAATTAGTATATCTTTTATATACTCTACTCCTTGAAAAAAATATGTACATTATCAAAATTTTTAAAAAAATATTCTTCTATAGAATTTTTAATTTAATTTGTCTTAATATAACTTGTTGACATAGATTTTTCAAAACTATTTTTTTAAATGTTTTAAAAAACAAAAATTACTTGTGTTTGAAATAAAAAATTTAACATATTTGTATTTTTTTTTGTTAAAAAAGTTCATGTTTTTTTTTAATATGTCAGGACAAAAAGAATACAAAGTGTCTTTTTTAATATTTAGTCAATTAAATATTCATAATATTTTTTCAACCGGTTCCCAACAGATTTTCTTCATGTTTAATTTTCCCGTTGATATAGAAGTACTTTTTGTATACTTTTCTTCCTCTTCATTTTATTTTCTATTCTTTTAATTTTTTATTAAAACAAAAGAAATGTTATATCTAAAAGAATTAAAAAGAGAAACAACAAGTGAAAGAAAAAGTCAGAAAATAAACAGAAAAGGGAAATGAGCTTCAGTGCAAAAAAAGAGAAAATGTTTCAATAATTTTTGTTTCATGAAAATTAACCAATAAAGGCCTATTTTTTTTAGATAAAATGTGAAAATGTACAATTTCAGACAAATAAAGTGTATATTAATTCTTTTTGTTTCAAACAAAAAAATTTTAATTTTTAAACATTATAAAAATAATTTTATAAAAGAATTTTGAAAACATTTCTGAAATGAAGAGAATAAAAAAGAAAAACCATAAAGAAAAAAAAAGCACGAGTAATAGTGCTCATTTTCAAAACCACCGGGTGCAAAAAAGTTATTCACCTAATATTTGAAAGCGTTTTTTAATTTGTAAGGGTTATTAATGTCGAAATATCATAATCATGATGGGAAATGGTACAAATTTTGAAATCATGAAACACTAACAGTCCCGTCGGGTCGGGGGTGAGGGGCACCCGGGGTGAGCGATTTCACCTTTTGGAGAATGAAACACTAACAGTAAATATTTACTAAACTACAAGAAATATTATGTAATAAACTCATCATTAAAACCTCTAAATTAAAAGAGTAAAAAGATTAAAAAGATAACTTGCTTTGAATTACCCGTAAGCAATGAAAAAGAATTAAGGAAGTGACATGGGGCCATTTTACAAACTTTTAAAACTTAAGTGAGGCACGTTTAGGAAGCTTATGTGCATCAAATTACACATGGCAGTCATTCAATGGAAGGGCATGGATGCCCCTTGAATTTAAAAGGCATGAGAGAAAATCCCTAAAGAATTTACTCCGTAATTATTTATTCAATCAAAGTTTGTTTTTTAGACTAAATACTACTTTCATGAGATGAAACTGTGTTGTTATTTGTTCATCAAATTAAATTAATTTGAACGAATTAGTGAATAAATTACAATACACTTCCTAAGCTAAAGTCGGCGCAATAGACAATGTTCTTGGCATTCAAACCATATGTTTATAGAAAGAAAATAAAGAAATGACTAAAAGATATGTGATCGAGCTTATTAGGAGCATGACCAAATTAATCGCAAATGCACTTCGCATTTCTCTATCATTTGCTCGTGTGCCTAATAACGACCATGTGTTATGGCGGACTTGATGGGAATTTAACAAAGTTTGATGAAGTGCCACGCAGACACTTGTAAGCAGTTGGGTTTGAGTAGCGTGTTCGAAAAGTGATGGGCTGAACATGTGGATTATTTTGATTGGTTGTGGTGAGTACATATTAAGTTTTGATTGATTGAAAGAATAGAGAATATTTAGAGAGTCACCACGGCAGGACTGTCATCACCCAACAAGGCGCCACACCCATTCACTTTGGTGGCTGATTAGTACACTTATGTTTTCCATTTTAAAGAATCGGAGTTGAAATAAATATTGCTCTATATATTCTTTAAGTTTCATGTTTTTTATTTGAATAATTTACACTCTAGTTTCTTCTAGCTTTTTTGAATTCTTTCCAATTGTTTACTACGGAGTATTCTAACTCTTTCTAAATTCAGATAAAAATAAAATTTGTGAGCGTTTTGAGAGTTTTCATATTATAAATATTGATATACAATCTTGTTGTATATTCTTCAAATGCCCATTTATAAATTATACAATGCTCCTTTTATACCTTTAATCATCATACGATGTTGAAATAAAATATTTGTAAAAAATGTAAGCAAGTAATCATCATACGATGTTGAAATAAAATAGTTTGAAAAAATTTAAGGAAATTTTTGGGAATTAGCATTTAATTTTAATTCTTAATGTCAATTCCAAAATTTAAATTCTTGAAATTATAATGAGAAGAAGAGGTATATGGATTCCTTAATTGAGCTTTGTTATGAATTAGTTGAAAAAAATTGGAAGAGTTAAAAGAAAAAATAGAGAAGTAATTAGGTGCATTTAATAGTATGTATCGAAAAATTATGAACTTCTAAAAGTATTAATATGATTTTTTCCAAAAATAAAATAGAATTCCAACAAAAAAAATGTGTTTTTTCTTCATACAAGGTCAAGTATTGTGCCAACAAACAAAAATCTAAAAAATAAGGATTAAAAGCTTTTACATCTAAGAACGGTGGCAACAACAATGAGATTGGTATTGTGACCGTAGAAGGAAGTTGTGGTTTGGAATAGACGTCACTTTAAAAAATGTTTGGAACATCTAAATTATGACATCACTTTGACATCATGTGTCACACATATATAGATACCTGTAGTTCTTGTTTACGTGTCTTTGTGACATATAGTGTAAAACTATTATCACTACCATACCTTGGTGTCGAAGAACATAGTCGGTTTGGAGTAGACTTGATCAAAGTGTGGGTCGGGCTGGGTTTTGGGCCAAATCGAAATGCTCCATTACAAAAATTTTCTAGATATGAGCCCAGTCCATATGGATACTTGCAAGTTTCAGGTCGGTCCAGTTTGCATGGCAACAAGTTGTAAATAATAAAAATACGAGTAATAATAAATAAAGTAATGCATTAGTATATTAGATGTCTGGCATATTAATTATAATGAGTATATCTAAGAACGACTAATATACAAAATATGTTCTGTTTGATACTTTTAGCTCGGAGTACGGAGTATTATTTATTTAAGTATCATTATCAATGTGTGATACAAAATAAATAATATGGAGTAAATAATTCGGAGTAATAAAGATGTATTCATTTTATTAAATGTACTTATAATTCCTTTTTTTCCATAAAGGTATGCATGTGTGATTATAAAATTTGTGAGCTCGAGCATAAAACTCGAACCTAAACCCGAGCTTAGAGTATACCGGCCGTCGTTTATAAGTCCCGAGCCCGACCATTACCCACAAAATGTCGAGCCCATGCTCGCTATTTTACCGGGGGAATGAGTACCCGGGAGGCCGGGACTGTGATCGGGTCTAGTTTGTAGATTGTGTATTGTTAGATTTTTTGTTTTGTTTTGTTTTGTTTTGTTTTTGGGTAGATGCTCTTTAAACCTAGCTAACAAGGTTGAAGGCTTCATGGTCTTTCCTCTCTCCCCAATCAAGAAATCAATGGGCGGCAATTGCCTAACTGTATTTTCCTAACCCTCCATTTATTCAAAGCTTTTGCCAACCGCATTCATTTCCTCAACCCACCATTAACGCCTCTTCACTCCCCCGCATTCAACTCTGCAGCAAAACACTAAAAACCCTCTCGGAGCTCTTCCCCGCCGGCGACAATGGAGTCCTGGCTCTGCCAGCACCTCAAATCCCAGCCCCCGTGGCTCCTCCTCGTCCTCTCCCTCGGTTTCCTCAAACTCCTCGCCTTCTCCGTCTCCCTCCTCAGATGGGTCCACGTCAATTTCCTCCGGCCCGCCAAGAATCTCAAGAAATACGGGTCGTGGGCCCTCGTCACCGCCCCCACCGACGGCATCGGGAAGGCCTTCGCCTTCCAGCTGGCCCGCAAGGGCCTGAATTTGGTCCTCGTCGGCCGCAACCCGGAGAAGCTCAAGGACGTTTCCGATTCGATAGTTTCCAAGCACGGGCAGATCCAGATTAAGACCGTGGTGGTGGATTTCGCCGCCGATTTGGACGGCGGCGTGGGAAGAATCCGGGAGGCGGTGGAGGGGCTGGATGTCGGAGTGCTGATCAACAACGTCGGGGTCTCGTATCCGTACGCCAGATTCTTCCACGAGGTCGATGATAAACTGTTGGCCGATCTGATTAAGGTCAATGTGGAAGGGACTACTAAGGTTACTCAGGCGGTTTTGCCGGGGATGCTCCAGAGGAAGAAAGGGGCCATTGTCAATATTGGCTCCGGCGCCGCCATTATTATCCCTTCCGATCCTCTTTACTCCGTTTATGCAGCCACCAAAGCGTAAGCACCTCTGCCATCTTTACAACTTGTATACACATTTTGACTTGGCCAAAAATACCAAATTAGAAATAATAATCTTTTCGGGACCTAAATAAGAGTTCACATTGTTAATTGTCACGCCTCACTACCACCGGAGCTCTGCCGCCGGTCGCAAGCGTTGACCACCGTTGACCGGCAGTCCGCTATCACACTGTCGAAATTCATACAGCCAAACACCTGTTTAGAGGATAAAAACGGGCGCTCATATTCTAGTATTTTGATGACATGTGATTCCTATGAAGGGATATTTCTTTAATAATAATTGGTTGGACACTTTACTTCTAAAATGTGCCAAAATATTGGAATTAAACTTAGGGAATCCCAATTTTGACCCCAACTCTCACATCACTCTCCTTACTGACACAGACGCACAGAGCGGTGTCGGTGCCCATGAATGTCTGTGACTCTGCAAGAAGGCGGTGTGAGAGTTAGAATAAAATTTGGGGTATCCTAAACCTCGCATAGAATCTTTTAGCCTAGCTCTTGCCCTCACACCAGCTCCCATTGTCACCTAAATGTGAGGCGAAAGGGGAACTGGGGTAGGGAAAGGGAGTTTGAGGGAACTTAGGGCCTCAGGGGCTTCGGATTCAGAGCATTGTGAGTCTCAAATGGACCCGGTGTCATATTATGACACCTTAGTTGGATGCCGAAAGAACCCGGTTTCATATTATGACACTGACCTCTATTCCCAAAAGAAGTGCATTTCGAATCCTTATTATTCTGCAGTCTGCACTATGTTTGACTTCACACTCACGGTTTTACGTTCAGATACATTGACCAATTCTCAAGATGCCTCTACGTCGAATACAAGAACAGCGGGATCGACGTGCAATGCCAGGTATTTTAGGTCACCCACGTGCGCGTGTACACGACAATATTATGCTTCGTAGCGCTCTTTTGTGCTAAAGGGGTTTTTGATGATGGGTAGGTGCCGTTGTACGTGGCAACCAAAATGGCATCGATAAAGAGATCGTCGTTCTTTGTTCCATCGACGGACGGGTATGCACGGGCAGCATTGGGTTGGATAGGGTATGAACCGAGGTGCACGCCGTACTGGCCCCACTCCCTTCTATGGGCTTTGCTCTCCTCGCTGCCCGAGTCCGCGATTGATGCTTGGCGCCTCAAGTATTGCCTTGGGATCAGGAAGAGAGGGCAGCTTAAGGACTCCAGGTCCAGGAAGACTGATTAGGGGGCAACCCTAATCAGAGTTGTTTTAAAGTTCCAATATACTGTGTTTTTCCCTGTTTTAGTGTGAAACCTTTGTTTTAGTTTGCTTTATTTATATCTCTGTTTTTGAATAATGAATCTTGTTTAGGAGGTTATGAGCTTATCTTTGAATGAAAGTGGAACTTTTCTCAATTCTACCTTTTGTTTTAGCCATGATTCTTCTTTCTTCCTGTTCTTGTTCTGGTTATGCCATATTCAGAAATGAATGAAACCATTAAGGCTCTGTTTGTTACTCTGTGCTGAACAATGACCTAACTTTTTATATATTTCAATCACACAATTTTATTTTTTTTTAAAAAATATGGTACATAATGCAAACAAGAACTTATTTTTTCATATAGGTGTAGATTCACTCTAATATCAAGGGCTAAAAGTAGACCAAATGCATATAGTGTGACTCAAAAGGATCCAAAATTTAAGGACCACATTCTTATTGTGTGATTCAAAGGAGCCTTCCTAGTTTCCTAATGAGAATTGAAACACATTCCCTAGTGAATTTGTGCAAGGTAAACTTCACAACCATCATCAAATCTTTCTCTGTTGTTTCTCGGGTGGCCGAACCCCGAGAGTCAAATGATCAACGGTAACTCCATGTACCCGCGAAGAACCGACGACTGCATCATAAGCCTTTGCCGAAAGAACCATGCCCTCGTTTCGAGCCCTAAGGTACAGCTCGTGGGCCATCCTCGGCTTACCATCATTCGCAAGCCCCACAATCACCATTTCGTAGGTCACCCCGTTCGGGCTTATATTCTTAGCTTTCATTTCCTGAAACCATTGGTACCCTGCAGTCCCCATGCCGTTTCGCGCACAAGCGCTGATGACAGCATTGAAAGTCACAGCTGTAGGACTAACCCCACACCTCGTCATTTCGTGGATGATATGATTTACCGCGTCGAATTCACCTCGGGAACAGTGAATCGAAGCCATAATTGTATACGCGTGCAGATTCGGCTTAACCCCTACCTTAACCATATGTTTCCATACTTGAACTGCCTCATCAAAGAGCCTCCCCTTTTCTAGGGCACTTAACAACGCCCCGTAGGACACAACATTAGGTTTTTGCCCTTTTCTAACCATTCTCTTGAATATTGTTATGGCTGCCGAAATTTCTGAAGCCTTTGAACACGAAATGAGGACGTCGTTCCATTCTTTACATCCCGGTTTTAGCCCTTTCTCTTCCATCTTATCAAGTAACCTAATGGCCCATTTCCATATCCCTCTTCTCCTAGCTGCACCAAGAAGAATCCTGAAATGTGAAACTAAAAGCTCATGAGACATCTTGTTTGGTTTTGGGCCTTTATCCGACAAATCTTCGTATATTTCAAGAGCTACCCACCATTTCTTGGCTTTCCCCATTACCCAAATCACATGGTTGCAAACCGATAGGCTAATGGTTCCCAAGTTTCTTTCTCTTATCCTCACATACAGTTCTTTGCAAACAGTATAATGTTCTTCGTGCCTACATGTCCAAATGAGGCGTTCATATTCCGCGCAGCCAAGTTCAATCCCTGCCTTGTCCATTTCTATCAGCAGTTTCAACACTTTTGTGCTTAAATTTTCTCTCCTTGTCATCCATTCTCTCATCACCTGGTAGCATATCCGGGTCGTGAAATTCTCAAGCTTGGGAAACTCAGATTCTTCATAACACTTGTCTCGAATTTCTAAGAACAATTTCACGGCTCCAAACGCATCTTCCAGTCTCCTGTGAGCGAATAGCGCTGTGGAATAAGAAATGGGGCTCGGAGATAAACCCTTGTCTCCCATCTCTTTTAAAAGATCGAGAGCTTCGAGTTCTCGACCTTTTTGTATATACGAACTCATGAGAATGTTATATGTGACAACATTGGGATCAATTCCAGCTAAGGACATGTCTGATATCACTTTCTCAACCACATTGTACTTTTCGGCCTCTTTTGCTGCTCCCAAAAGATTGTTATAGATAAAAATATATGGAAGAACACGAGAAGAAGAAGAAACGTCTTCTTGTCTTGTTTTTCTTCTTCTTAGCCAATCAACAAGAGAGATTGCAGAATCAAGCCCATTGTTCTTACCAAGAACCTTAATCAAATCCGAGTACACTCGAACCGGGAGTTCATCTTTCTCCTTGAGAATCTCTTCAAACTCATCTGCATTCTTGGCAGTCTGTAATCTCTGTGCAAGTTCATTCACATCAACCCTCACTCTTCTCATACATTTGCCAGCTTCCTCGTACTGAGTCAACTCAGGAACTCGGTTCCATGAAGGTGAATCTTGTTCGGAAATGGTACAGGTTGAATCTTTTCTTTGACTGCAAGAGATTTGAAACCTGAATCCAGGCAGAGAAATTTGAGGTCTGAACAAATTCAAACTAAGGGCACTTCCCACAGTCCTTGATCTAAACAAGACACTAGTGGCAGAAAGATCCGATTTTTCAAGAAACCCTCTTCTTGAAAATGAATTTGAAGGACAAACCTGCCCAGATTCAGACTGGTATACCTTCCAAGAATCGATTCTAACAACCAGAGCTTGCATTATGCGCTATTGAGCTCATGAATTCAACCCAGAACTGATATTTCAAAAGTTTTAATTTTTGAGACAGACGCACGGGATTAGAGGGAAATCAAGATTGATGGGTTCATGTAATAATCGCATCCCTTTGAACAGATGAAATCTGAGAACGGATAAAGTGAGATAAATCTACAAAGAAATCATCCTGGGCCTGGACACTAATGTGGTATCGTCTTACTTAGGAGGACCAGACCCAATCTATAAGTCCAAATCGAATCCAGATTAAATGGATTTAGGTCCGGTTCTTAATCACTCGTTTTTTTAGCTTATTTGATTGAATCTGATCTGATTCGATTAAGTTTTGATTTTATTTGATATGATTGTAATTATATTAAAACTTATTTCTAGTCTAATTTGATTTTATTCCATTGAGGATACGTAATAAGTTGAAAAAACAAGTTCAATCTACATATTTTAAGATTTTGGTCTTTGGTTTGCTCAAGCTAATTTTTCAATTTTTTCAATTACGACTGGAAATATCAGACACAATTTTTTACTTAAATTTTAATACGGAGTAATATAAATGTGAACTTTAGGAGAATATCTATATTTTAATAGTAAAGTAAAACTTGAACTTACTTTTACTATAACTAATCATTTGTTAATAAATTTTAATTAAAATGAAAAATTTATACTCCAAACCATTTTTTGGTTTGATCCGATCCAAACTATTTTTTCGGTCAAGTCTTCGGTCCAAAGATGTTGTCCTTACTTGGACCATAATGAGTTCTATATTCTAAAAAAGTCCTTCAATTTACATGAACAATATAAAATTCACAAATGGATATGTCTTTATACTAGCAGATGCAATAGGATCATGAAATTTCTCAAAGAAAACCTGACTTTTAGATCCACCATTGAATCTAAATTCGTATATTGATATAAATGTGAGGAGGAAGTATAATAACTACGCCCTTCCTAGATGATATTCCTAGATGAAACGCAACACGTCGTAGTTTGCATCTATTGTGTTTCTCAATTAGCAATATGATGTGCTAAGAACAACATGTTAAATGTCAGTCTAGACATATTCATTGCAGAAATTTATTCTAGTACATTTGATTTTTTAGTAAAAGTTTATAGGTCCTACATTAGCTGAAACATACTTCACGGTACCCTTGATTTTCTAGAATAAACTTTCAAGGCCTACATTATCCAAAATATACTTCGTGGTCCTTAAAATTTGTTGTATTATACTCTGGAGGTGCATTGTGTTCATTTAGGTGTTATATTTGAAAGTTTCGTTACTTTGACAAGTTAAAGGACTTTATTAAGATCTAATGAAAATAATTATTATCAAGGTAAAATCTAGTATGTTAGAGTCTATTTCATATCAAAAATTGAAGAAAAAAAGTAATCGAAATATAAGTTCTAGAGAGTAGAGGTATATTAAGTAATTGATTGAACTCAATCTTTTAATGTGGTTCAACTAAATGTTTTATCACACAGTCTAGTAACACTTACCTCATCCTAAATTCTATTATAGTATCGAAGCGAGTTTTAGTCCACCTCATTTATCAATGTGTTTGTCTCGATATTCATTTCTAGCCCACCTCTTTCTTGTTGTTTGTATGGCATGCATATCCAACGGCCAATGGCTTGCTTAATCTAATTGCTTGTTTCAAAGTTCATAGTCATACATAGTGGCTCATGGTCTTTAAGGTGTTGTTACTGAAAAACAACCGAATAAGAGGAGAACCTATTTTTAAGTGCTCAGCCGATTATATTTAAAATGGCTTATTCACTTGAGAAGGAGTTTTAGACTCTATACCACATCAAAAATTGAAAAAAAATAATTTGTTCTCCCTTTGTCCAAAAAAGATTTTCACACTTCACTACTTAAAAATCACGGAAACTTTTATTTATTTTCACTTTTTCATTGATCATTTGATAAAATAAAATATTTTTGTCACATTTTATTTTGTAGAACTTTTAACGTAGTTTTTAAATGTGTAAATTTTAATTTTATTTTTATACTAATTTTTAAATAAAATGAATTTCAAAAATTCAAAAATTTGCTATTGCAATCTTTTTTTAGTGGAAGGAGTATATAAATTATAAGGTTGAACGATTCGATTTCATTTTTTTATGTGATTCGACCTAAGAGCACTTGAAGTACGTTTGAAGTCTGAAGTTCTAAACCTTTTCTCTCCGTCATATCAATCTTAACTTTCTTTTAACTTAGCTCACAATTTCCCTTGAAATGAGCTTGATGCCTCAGTGCTTTAAACATTTACTTTTTTAATTTTTAATACACATTTTGCAAAATAAAATAATACGGAGTAAGATTTTATTAGTTAATTGAATTTAAACAAAAATAATTCATTAAATAAAAAACAGCATCCAATAAAAAATATTATTAAATTAAAAAAATTACATTACGAAAAACTAAGACAATTTATATTTAGCATTTACTCCGTATCTCGTTTTATCTTCTCTCGCAATACATACCTTTGAAGATCATTAACGTATCAAAGTCACTTTCCATTATTTCGACTTCATCATTCTCTGTCTATCGTTTTTCCTCGCTCTCTTCTTCCCCAATATTATATACTCGCATTTGTTCAAACATTGCCCGACCGATATCGTCGTGAGAAGAAACCGAGACAGGCCCTAGCCTGCAGAATCCGAGACAATTGATTTTGCCTTCTTCCTTCCAATCGGTCGTGAAATGGGGTCCTCATCATCAAAGTCGTCTAGGTTGACGGGAGACCTTTGTTCTGACGAGCCAATATTTTTTTTTTGAATTCTTATAAAAAAAGGAGTGTACCTCAAACTATATTTTGGTTGAAAAACCAGTGGCGTGAAGCTATCGTGCGCTGGTTTACGACTGAACCCATCTAAGTCAGAGTCCCCGTATTAGCTTCTTCCCTCTCGGCATTTGGTTCTTTGATTTCTCCCACGTACTCAGGTGGATGAACTAGACGTCGAGGGCTAGTGCAGTCGGATTTCGGTGAGCTCGGACATACAAAATTTTCAACAAAAAAAAAAGAGAATATGCATAGTAATAGATTGTGTAGGAAGAGAGGACAGGGAAGTTAAGAGTGTGAGATGCCTAGGTGGGTAGGAATGAAAGTGTGTTTGAGTGTGACTAGTGAACCAGTAGACACACGACACCCTCGTACCTTATCACCTAATGCAATTATTTTAAGTACCACGGCTGCTTACATCCATCATTCCACAGTTGTATAGTAACCTACCAACCCTTCCATCCTTTCCAATAAGAAAAAGTCTAAATCATTTATAAAATAAAATCTCAAACTTTTTGAATTTATTTTATTTAAATATAGATATATAAATAAATAATAAAATTTGTATATTTAAAAAGTATATTAAAAGTTCTACAAAACAAAAATTTACAGAACTATTTTATTTCATCAAATAATTAATAAAAACATACAAATAAACAAAATTTTCTGCAATTTTTGTATAGTAAAGTTTGTAAATTATTTAGTGGGGAGAAAGTATTAAGGTACCCCCAACAAATTATCTTTTCTTTGTACACCAAAGACAAATACAGGTATTTATTTGGAAAATGCTAGAGTTATACCAAATATCTATCATGCTCTCCATAACCACAAAAATTGCATGCGATATTTAAAATAAATAAATAAAAACTAAATAAAAATGAATGGTAAAGAGGCATGTGGTGTATATTTGGGGTACATCTTTGGTGTACCTCTAACATTTCCCTATTTATTTCTGTTTGGGTAGAGAAATCATGCATGTGTGTCGTCTTTAGTGTTCAAATGATGTATTCCGTACAATATTAGGGTGCCCCTTGGATTTCCTTTCGGAAATGAACTTCAAAACTCTTAAATAAGAATTTGTATTTTTAATATTATATGTTGACGTTATTAACATTATAATTACTATTTTCGTAATAGAGATATTACTCAAAAATAGCACCTAAACAATGGTGGTTTACCAAATAGCATCATTCTTGTTTTTTTTCTTATATTTGCAACCTTTTTAATGGGCACTACCCGCGCTACCCTTTTACCTTGTATACCATTAAAAGTTTAACATGAGGTCAATATTGTCATTTCAAAATCCCTATGTAAATGAAAAAAAAATACATTTACTAATCCTGATGTTTTATAAGGAATTTGTCATTATCATAATGTTATTTAATAATTCTTCCCACAAAAATACATCAAACTTTAATTTTGATACGGAGTATTTTTTTTAATATTTTAATTTTGAATAAATTCCATAAAAGGTCTCCAATTATAGATCGTTTTACATATTTAATTTAGTCCTCACATATCATATATTACTAATTTAGTATCCAATTATTATATTCATTTCTACGAATAGTCTTTTGTTAACATTTCCGTTAAGAACGTGGATAAAATTGTAAATTCATGTTTCTTAATTTCTCTCCTCAATTAAGCTTTCTTTCTCCTCTCGCACTCTCTCAAACCCATCGCTGAGTTTGATGCTTTGAACCCAAAATCGAAATCATCACTCTTCTCTCAATTGTTTGTCTAATTGGTGGAACCCAAATTCGAAACCAGTAACCTTCATGAATGAGTTTTAATGTTTATTTTATTTACAATTTTTTTGAGACTAAATGATAATACTCATCCATAAAGCTTATTGGTTTTGATTTTAGGTTCCACCAGTAAGACTAATAATTGAGAGAGAAATGATCATTTCAGTTTTGGGTTTAGAGCTTAATTGATGAGAGAGAAGTATGAATATACAATTTTATCCATGTTCTGAACAAAAACGTTAACAAAGGAGCATTCGTGAAAAAGATATAATAATTAAGGGCAAAATTAATAATATTTAATATGTAAAGACTAAATATGTAAAACGATCTATAACTGGAGACTTTTTATGAAATTTACTCTTTAGTTTTAGTTTAACTTATTTCCTCGTTAAAACATTGAAGTTCCTTAGTTAACCCGAGCAGTATATTATCCCTTCCCGACCTAAACAGAATACTCCGATCCGTCTATATATACATAATACATACAACCCGCCATTGAATAGATGCAACCATATACAAGGAGGCGGCAGCCGCGAGCCTCGGCGGCGGTGTTGACAGAAGAGAGAGAGCACAGATGAACATGCCCACACACACACACACACACACACACATATATATATATATTATATGATCCAATATAAATCTTTGAGAATTAATTACCTTATTAATTAATTATATTTTGGGTATGCGCAGTTTTGTTCTCTCTAATCTTCTGCCAACAAAATTTGGCCTTTGACTTCCTCCCCGCGTTCCATTCTCTTTCATCATCATCTACCGCCTCTACTTCCATAAGGTGATTCAATTACATATTTACATTACTTCTTCTGTCTCAAGTTAGATTATAATTTTCGCACAACAAAGTAAGATCTCGTGTTTTTTGAACTTTTTTTATTTAAAATTTGATTTAAGAAAAGAAATATATTAAACAGACGTAACAAAAAAATTTACGTCAAAAGATCTATTCCCCCGTCCCATCAAACATGATTTATTTTGATTTTGAAGAGATTTAAGGAAAGTGTATTTTGGTAATGAATATTCAAAAATATCCTTTGATATGATGGGTAAAAGTAGGATTTGATGGGTAGATTATTAGTAAAAATATATGATGTGATAGATAGGGTATGAAAAAGGTAAGAGGTAAAAGTGACTTTTTAATAGAAATAAAAAGTGTTTTTTTGGGACGGATGAAAAAAAAAGGAGAAAGATTTCCAGAGAGAGAGGGAGGATAAAATTAGAGATGATAGAAATATTTTATTTTATCAAGTAGTAAATGAAAACACACAAAAATCAAATTTATAAAGAACTTAGCAAAAAAAATTACAATCAATTTCGGGATCTAAAAATTACTAGTGTTTCACATACTCCTCTGTATATATAAGGCATGTTTGGAAATAACGTTATAAATTAGTTTTAGCATTTCGGATAAAAAATCAACGGTGCAGGTTAATTTGAAAACGCTAATGCTAAATTCTGTTCGTAGTTAGTTTTTTCAAAACGCTAACGCTAATATTTAAAGTTATTCCCAAACATGCCCATACTCTCCCCTTACAAGTTATTGTCTATTTGTCTTTTTTTACCTTTTTGTATCTTTTGACAACAAATTATGAATTACTCCCTCCGTTCTAAAACTTTCTTTCCAGTGCAGTATTCAAACTTCACGAGAATTTATATTTATTTGTATATTTTAATGGCTTATATAATAAAATAAAATATTCTTGTCACCACTTGTTTTGTTGAACTTTTGATGTATTTTTTAAATATGTATATTTTAGTTTTTATTTCTATACCAATATTTAAATAAAATAGATTGAAAAAACTTGGAATTTTTTTTCGTTTTGCGCAAAGGGAAGAGAGTTTTAGGACGAAAGGAGTAGTTCCACAAAGGGTGTTTTGTGTTTTTTAAAAATTGTTCTTAATTTTAATTCTATAATTAGTTCTTTGATCCAAATACCCCATATAAATTGATATTGAAATATTTTTCAATTTTCGAAAACCACAAAAGTTATACTTCTTCCGTCCCAAAATATTTACAACATTTGTTTTTTCAGCAATACTTAAAATATATTTTTATCAAAAATAATTTATACTCCATCTGTTTTATAAAAGTGTTCCTATTTTGAGTTTGTGTAAAAATAAGGAAGTGTTAATTTGTAGTTGAATTCCAATTTCGCCCTTGATTTGATCGGTAAAAGTAAGATATGATAGATTGAGTATTAGCGAAAAAATATGAGCTAAAATCTATTTAGGAACGGAGGGAGTATCTGCTAAAATCTAGCAATTGCTTTCTTGTGAACTCTAAGTACTTATATAAAGTCAAGAAAGAACCTAGAAGTATTAGATTCAAAGCTACTAGGCCTACGGCTAATGGATTTGCTCAAAAGGAGAGAATACATTTTGTTGATTTTTTTTTCTTATTGTCAATTAACCACCATTAAAATCATATTGGTTTTAGTTGCCCCGTATAAATATGAATTAAAACAAATGTATATTATTGCCACTTTTTACTAACATCAAGTTTGATAATTGCATGAAAAGCAATGTATGATGTTAAACTTCTAATGTTCTTTTAACTGTTCACTTTGTATTGAGTATGGATATGTGATCTAGAATTAAACCTAAAATCCTTGAGATAAAAAATGTGTTGATAGAATAGAGGATGAGATGTGAGTCACTGAATTGGTTATAAATTACTTAAGTTGAATCATATTAAAAAATCGAATCCAATTGATTATCTAGTTCAATTAAAAAAGCTTATATACAATAATTTTTCTTTTCAATTTTCGATTGGGATACTTTAATACTTCTCAAGTGGTCAAACGAGTCATTTTGAATCTAAACAGTTGACAAATTACAAATGGATTTCCATTGCCCTAGATTGTTTTGAGCAGCAACAATTAAAAGATCCCGAGTCGCTTGGTATGGACTCCAATAGGCTAAAATCCACCATTCGTCCTTCGACTTTATTAGTTGTGCACGATTAGTCCTTCAAGTTTCAAAAGTCCATAAATAGTCCTTCAACTTTATGAGTTCTGCATCATTGGTCTTTCAAGTTTCAAAAGTCCATAACAGTCTTTTAGGTACACGTTAGTCCTGCATATGAAGTCTTTTTGACCGAGAATATTAAAAGTTAAACGAAATATTAGTTTCATATAATACGAGTAAATTCCACTAGGTACGACTACTCCGAATTATATGGAGCTAGTATTCCATTTAGCTTTCAACATTTACTATCAAAAGGACCTCATCTGAAGAGCTGACATGTACTTGAAGGACTATTTATGCACTTTTAAAACTTGAAAGATCAATCGTGCATAATTCATAAAGTTGAAGGACTATTTATGGACTTTTACAACTTGAAGGACCAATCGTGCACAATTGATAAAGTTGAAGGACCAATGGTGGAGTTTTTCGACTCCAAGACGAACATTCATGTTAAATTGGCCACAGGCCGTTGGGTATGCATTCCATACAGACAACTGGACGAAAGACTTGCAGGCCGTTAGGAATGAACATCCAGACACTTTGACAAACGAGTTGGGACGAAACCTGATCTTCTACCATGATAAAATTTTAGAATGGGGTGTGGATCACTAGACTACGTCATATGACATTTAGATGGAATCTAATCAATTACTTAGTTGAGCTCAAGAGTTTGTATGTCAATTACTTGTTTTTTATTTTTGATGTGAGATAATCTAACATGTGCCTTATTCGAATGTTATATGTTCAATTATACGGCTCATGATTAACACTAGACGTGATATTGCTTATGTTATCATTTGTTTGAGTAAGTACATGCAAATCATAGTACATCTTATTAAAGAGATTTGCATAATTTCATTGACCATTTGCTATGCATTCACTAGGGTTGGACACGGTACCGGTTCAGTACCGTTACTGGCGTCGATACCGGTTCGGTACCGTTACTAGCGTCGGTACCGGCGGTACCCGCCACCGTCCCTGTCGTTCGAATCGTCACCCAGTACCGTTCCTTTCAGTACCGGTTCCGGTGCCAATATTTCCGTCCCGGCACCGGCGGTATCGGTACCGTACCGTTAATTTTTTTTTCTTTTCCGGTCCCTGCTGTCCTGCAAAAAAATTAATTGGAGTGTGAGGGGTCCCCTCAAACGGCTATGATGCCGTTGAGGGGAGGGGGGGGGGGGTTTGGGGGGTTAGGGGAGAGGGTATATATATATATATATATATATATATATATATATTAAAATGTCGAGAGAGTTCGGTAGAAGGTCTGTGGATATGGGCGCCGTGAACCGTTTGAGGAGAGGCAAAGCTAAAGCCACCTCCGACGGTTCGACCTCACGCGGTTCTCGAGGAAGACACTCCGTCTCTTCGTTTCCTACTGTCCCAGATCATTTAATCGGGGACGCTATGACGGATGAAGAATTCAACCAGATTTTTTCTGGTAGAGGGGACGCGAATCTCCCCACTCTTGATAGTCTATTCGAGAATGTTGATGAAGCAGGACTGGATAATCTTGACAGGGACGATGAGCCTACACCGCAAAGCAACGATGTCGACGTGGAGGCAGGTGAGCCCGAGACCTCTCGAGGTTTGGACAAAGGTAAAAAAATTAAAATCAGATTTATTTGTTTATCATTTTGAAAAAGATACAAAAGATGACATAGTTTATGGAATTTGTAATTATTGTGGGACCGTCATTAAAATGGGAGTTTCCGGCGGATATGGCGGTCCGGAAAAACACCTAAGGTCGAGGCATCCCGTGGAGTAGGCCAAATACGCGGCGAAAAAGAAGGGACGACAAGAAGTGCAAACCCAAATTTCTCCGTCCTGGTATCAACTGTCCCGGTATCAACCGTAGCAGTTGAACGAGAATTCAGTTCTGGCGGCAACATTCTAACCGACTACCGAAGTTGTCTTAACGCTAAATCTTTTGAAACACTGGTTTGCAACCAAGATTGGCTCTTGGCAAGACGTCGAGCTCAAGAGTCATCGTACCAACTCGAATCGGAGCATTACATGAATGCAACTACAGATGGAAGTCCGAGTTCTGAAGAATAAGTTATAAAATTTTTTTATGTTAATGTAAATATGCAAATAGTTTTTTTAGGTGAGCGATATATATGCTCTTTCGAGGGTTTCTTTACAGTTCTTTACCTCGTTGCTTTTTTTGAACCGTGAGGATATTAAATATGGTTGTTCTTCAGTTAGTGTATTACTCATTTTCAATATTTAAATAACAACTACATTTTTAGATTTTTATTTCATTATTTTCTTAAACAATTGCAAATTTACAATTTTATACTTTAACAATTTTAAAAAAAAACAAAAAACAAAAATAGGGGGGGGGGGGCGAAACCGGCCAGTCCGGTACCGGAACCGCCGGTCTGGGAACCGGAACTGCCGGTCTGGGAACCGGAACTGCCGGTCTGGGAACCGGAACTGCCGGTCTGGGAACCGGAACCGGTACCGGCCGGTCCGGTCACGGTACTGGTGCCATGGTGTGGCAATTCCGGAACCGGAACCATCCGGGAACCGTACCGTGTCTACCCCTAATAGTTGTCAAATCCTAGGGTGCTTCATTTTCATTTACAAGAACAATTTATTGTATTAAATAATCTAAAGATATATGCAAATAATAAAAAATTATTGAGAAATCAAAATAGTAACTAAAATAACAATTTTAATTTTGTGAAGGAAAGAGTATTTTGAAATGGAGCAAAGTGAAAGTTAAATGTACTTTAAATGAAAAGTCTCTAATGAACTGAATTGGAAATGAGTGAATCAGAAAAATAATGGGGAAAAAAAGTGACTACCCAAAAGTTACCAGTTTATTCATTTTTAAATTTTATAACAAGTCCGCCCAGTAATTTTATTTCACAAGAGCCATTATCATTATTGGCGGACAGTCCTAATTTCCTTTACAAATTGCAATATGAGACCCAAAATTTCATTAGACAACCCTCATCTTTAGTCAATTATATAATAGTCCTTGGGCACTCCTCATATGACTTGGTGCATAACAAATTAATCAAAAGTACTCGTAACAAAAAAGGTCCTTCAATCTCTTCTAACAAACCTACCCTGCAAAAAATGAACATATATTTTGTCACAAAATGGGCCCAGTATAAATTTTGGGACAAACAAAAACTATCTGTGTCCAAAAGAGATTTGATAGAATTTATTTATAATTTAATTTATTTGAAAATTAGTAAGAAATTAAACATGAAAATTTATATATTTAAAAACTATATCAAAAAAGCTCTATAAAATAAGAACTGACAAGACTATTCTTTTCTCAAACGAGTCGTTAAAATGAGTAAAAATTGTGGTTAAAGTTTGATCATGTAAGTAGTAAAATGCAAATTAAATTGGAATGAATGGAATACAAAAATAAGAATAAAACACGTACCTTAACGCGAGGACGCTTTTCGGCATTGAGCTTACGGACTTGGTAACGAATGGTTTTGGAGAAGAGCCGATTCTGCCTCTTCTCCTTGTATCTCAATACGCTTGCTGCCCTTTGAACTTGCCCCGCCACCGCAATTGCCGCCTCGTCGCCGCCTTCCCCCGCCTTTTCGGGGTCGTTTCTGAACTTGCTTGCCGCCATTTCTGGGACCACGTACAAGCTCATGTTGTTACTCTCTCGCCCGCTCCATGCCCCCTGCATTTTTTTTTGCAATTCAATCAAATTCATATTATTTTTTAGCTTATTACATATTTTAATTAAAATCAGATTAGACCATACCAAGTCAGAAACAAATTTAAATATAACAGATCATATCATAACAAATCAGACTAAATCTTCAGGAAATCAGATCGGATCATGCGAATGAAATGCAACCTAATTTGAATGAATGGAATCGGTTCATACCCTTTTGGTCCCCGGAGGAAGTATTTCTTGACGGAAGGAAATGTGACAAACATTTTGAGACAGAGAAAATATTTCTTTAAATAATGGTCACGTTTGGTATCAGCGTTAGAGATTAGCGTTAGCGTTTTGAAAAGGCTATCCGATGGTAGCCTAGTGTTAGCGTTTTTAGAATTAATCAACACCATTAAAATTTTATCCAAAGCGCTATTGCAAATCGAAAACGTTGTTCCCAAATAAAACCAATATCGTTAAATTTAATTGACTTTGAAATCATATTAATCTTGGAAGCAAAATTTAAGGATAAAGCTATTGGTATCTCATTTTGTACACCGAATGGATGAACCGCCATTTTGTGTTAGTGTAATGCTAATTTTTGGTAACACACCAACACTTTGTGTCAGGGTAAATTTTTGTTAACGTAATCAAAATATTGATGTATATTTTTCGTATACAAATGAGATACAAATTTTAGGGCATATATACCATGCTCCACTATTTAATGCCATTTTGAATTGGGGATAGATAGATCTGAAGCACACTTTATCATTGCCACGTGTACAGACTGGACGAGTGAGGGAAAATGTAATAATTTGATCTGACATTTATGACCCCCGGCGGGGTGCACTGTTTATCTCAACGGACAAGTGCACGAATGTGGAGGACCCCCGTGATAGAAAAGCCCAAAAGTGCTTATGGGCCTGGACCCACCACTTCATTATTTTTCTTTTTTGTGTTTCTCAATCATTTTTTTTATTAACTCAATGCACGTTCAATTATTTTTACTGTATATAAAATTTATCATTTTTTAAAATCCTTTTACTTAAAAATTGTTATAGAAATAAATAATTTAAATTACGTTGTTTCAAGACAAATTCATACGTGATTAAGGTCCACACTTATCATATCATAAAATAATTGAAAAAAAAAATCCGCTTGTAAGCCTGTGAAAAGTTTACATTTCAGAAATGATTAACTCTATTTTCAAAATGTTTAGAATCCTATGAAATTTTGCCCATAATTTTAGTTTTTGTATAAAGATTAGAGACATAACACAAATCGAAATATTCCCAAAACTAACATAGGAAAAAAGGTTTTCAAGATTGACAAACATCACTCCTTTTTTAGTGAACCTTTTTGGCATCACGTTTATGTCCTAATAACACGAACTTCTATTATATTGACCATGTGATTATTCAACCTTTTTTTTAATTCAAAAAAAAGTTCTCCCCTAGAACCACTATTATTAAATCACAGATTTAAAATTACATTAAGTTTTATTAATTAAAAGTATCATTAGTTCTTTTATCAAAATATACAATTTGAACTTATAAATAGTGATTTTTTTTTGGGAATAAATAGTGAGAACTTTATTGTGCGAGGTAGTAGTTTTGGGACCAATAAACTACGGATTAAAAAAGATTGAATTTTTAAGCCCAATTTTTAAAGAAGAAATCAATTGTTTTCGAATAATTGGATATGATTTGGAGAATGAGTAAATGAATCATTAATTAATGACTAACTTATTTCTAAAACATATGTTTAATGAACAAATAAATCCCCATCATTTAGTATAAGTGTTAAAAAAACCATCGTTTTAAATAATTAACGGAGTCAATAAATACGGTAAAAGAGTGTGGAGATCTTACGTTGGATAGAAAATCGTCGTTAAATATGTCCGGCACCGTCTGAGGAGATTCCGTTTGAATGTAAAGTGGGCCCTTGTCGGACCAAGCGTTGATGATCCCCTGATAATCGAGCTTCAACGACAGAAGCCGCCGATCGGCGGCGGGGACGGCGGCGGCGCAGCTGGTGACTTCGGAGTAAGACACCCACTTCTCCTCGCAGGGGTCTCTCTGCTTGCTACGGAGCGCCGTCCGGGCCAGCGAAGCTCCCCTGCATCCGTACGAGAATCTCAGGGGACCCTCCCCGGAAGAGGCGGAGGTGGAGGGGGCGCCGAGGAGAGCGGTGATGGTTGTGGTGGCGCCGTCGCTCTCCGCCGCGGAGAAGAGGTCGTACGCGACGGTGCTCTCCTCCGCCGCCGAGTCCTCGACCTTGACCACGACCGGCGGGGTCGCCGACTCCGGCTCTGGGACCACACACGGCGGCGGAGATTCGGGCGGCTCCTGCTTCGGCTCCGCCGGGAACTGGAGCCGGAGGCTGAGGAATTTCGGTTTCCGGGTCCGGGTTCGGGTCTTCCGGGTGGATCTGGCCCGTTTTTTGCTCATGCTGCTGCCGGCCGAGAGAGCACAGAGTGAGGAATTTGAGCGTGGAGAGGAAGGGGGAATAAGCAATGAGTGGGTGGGGCCGGGGTATGGGGCCCGCGTGACACGTGGGAGAAGGGGATTGGAGGAGAGTTGAAATTGGATATCTGGGTGTTTTATCCGGATCACATTGTCGATAGAGTGAGTGGGGGAGACCCGGATTGCGATAACGGGAGATTGGGCGGGTCAGCACTCAGAAAAGACCATACCCACTTATTCTTTTCAAAACTGAGATTTACCGTTTGATTTATAGATTTTACCGAGTGATAAAATTATTTATAAATAAAAATTATTGTTGCCCAATTTATATATCTTCTTTTTACAATACTTTTTTATGATAGATTTTTGGATGTGGTAGTGATAATAGGATTTGGCAACAAGACACTTGGGCTATTCTGTGTATTGAATTGTTCTGTGCTTACAAAGGTCAAACCCCCTTTGAAAAGAGTAAAACATTTAAGTAAACTTTTATTCCTACCATATTTTTATTCCTACTATAACAAGAACTAAGCAAACTAGGAAAGATACTAAACCGAATCCCAAAGGGATTCAGTTTCTTTCTTTGATCCGGCTTCCTTCTTCTGTCGCCAACACCCCCCTCAAGCTGGAGCATGAGAGTTCAACATGCACAGCTTGGACATCAAAAGATTGAACAAAGCAACAAAGCTTGAGGAAGCCGCTGTCATCGTTGTCCAAGTGTCATCTAGACACTTCAGTTTTTTTTCTTCAACGGAGACGCCAAGCTTTTTGAATCCGCCGAATAATCAGTCGAGTAAAGGAACGTCATTCTTTTCGAACCTTCACAGTATTCGAACAAACAGGGGGAACGCCATTCTTTTCGAACACCCTGAACGTCGACTTTTTTTATTGCCTGCTAAGGAAAGAGTTGTCTGTCTCTGTAAAACAACCCTTCTCGGACAACTTCTTCAAGATTGATAGTTGGGCGGGATTCCTCGACAGCAATGTTTTTCGTTGAAGGAGTTCATGATATTCTTTAGTGAGGGAGAACAATCAAAGAAAATCAAAAATTACAATATCTCGCCGGTAGGCATTGAATTTTGTATGCCCACCGGCAGGGGAAGATGCGTGTTTGAGGTCTCAAGAATTCAAAACTTGCTCCGATACCATGTAGAAATTAATAAGAGGAAAAATATTCTGTATATTGAATTGTTCTGTGCTTACAAAGGTCTAACCCCCTTTATATAGGAAGAGAGTAAAGCATTTAAGTAAATTTTTATTCCTACCATATTTCTATTCATACTATAACAAGAACTAAGCAAACTAGGAAAGATACTAAACCGAATCCCAAAGGGATTCAGTTTCCTTCTTTGATCCGGCTTCCTTCTTCTGTCGCCAACAGAATCATATTAAAATATTGAATCCAATCGATTAGTTAGTTCAATTCAAGAGCTTATATACCGATTATTTTACTCTTGGACTTTTGATGTGAGATGACACTCTAACACTTGATAATATACATGATCATGATTGATAATGTAAATGCATTTTAACTACTATTTTAAGAATAAAAACACGAAACTCTTACGAAATTGCATGTAAGGCATTGTGGTGATGACAAAAAATTGTTGAGGGTATAGAAGAGGCTTTGGCTAGGGCTCGGGAATAATTAATTATGAAAGTTGTTTGGCTCACCGCTTTATTAGCGACTAATGTCATGATTCATCTATAAATTGTTTTTAAAAATTATGAAACGTCTCGTTGTTGAGATTTTATTTTAGTTGATGGGAAAAGGTAATACTCTTTAGTCTATCAATTCTTTTTTCTGTATGTATTGATGCTAATGAAAAGTGTGATATTTTTATGAAAATGCATGAAGAAAATGAAAAGGAATAAGTACTTAAGTAATATTTTAAATCATAAGTTGTTATTTGTAGAATTTTACACCTTGTGCTATTAGAATTTTACTTATCTTTTCAAAAAAAAAGCAAATTAATAATAAAATTAAAGGAATGCACATAGTTGTTCGTTTAAGATTCTAAAGTTTACATATGTAATGTAGACATTCTTATACTTTTCATGGGCTAGCAAAAAGATCTTTTTTAGCAAAAAGCTCCATTCCCAAGTTTAAATAATATCAATATACTAAGGTCTATACAATTAATTTAGAATATACTATAATCTATAAAATGAATATACTAGCAGTTGGCAGCTGCCTTCCCCCTTCTCCCCGGTGCATTTCCCGAGCGCGGCACTCACCCGGCTAGCTTGTAATCACAGCCTAAAATCGCGGCCGCCGCCAACTGCACCGGTCTGCTGCCCCCCCCCCCCATCGATCCATTTTTTTCAATTTCATTTTTTTAAAAGTTTTAACCCTTCCTATAAGGTATTCAATTTTGAATTTTTTTCTTTCAATTTTATTTTTTTAATTTCAATAATTAATATTTAATTAGTTTTAATCTTTTTATTTATTTTTGTTAATTTTGAATGTATCACTATAATTTTTTTTATTATTTATCTATTTTTATTAACAATTATATATTTATATTAAATTTATATAAGTTTTGAATTTAAAATGATGAATATTATTTAAATTAAAAATGGAGAAACCAACTTTAATTTCAGAGCAATAGCATTAATAAGATTTTTAGACATACAAGTAAAAGTTATTAGTAGAATATTGATGTGACAAGAATTGGGGCTAATGAAAATGCATGCTCTCCATAATAAATGCTCTTGGAACCAAGCTAGAATTTGGCAATTTGCCTTAGTAATAATGTACACATAAAAACCTTGTAAAAATCGATAAAAAAGGATTTTTATTACATGGAGGAAGTATGATTTCATTAATTAAATGTGGGAAGAATCTAAAATTTACTTTGATATTTTCAAAACACGAGGGGAAAAAGATAATGAAAAAAAATGAAAATAAAAATAAGCATAACAAAGTAACATAAAAATAACTATTTAATTTTTAATTCTAAAATAAGACTTACAATGTGAATAATGTCAATGTATCAAACTATATAGTATTTTATATCTATGATAAAAAAATTTGTCAATTTAATTTTCGGAAATAAGGATTATGTTTTATTTGTATTTTTGTCTCGCTCTTGGATTCAAGAGTGAGCAGTGCGGTCAACCGTAAAAATCATCGGAATTCTATCTCAATCGCTGCAATAGCTTTTTTTACAGTTTTACTGCCATACTCCCTATAAATTAAAGAAAGGCTCTTAGAGCAGCTCTAAGAGCAGCTCTAACGGAGCTTTTAAAACGTAGTAAAGTGTAAAACTTGAAAGAAATAGCTTTTACTATTCATTAATTGGGTCTCCAATGGGTCTTCTAAAAAATAGACCACAATCTATTTTTAATCTTCAAGCATCTATATTTAAACGACACTGTAGCATAATCTATTTCACCACGCTGCCCGTTTCCACCTTGCTTCAACTAGACCTGGCAAAACAGAACCAGAACCGATTACCCGAACCGAAATATCCAAAACCGAAACCGGAATGACCCGAAAAATGAAGATCCGATCTATAATCGAAAACCCGAAATGATCTGAATCGAACCGAAACCGAAGTAAATAATTCATATCCGATTTAAATCCGAAACCGATTAGATCCGAACCCGATAATACCCGAAACTGATAAAATCTGAAACCGATTAGATCTGAAATTGATAATATCCGAACCCGATTAGAACTAAAATCGATAAATTCAGAACTATGTTTGCCTTTCAATAAGCATATTATATTTTTAAATTTTTACTTTTATTTTACCATTTGAACTAATTACATTACTTGCTCATTCCCTTATAAAATGGATTATCTTTTTGAAAAAAAAGTACAAAATTTCATGCCTTAAATTTATTATATGTAGAAATTAAAGATAAGTTATACATATAAATGATAACGCACAAACAAATAAAATTTCCGTAATTTTTAAATAGTGAAGTGTGATATTCTTTTTGGGACGAAAGAAATATATGATGAATTGTATGGAATAACTAGATTTTATCCTAATTTCATCTCATTACAATAAATTTTACTGATTTGAGAGTTAATTTGATTAGTTTCAAACCAATTCACTCAATATTAGTCAATAAAATTAGATGCTAGTGTTAGCATTTTGAAAAGACTCTCTAATGGTAGCCTGTACTGTTATCATTTTCAAATTTGATATACACCATTACATTTAGGTGTAAAATTAATTATATTTGACTCTATTAAATTTAATTTTCTCTATTTTCAACCAAATATACTCAATAATTTACAAATTTTGCACTCAATTGAATAAAATTCACTTGAATAAGACTATTTGAATTTATATTTTATCCTTTCATTTATGTACATAAATATATTAGTAGATGGGAGAAAAATTTGATATTTCAAAAAAAAAAAATTAAAATCAATTTAATAATATTAAATTTATATCATAATTAAATATATATGTTTTCATAATTTCTAGTCCGAATTTGTAAAATATGACTAAAAAGTTAAAAAGGAAAAATTATTTAGGGTAGAGATAATATAACTAGAAAAAAATATAAAATAATATGAGGTATTGAATTGATGATAGATTGATAAATGTGATAAAACATAAAAAGAAACACAAATAGTTAAATTTTAATTAGAAAATAATATATATCTAAAATATATTTGATCCGAAACCGAAATATATCCTAACCGAACTAGACCCGAAACCGAAATATATCCGACTCAAATTGTATCCGAACCAAAATCTATCCGAACCGATTTATAACCGAACTGTATCAGAATCGATTCGAAACCGAACCGAAAAATGTATAGAACCGAAATCAAATCCGAACCGAAAGTTAACCGATCCAAACCGAACTGAACCGATTATAACATATAACCGAAAGATATCTGAACCGAAAAAATCCAACCCGAAACCGATCCGGTTGATCCACACCGTTGCCGGAAGCCTTTGAGCTCGATTTGGTTCTGATCGGAGAAGTGACCGTGATTGAGGCAACCAAATCGATTTCATACGGAGTATTTTATATTTCTGCACCCTCGCTTGACAATCTCCACCGCAACCAAATCGAAGTCTATACCCGTCTTCAAAGGAAGCAAAGTTAATCAAGCTTCAAGGACTCCATAGCTCGAAAGTCTCAAATCAAGGTGAACACCTCAATTCCTATGAGAACATGTGAGGGATCTTGCTGATTTTCTCCCCCACCCCACCCCTCTTGAAGAAGATGAATGTGAGGGATCTTGCTGATTTTTTAAAAACAAATTAATTTAAATAATAAATTATTTTGAAAGGGTAAAGAATATAGATGACATGGTTGGAGAAGATGTTAAAAAATGAGTTGCTAAATCACTATTGGGAAGCTAAAATGGCATATAGCTTCCCAAAATTTAACTTCTCCATTGGAGATGCTCTTATACATTCAGTGCCACCAACGGCTACAAATTTTACTAGCTCTCTCTCTCCTAAAAGCATCTATTTAAAAGTTAGTTTAAAATTCTGAAATGAATAAATAAATAAATAAATAAATAAATAAATAAATATATATATATATATATATATATATATATATATATATATATATAATTTCAAAACAAATGGTGATTTGTTTTCAATGAGATAATATTCAACATTTTACTAACTTTCTGCCCCATCCAAAAATCTTATTAATAATGTTATCGTTTGAAAACCTGTTTCTTTGTTTTTTACAATATTCATCATTTTTTATTCAAAACTTATATAAATTTAAGTTTTATTCTAAATTTAATATAACCATTTATTTATTAATAAAATATATAAATAATAATAATAAGTAAAATAAAAGTAACATATTCAAAAAGTCAAATTTTTCAACGAGATCAATTACGCAAAAGAAATTATGCACATTGTTTGAAATTGTTTTTAGAAAAAAGAGGGGCTACCGCTGGACACCCGATATATATGATCATTGGTGCCCCTAACTATAGAGATTGGTGGATACCCACTACTTACTCATTTGTTATACGGAGTTATTTACTGCAATTTTTAAATTTTCAAACTATAAAAGTAATAAGAAAAAGATTGTTAGCAGAGCGTTCCCACATTGAAAAACAAAAAGAAATACAACTATCATATATATAAAGGTGAAGTCTTATCCATCATCTTAAGTTTTTAGGTGGTTAAAAATGATTCCTGACTTTAATTTGTATGTAAGGTGCGAAGATACGAAGATGGTCGAACTCAAACAAAATGGAGTTTTTTTTTTGAGAAAATAGAGTATATGTTTAAAATGAGTTTTATACTCTAATAGTCTCTCATTTCACTTTTGAACTTTTATTTATAAGATCAATTTATACATTGGCATTTTTCTTGGAGAATTAAAAAACAATATAAAATCTTTACTTTAACCTTAATGTGATGGATGAAATTGATTAAATAAGATATGTGAGGTGAAATAAATAAAAAAAGTTAATAATTATTTATTTAACATGTTAAAAATTGTAATAAGAAGATCATTTTTAGACATCTAGCTAAAATTAGGGATGGCAATTCAACCCGAACCCGAGCTTAACCGACCCGACCGACCACTAAAATATCCGAACTCGAACCGAGAATAAAATAATCCGAACCCGACCCGAAATTTTTTACCCGAACCCGACATCGGGTCGGGTCGGGTGTGGATTTATAATTTTACCCGACCCGACCCGACTAAAACCCGAATATTTTATTACATAAAAGCCTATCTATGAATATAATAAGCACTCCGTATAATTTCTTGGCAAAGTGCTACTATATCAAGTATGTTTTTTATAATCATTTTTATAATTCCTTAATAAAAAATGAGACATAAAAAAGAGACATGAAAAATATTAGATTTAATCATTTCAAAATTATTGGGATACGTCGAATTGATTATTGGTTAAAAGTCGGGTTCGGGTCAGGTCGGTTTTTTAGCTTAAAAGGTCGGGTTTCGGGTCGGGTTCGGGTTTCGGTTTTAAAAGTCGGGTCGGGTTCGGGTATAGTACTATCCGACCCGAACCCGACCCGTTGCCATCCCTAGCTAAAATAGTCATTTGGGAAGATCATCCGGATGGTGTCGATAGTTTAATGTCACACAACATCTAATAATGTCACCTTTTAATCTTCTCATTTTGACTTTTCCTCATTTTTAAGGGAGATTGAATATAGAGGAAAATTGTCCAAAATGCCCTTACCAAAAAAAGTGGAAATAAGTAGGTTGTTGGAAATTTTTAATTTAATAAAGGGAAGAATATTTTTTTTCCAAACTTACATTTACGTGAGAAATATAAAGATTAAGTCCAGAAGGAGAAAAAGGAAAAACAAGAACATTATTTCGGGATGGAGGGAGTGTATGAAAAGAAATAAAATATGACTTTTATGTTTTTATATTCAAAATAAAACATAATTACGTAGAATCCCAATAACATCAATATATAATACCAAAACACATTGTGAAATGACAATATACGTATATTATCACAAAATAGGTTATTTATATAGGTTAAGCACAAAATATTAGGGACTGATATGATTGTGCAAAGGAATATTGAAAGTTTAATTGTGATGGATCACCAAAAAAAACATCCAACTATTGTTAAGTGGGAATTTCTCCGGTGCCTTTCCTAATGAAGGGGCATGGATGCCCTTCCACTAAATTGCTTCCATGTGGACTTTTTAGCCACATCATTTTAACTTTTAAAATTGCATAATGGCCCTGTCTTTTTATCCTTATTTAATTTAACTCATTTACACATGCTAATGCCATTTAAAAATATTGTTTTTAAATTGAATCAATCATTCCGTTCTAAAAAAGATTTTAATTTGATTTTTTAGGATCGAAATTAAAAACTTTGGCCATGAAATTTAAAAAACAATATGTTGAATAATAATATCAATTTAAACTACTCCTTCCGTCCCAAATTATTTGCAACGTTTACTTTTTCAGCAGTAGCGGGAACTTTTGTTTATTTCTACGTTTTCATTAATTATTTGATAAAATAAAATATTCTTGATATCTCTTATTTCGAAGAACTTTTTCATGTAGTTTTTTGATATGTAAATTTTATTTTTTATTTCTATAACAATATGTATATAAAATGAATTGAAAAAACTTGATATTTTGCCTAGGGAATACAAATGTGGCAAATATTTAGGGACGAAAAGAGTATTTGATTTGTCTTTAAGTATAATTTTGAAATATCATATTTTGTTATAAAATTTATTAATTATATATATATATATATATATATATATATATATATATATATATATATATGAAGTACTAAATTTCACTTTCATATAATTTATATAAAAATTAAGAGTACTCCCTCCGTCCAAAAATGTTCTTCACATTCGACTTTTATTAGTCAAATTTTGTAAACTTTGACTCTAATTTGTGGAAAATATATATTATATTATGATATAAATTTAAGAGTAAATTCCATAATTGGTCCTTTATAACAGGGAGGTTTCCATATTTAGTCCTCTGTTATCATATATTACTTTCGTAGTCCTTTATTTAAGGGCGCCTTTCCACAAATGGTCCTTTTTTTGATCTTCTGCCACGTCGGTGTTAATTTAAAGGCTAAAAGTATAATTTCACATCAACATTATGTCCAGTGACGTGTTCTGATATTAGTTAAGCGGATAACACAAAAATAATAACTATGATTGTGGGCTAGGATTCAACGAAAAACCACATTTGTAGACTATGGTTGTAGTAGAAAGCGACTATAATTCACAAACGACTCAAACGGAACAGCTTTTAGAATTGTGTATGATAAAAAAGATATATATTATCATTGTCAAATTACACTTTTAGCCCTCAAATTAACACCAACATGATAGAAGATAAAGGACTATTTGTGAAAAGATACTCATAAAAAAAAGACCACTAGGATAGTATTTGATAACAGAAGACTAAATAGGGAAACCCCCCTGTTATAAAGGACTAATTATGGAATTTACTCTAAATTTAATATCAATATATTTCTAATGAATCATAATTTTGAAATATCAAAATTTTATAAAATATACCTATGTATAAATATAGTTATTAATAGTCAAAATGTAGCATTGGAAATCGTGACAAGTCAAATGAGAAGAAAATTTCCGGATAGAGGGAGTATATAAAGTTTTAATAATTTTTTTCTTTTGATTTTGACATCAGATTTATTTTGATTTTTCAATTTTTAAATTTTAATTTTTTTTACTTTAATCTTTTTACATATAATATTGAAATATCTTTCAAGAAAACTAATTTTTAAAAATTAGTTTTTCTAACAACCAAGTCCAAAAGATACTCTCTTTGGCTTTCCGAATTTTGACTTTTCAGATCAAACTGCCAAGTGAAAAAGCCATTATTCAAACACCGATTTTTGTTGTTCAATTAGTGAGATAACACTTTTTAATCTATTAGGTCTTCTATGTGACACTTTTACCATTAATATGCATGTATGTGTGTGTGTGTGTGTGTATATAATTAATAAATTTTATAAAAAAAATATGATATTTCAAAATTATAATTAAAGACAAATCAAATAATTTAAATTTATATTATTATTCAACATATTGTTTTTTAAATTTCATGGTCAAAGTTTTTAATTTTGATCCTAAAAAATCGAACTAAAACTTTTTTTGGAACGGAATGATTGATTCAATTTAA